TTGGGAACAATAGGTACATGCTAGAGAAAAAGCCTTCAGCTCGTGGTCCTAACTCTGGTAACCGGCGATTTATTCCCGATTAGCAAACTTGTCTAGGGAGAGATCCCTTTCTGAATATTCCCCCCCGGTTTCCTGCTTTTGACCCGCCATATGTCCAATCTAGTGCAGCTAAAGGAAGAATACATTGATCCTTGCCGCCGAGTCTTATAGCCTCTATTAGTAGCCTGCCCACATATTTCCAAGCACAAGCAAAGCTCCCCATTTCAAATTGGCAATTAAACTTAGGTAAGCATCAAATTCTATATTTTCTATCGCCACAAGTTAACGTCTTAAGCTTGGTTTCATCTGTTGCTCTTTTATTTTAGCCATGAGATTAGTTGTGCCATATCGGCGTCTCAAACCGCTGGATCACTCTCTTTGCATTTTTGGTTTTAGTTTACTAAAAATGTAATGTCTAGGCTGAATCCATCGAGGGTTGGCCTAGTTTAAATATTGTACACAGCCTCAAGGGGCACAGTTTTAAAGTAGACAGTCAAGTAGGTCAGGTGACTTGTTGTTCTCGAGTCAGGGGTTCGGGGCTCGGGTTCCCCTATTTGGTAGGCGTTACAAGTCCGACCCACTGACGTCCGGTATTTCCTTCCGGACAACTCGATATCCGGAGGCCGACGGTGCAACACTCCACGGCCACGGTATCACATGAAAATTTGGTTGGCTTTGAAATTAATTCAACGGTCTTAGTGTAAATGTGTTGGAATAGGTGGGTAGTACAGAAGTTATAGGAATATATATTAGTCTGCGCTACTCGAATTTATGGTTGCATTGGGCGGGACCATCGGCCTGTTAAAAGCCACAAACGAGGTCGAGATGCAGAAAAGCTGCAGGTCGCGAGGAATATATTTCTGTCTTAGCCACACAAGTGCATAAGCCCACATGATTCCTTTTTTGACACTTTCCTGAAGTACCTAAGTCAATACCACCTCTTTGGTGCATCTAAGTCTTCCCCGGTCGTTCGTAAATGAAGTTTGATGACCCCGGATGTTCCCGTGGGGCATAGTAACAAAAGCAATATATAACCAAATACTTAACACTTTTATGGACTTTAATATGCTCTAGTTTCCAACTAGAACTTTTAACGGCCCGATCTAGAGCCCGGCTTTTTTATTCCCCCCATACAATATTCAAATGTCCAACCCCGGTACGCCAACAAGGTAGCTTACAACCAAATAGATAACCACTATAAAGGTTTAGTAAGCTACGCCTTGCTAACTAAATGGAGACCAAGAATGGAAGCTAGAATATGATAATAAAACGATAGATAGCGTGCAGGCTTATAACATAGGTTAGGCAGGTTACGTACTTTCTAGGTTTTATATATCGGTTAATGTCTCGTACTCTCATACACAAAGATGTGGCATTCTAAATAGACGGGAGCATGAGAAGTAAAAAGGGCTATGTAAAACTCATACTATACTAAGCAGGATCTAAAGGAGGTGAAAGGTCAGGTGTAGCATGTGCCGCGACTTTACCTATTTCTTATTCATCCGATCATATTTAAGTAGTTGGTTCGATTTTCTAGTGGAAAGGAACGCGCATGTACTCAATATGTAAATACATTATCTAACCATCCCACATTGCGACGTATCCCCGTATGGAAGCGGCTCAGCTGTCGGTAGGGCTGGCAGGTAGGTAGCGCCAGCCCTAAGGAAGATGCGGTAGCATTGCATATCAAGCTTTTTTCGGACCACCCGGCTCAATTTAGTTTAAGCATCGCTTCCCAGATCATCATTCGTCATGATGCATGCGGTTCAGTGCCGGTTGGGTATCGAATGCCGGATAGCATGCATTGCGGCAACCAATATTAAGGATTCACTATTGCCATCCCGAGTACATCCAGATCTAAGCAGTAAGTGGGAGTTAGCAAGTAACTTTCCATATAGGGACATTATTTCACGATACTCACGTGCAATGAGCGGAAATGACGATGGCGCAGATTGAGTCAACTTTATTAATGTGGGATTCCCACTATGACCTCAACCCCCAACTACACGCCAGATCCATTTGGCGAGCTGATAGGTACATGTACGATCATCATGAGAGAGGCAAAGGGAAAAATGCCGAGCTGAGGCGGTCGATTACTCCGTATATGGAATAGAGGCACGTACAAAGGTGAGAATACGCGTTGAGGATAGGAGAGGCGAGGTGTACCATTCTATATAAACAGAGGATAACGTTCAAGGTGAGCTCAAGAGAAGAATCTATGTGCTCATCAACAACAGCTTCACATCGACAAACATCAAAAGAACTATCCAACAGCCCTTGAAAACATGACTTTCGGAGATTCTTCAGGTGGAGGAGCATCAAGTAAGCCCCAAGAATAAAGGCGAATAGTATAGAGAACAAAATACTGACCATAGTGAAGACAACAATGGCAAGTCCAAGAAACCCCCCAAGAGTGATAAGAAGAAGTCAAAGGTATGAATCCGTCTAATTCAAACACTGCTCATGGACTCACGAAAATCAGGACCCGAACAAGGACCAATCCGGAAACCAGGGTGGCTCATCAGGTCAGGGAGGTGGCTCAGGGGCATATGTGTCACCGCCAGACTTCTTCTCCTTTAACGACCCCGGAAACGGCAAATGATGATTTCGAAATAATGATTTATATGATCGGTTATGGGCTGGAACATGGAACAGGATAAGGGATATGGGGACAGGACGATTGGACATTGTTTTCTTGAAATCCGTTCTAGACGAACGTTGAAATATCTTTATTACTTCAGAATAGACTAAACGCAATAAAACCTATCTAGAAATTACTTGCGACTCTAATATGTAAGGTGACCTGTGTTGCGTATGGAATGAGAATTGTGTATAATACTTACAAGCAAGGTATTGCCTCGTAGTGGCTCATGGCGATGTACATATAAGTAACCCTTATTAAGGAGCACTGAGCATTGGAAAGCTATAACTAATCCATTTGTAGCCAAGTTAGCGCAGAAGAACCAAGTAACACGTCAAAATACAGGAGCCGTAGCATGTAATAAGGTTAACAAACGGCTCAATATATTATACCCGAATAAAAGCCTATATTCCTATTGAGGGGCTTAGCCCTTAGTATTATATGTGATGATATAGAAGTAAGTCATATATGAAGTATTTAGTATGGTAGGTACTTAGAGGAGTAAAGATGAATTATTCATTTCCATGTTTTGAAAGGGGTTTCTATGACTAATTTACACTACTCCTATATTCGTGTTAATATCACTTTAAAGCCAACCTTCTACTAATATATACGATTTAACCTAACCATGCCAATGCATTATTAAGTGCCTTTTTTAATACAAGCGCAATACTAGAAATTAATAGCAAGTCTTCCAAAATTTCTCGACCTAACTCAAGACTCGTAGATCTGATAGTACGAAGAAACGGAATCTAATAACCTATACGGATTGTAAATATAGAAAAGTCTACTGAGCACTTACATTAAGCCAGGCATCAATTTTTATTTACTTCTAGTTAATAGCGTAGAAAAGCCCATTATATAACTTGCTATTATAATATTAGAGTTTCTAGTATTGCCGATCTTAAGCAAAGCTATACCATGTAATTTAATGCAGACTACGAGAGTACTAAGTAACTGGATGAGATTTTATAGAAGAATTGACTTTCATATCTGTGCCCGATTAACCTATTAGAGTATCAATTAAACAATTAATACTAATATTTATTCTCACATTTAGACACTATTTCTTTCACACCCATCCAAATACTAACAATTTCATCCTTGAGCTTAAACACCAAGCAAAGGTAGAAACAACTAGATTCTATAACCGTCCATACGCATCGTAACAGATCGCCTGATTAATTAAAAATAACATCATAGCATGTAAACGTGTTAGCAACTCATCCGATCAGAGATCAGTTAGGCAGACAGAAAGTCTCAGAAACACGCGTCATAAAGGGGGTTAGGGGAGGAAAAAGGCACCAGCGCAAAGGAAAAAAGTATAAGTCGGAATTTGCAACGTGTCCATGCAAGACTTGGGGTTTATTAAATAGCCCAGCATGGCCTCATATGATTTCATCACACATCGTATTAGATACTAGATTTTGTCCCAAGCTTACCCAAATAATTTTCGAGGATACCTTATCAAGTCAGTCCGCATGTAAGTCAAACTGCAATACGTGAATACTACTATATCCACCCCCAAATGTGGCTCGAGCTTGAATAAAGTTATGAATTATTCCGGTTGCGAACGGGCCTAGCGGTTAGCTTATTGATTCGCAGGCTAATAATAGTGGCAGACTTTCTAAGTTGACAGGCCATAGGTCCGCTATTCAGCACCCCGAAACCTGATACGGTTTAGCTCCCCCGCAAGCCCCGCGCGACTAAATAAGGCACCAACGCTTATCTAACCCCCCCCCCCCCCCTCTGCCCCCTTCAGGAGCAAGAAGCGGCGTGGTGCAGGTGATTACTCTGCGCTGCTTGTGACGTCTAGCGGGGTCATTTGCCGTGATCTCTTACAACCGTCATTTATCGGCCTTAGCTACTCTAGCTTAAACTTACTCGCATTTTACATTTACATTCGCATACACATACACCATACATGCCTTAAGGTAACATCCGAGTTTCCAAGTTTTGAATTTCAGGTTCTGAATTCCAGGTTTGGTAGGTAAAAACGTACATCGCCAACATTCCCAAATACCTACATAACCTCCCCTACCTCCCCTCGGGCATCTCTCTCTCCAAGACGTCTTTGGAGATATTCCGGTCCTTTCTTTGTTCTCGCAATTATCCTTTATTTGCAACATTACCTGGATCTACGTACCTTCTAGTCACACCGATCATCTCTACCTGATACGATCTCGATTACAACTCACCTCCTCTTAATCTTACCTCGGACAAATCCCTCGTAGTCTTGGGTTAAAAGGCCAAAAACAGACGGATACAAGAAATCGGTGACTTATCATATCTTACACATTTGTCTGAAGACTCTATCACCATGTTTGACCTCATTCCGAAGCTCCTTTCGTATGTCCGATGCTTCCCAAGCCCCCTGTCTATAATTTAAATGACATTGCTAACTCTTGACGCCTAACCCAACAATAGCTCTATAGCATCCTTCCTCTTCCCCCTTTTCGCCTCTTACAAAGCGCTCAAGACTTCCGATCTCACACAGCTGACACCATGGCTGATGTATTGGTCCGTCCTCTCTTGCGCCCTCCTCGTTGAGTCCTGGCTCGAGTTTATCCTCTACTGGATCCCTTTCTACTCGTATATGCGCCTCTTCTTCCTGCTTTACCTCGTCCTTCCCCAGACCCAGGGCGCTCGCGTGCTCTACGAGGCGTATCTCCACCCATACCTCGAAGAGAACGAGGCGGCTATCGAAGAATTCATTGCCAGCTCTCACGATAAGCTAAAAGCCGCGGGTATAGCCTATCTGAAGCGCGCTATCGACTTGCTCCGTACCCAAATCCTGGGTATGCCACCGCAAGAGGTGGAACCGGAAGAAACAAGGGCCTCTGCAGCACCACAGGGATACACGCAGGCGTTGCTTGCTAGGTTCAGCGTGCCGGCCGCACGGTGGGCTGCCAATAACACTGGCACCACGGGGCAGGATTTCTTCAACCTGCTGGCCAACGCGGTCGGTACAGCTGCCGGCTCTAGAACTCCTGGAGGAACAACAGTACCGACCAGGGCCGATACGCTGTCTTCCGCTAGCCTAATCCCAGGGAACTTTGGCGGCGCGGAGGAGAAAATGACTTTCATCACCGCGCAGAGGGAGAGGCTAACGCTCATGATGGGCGCTCTAGACAAGGAGGCCAAGCAGCTACAGATGTCTGAGGAGGAGCGTAGGAGGGCTGAGCAGTCGGGGAGAGTAGGTAGCATGAGCCTAGACGGCCAGGAAGCAATTTCACGGCCACCTAGTGGCCATAGCGTGTGGAGTGGGTTGAGTAAAAGCCGCAGTGAAGTCGACTTCGAGAAGATCGACGCCGAGAGCGGCGCCGAAGACGATAACAACCTACGTAGAAGAGCCCCTGTGGGCGAAGAAAACCCGGCTGCTGGAAGAAGCGGTTGGGGCTTCCTAGGTTGGGGCACTGTTGGTACTGGGGAGGAGACCAACCAAACGGATGCCGGGCACAGCTCTGGAGTCCAGAAGTAGGTAAAGCTAAACCTACAATATCATATTTAATCGCACGGAGTTATTTGGTTGGGTTTCGGACTGGATCGTACATCAGGAAGGACGGGTAGACGCGGTTGAACCAGGAGTTAGAGCGTAGGATTTCACTCCTACCCGGAGCATAGGCTCTAGACCTGAGAGCCGCACGATCTTGTACGTACGTACGGCTCTTATCATTATATTCGTTGCCAACCTTCTATCATTGAGACTCTTAATATACGTAACATTATAGAGCCATATATGCATATGGTAGCTCAGGGCAAGAGATGCGCAGTAAGCCTCCCTGCCCATGTCTGGAGTGTAGAATTCTTCGGGGTATATTTCCCACCTCGTGATATCGTACAGCGTCCCCCACCAAACAGAACTTAACCTTGACGTTACCCACATCGTCTTATATCAGAATACCACACGGAAAGTCATTAACTACGACGTCTTCTTAAAAGGATAGCGGACCTCGTCGTCCTTGCGCAACCAGATCTGCTTCCTCTTCTTGGTGGTGGCATGCTCAACCCAAACTTGCATGGCATGCTCCTTCATGAACTTGCGGATGAAGCGCGGATCCCACAACTCCGACGCAATTCCTAGGTCCTTGCAGCACCGCATCAGCGCGTTGGACTTGCATCCCTCGGCCGCCGTCGAGACGCCCTCTTCCGTGAAGTACGACATCTCGCCTCGGGCTTGAGCTACGAATCTATTCGACAGTTAGATATATGGTTCAGATTTCGTGAATACACAAAACACGGCCCGTCTATCTATCTCCCAACCGTTCCTCAACAGGGAAAGATAGAAAACTTAAGCGGAAGGGGGAAAAAAAAGACTCACCGTCCGTGCACAACAAGCGCATAGTCCCGCGTAACTAGTTTCTCGTGGACCATGAGCTGTCCCCGAGGCGCCAGACCCCAGCCGCCGGGACCAAACGCGGTGTTCAGGATCCGCCTGTACTTGATCTCGGGGAGGTAGATGATGCCGTCGGGCTTGACCTCGATGTCTTCGGGGTTAAGGCGCGCCTGCAATACGGTGGCGGTCTCGGGCGAGAACGCCGACGTCCCGAGGCCGTGGTACGACTGCGTCCAGTCGATCGGGTCGCCGGTGTTGGGTTCCTCGCCGCCCGAGGCGTCGGGGAGGGGCACGCCTGAGACGGCGGGGACGGGGGTTCGCGTCCCTGATGGGGCTGCAGATGTGGTGCTGGTTCCGGCGGGGGGAGACGTCGAGCTGGGCTTTGGCGTCGCTGTGGAGGAGGCGGGGGCCTTGGTGTAGGTGGTTGATGCGGCCTTCGGTTTCGACGTGCTAACGAGAGTCCGGATGGATGGTTGTATTTGGGATTGGGGAATTGATATTGTGCGTGCCCGTCGAGCCGCGGCGCGTATAGGTGTTAATGTTCTTGAGGCCATTGTTGTCTGAAGGTGGGGTTGTGGTTTATGGTTGGTGGTTGTAAATTGTGTAAGAGAGAGAGGGACCTCCTTAGGTTAGAAAAATTGAAGAGGGACGGGACGATAAGGCGTTGTAAATTTTTAGGCGTTGCAATAGGTACTTACCCGTGTATCGGCACGGAGTGGGAGAGTGGGTTTCTTCCGGTTTCTTCACCTAAAGCCAAGAATGATTAGATCAGGTAACAAACAGCTTATCGATAGTCAATTGGCTTTCTACCTGTATGTAGGTGATTGATCTTAATAGCGCCTATGGCCTAGTAAAACAGTGCAACCAGCGTTATAATTCTTACCTATCTGGTACATATACAACATCAACTAGACGTATCACTCTAGGAGCGGGATTGGTGTAATATTAATACCTCAAACTCTCTGTCCTCCATCCCTGTATTCTTACAAATAGTGATTGTTTCCTTTTGACTTAGAGTAAACATGACTTTAGCAGTTATGCATCCTTCACATCCTTCATCGACGTCCTCTGATCGTTATTATGTTTCTTCCAGCAAGCTTTGAAAATCTCCATCTATCATTGGTGAAGTTCGTCAGCAAATTACCGTGAAAAGCAAGTTCATAGAGATTGTCTCTCAATTATTTACGTACCTCCTTTTTACAAGCTCGCCAGTCCTTCTTTTCATAATAGCAGTCGGTCAATTTGGCATTCTCATCTAGCTTGGTCAGTATTTTGACATATAGGTACCGATTTCTTTCTAAGCCTATTTACCTGCACATCCCGTACTAAATATCCTCTTATCCCTAAAGTATCAAACAAGAAAATGAAGTTAGTTTATGAAGACTAACAATTATAAATAGCTGGTTTTAACAACTCTTACCACTCATCCGGCTCGTCGTCATCTTGAGCAGCAGTGCTCTGCTGACTTGTGCTTTCGTCCTTGGACATTATAACACTTTATTCCGTATGGAACAAATTTAAGATCGTCGTTAAAATATCTTTTTATAGTGTTAAGTCGCACAGTTCGACGTTGCGAATTAAAAAAGTAAATTACGCTAGAGGGCGGTATAAAGGCAGAAATTCGGGGGGATCCGAACCGGTCCTAGAATCGCCTCATTACCTACACTCCCGTCCCGGGGACTCATTAACAAATCCCCGTACTATTCTTTAATCCCTACAGCATCGGACTGCAGAGGATTTATCCCAACATGACGTCGCGAAAACTAAATGTGCTCGTATACACAGGCACCGGGTCTACAATTGAATCAGTCAAACATGCAATCTACTCCCTGCGTCGACTTCTCTCCCCAAACTATGCAGTCATCCCTATCACTGAGGCTATTCTGCTGAAAGAGCCATGGGCACCTTCTTGCGCGCTACTTGTTTTCCCAGGTGGCGCTGATCTTGGTTATTGTCGCGTGCTCAATGGGGAAGGCAATTCAATTATATCTCAGTATGTGCGCCGAGGTGGTGCATACTTAGGTTTCTGCGCCGGCGGCTACTATGGATGCAAGAGGTGCGAGTTCGAGGTTGGCAATAAGGCTATGGAAGTTGTCGGGTCTAGAGAGCTAGCTTTCTTTCCTAGCACATGTAGGGGTGGCGCATTCAAAGGCTTCCAGTATCACAGCGAGAAAGGGGCCCGAGCAGTCCGAGTGAATGTTGTGAAGGATGCATTCAGAGGGGCAGGGTTGGTCCCAGAGGTATTCACATCCTACTATAATGGTGGCGGAGTCTTTGTCATCCCAGAAAATGGAAACAGTGATATTGAGATACTAGCAAGCTATGCGGACGAACTCGATGTCGATGGTGGTCGTGAAAAGGCAGCTCTTGTGTACTGCAAAGTTGGCCAAGGTGCTGCTATCCTCACAGGACCTCACCCTGAATTTGCCGCTGTAAATCTAAGTCCACAGAATGATGTCGAAGGATATGACGACCTCATCGCTGCCCTCAAAGCTAACGATGATGCACGAACAGGCTTCCTAAAAGCGTGCTTAACTAAGCTTGGGCTGGAGGTCAGTCAGGAAACAACAGGTGTGCCATCCCTCTCTCGACTTCATTTGTCGTCAATCTCTAGTAACGACGTGGATGACTTATTGCACACCTGGGAGGACATCATCAGCAAAGAAGACGGCGAAGAATATATAAGAGCAGAAAACGACACATTTCATTTACAGAAGCCCGAAACAATGTGGTCCGTCACTGGCTTGAAAGAAGCACTAACTCCTGATGGTAGCCAAGATCAAAAGTCTCCTGACTTAAGTAGTCAAGGCATAATCGACTATAGCACAATTGTTAAGCGTATTGTAACCCACGAAACAGCCTGGCCAGAAGCCAAGGCAACTCCATACTTCAACCACAACGCGTTTTATTCTAGCTTGCAAGATTATCGGCGGACAGAATCTGAAGCGGAAGAATGGGGCGACTTTCTGATGTACGGAGAAGTTGTCACGAGCACGAACACGCTGCTTGAGAAAAACTTCAAGTTGCTTTCCAGACTACCGTCGGGGTTTACACTTACAGCAACAACTCAGGTCGCTGGGAGGGGACGCGGGAACAATGTCTGGGTGTCACCCGCTGGGGCGCTAATAATGTCTACCGTCATCAACCATCCAGCTCATATTGCGCCAAGCCGGCCCATCGTCTTCATCCAGTATCTAGCCGCTATTGCCATAGTCGAAGCTGTGAAGAACTACGATCGAGGATACGAAGAGGTCCCCGTAAAATTAAAATGGCCCAACGATATCTATGCACGAGATCCGAGGCAGCCTTCTTCATCCCCTCCTTCTTACGTCAAAATCGGTGGCATCTTATCCAACTGCAACTATTCGGCGGGAGCTTACCAGATTGTCCTTGGAATCGGAATCAACGCCAATAACGGGCGTCCCACCACCTCCCTTGACGCCCTGCTGCCATCACACCTCGCCCCCTTCCGAATTGAAAAACTCACGGCTGGAATCATTGCCCGTCTGGAATCTCTGTACAAGACGTTCGTGCGAAGAGGTTTCACGAGAGATATGGAGAGTGCATACTATGCACACTGGTTACACGGACGGCAGATTGTCAACCTAGAGGCACAGGGAGGAGTGAAGGCTCGGATCGTAGGCATTACTAGCGACTGGGGTATGTTAAGGGCGGAAGAGCTAGGAAGTGATGATAGACCGACGGGGAAGATATGGGCATTGCAGAGCGATGAAAATAGTTTTGACTTTTTCAGGGGCTTGGTGAAGAGGAAAATCTAGGCTCCTAACATTAGATCAAGGCTTGCATAAGCCTTGTATAAATGTGCCATTAAGTTACAATATACTGATCTTTGTGTATAGAGATGAGCGGGTCAAGAATCCCTTGATCGTTACATATTGCCAATATTCGCAGTGCAACATAACTTTAAGTTATTTCAATTCAATATGTGATCCTCATATATTCATCCGTAAGGAACCCGTCCGGTACCTATCTAATACACAAAGAACCGCTATATCTCGTCGCCCCTTTTTGACATAGTTATAATGTACAATAATTACAGTAGTACACGCAGCGTCGTTTCTCGTCTAACTCCGACCAGGAACGAACCGGTCCATGAATGCGTCAGAATTCCCAAATGATAACGCCAGGCCATGCCATGCCACAGTCGAGTGAAGATGCTTTCGTAAATGGTTGTTGCGTATAGTATGTGTCCGATCTCCAGCGACACTTAATCCCGCCTCCCGGGTCAAACTCCTATCCTCTTTCCATTTCCAAGTCACTACCGGTCCTTATACATCTTAGGCTTCCATCCCTCTTTTATCTCCGCCTCTTGCGCAGCTTTTTCCATCGCTGGTCTGACCTCGCCTTCTATACGTTCCCTCGCTCTTAAGACTTTGCTCTGTAGGTAAAAGCTTCCTCCCTTCTGCGGATCGTTCGCATCGAAGAGCTTCTTGAATCGTGACATCACCTCCTCCATATTCGCTTGTCCACCTTGAGGCGGCTTGACGTTTAGGATCTTGCACGCCTCATCTAGGGTCATGCCACTCGAGAGACTCGCCCGAGCCGATACTCCATTCGGATTCAACTTAGCCTGCGCTCGAGCATAGTTGGAGGATGCTTGCGCCTGCTTATAAGCTTCGGCAAAGGCGCGACCGAGTACTCGGCTGCCTACTACGACGATCTGCGTTATGATGCGATGCGCCTAGTTTTAATTGTTAGCGGCAATTGTCGGTGGCGCAAAGGTGGATTATGTCGGCTTAGAAAAATCTTCTTTATTAACGTACCATGTTTACAGCTTCCGACTTATAAAAGATAAAACACAACAGCAGGATCCCGTATACTAAAGGGATTCGCAAGGCCGTAGATCGAAGTTTGCGATCGAGGCGATAAGATGCTTCCTATTGATGGTGTTGAAGAAAAGAAAGTCGCCCCGAGGCTCGAAAATTGTCGCGATAGCGGAACGATTAGGGAACCCACATCGGAGTTGTGACTCCGGGCCTCCGGAACTAAAACATACAGACAGCCCGCTAGAGGTCCATGCCCCTGCAGTGTCACAAGGATTCGGCATAACGCCACAATTTTCACTAGCCACAATACAGGGGAAGCTAGAAGCCCTGAAGCCCTGAAGCCCTGAAGGTTACGTAGATGGACTTGATCTAAGCTTTCGCAGCCACGTCGGTGAAGACAGATTCATTTTTGGCGATCCGTTAACTTGAATTCCATCATCGTCGTGAAGAACGTTTCGAACACGTCTCACGGCTTCTTATGTCAAATCCACTCCAACTGTTTTCCCTCTCTATCATTTGAACTCTTTCATCCTTTGTACCTCTTAACCCTACACTTACTTTCTTATTTTCAACTTTTTCAACGTAAATACTTTTTGCCTCTAAACCTTCGCAACTTCGAGCCGATTATTCCCGTTCAAATTGAAGAACTACTTCGAGCATCGAACCGCAAAACATGTCGCAATACTACGGCGCACCCCCTCCAAATCAGTTCGGCGGTGCGGCGGCCGCGCAAAACCTTCAGTTCTATCCTTCGTCGTATTCGCCCGGTATACCAGCCCAGGGAACCCCGGCGCAATCATACGGCTATGGCGCGCCAACACCTAACCCTGGCGGATACGGCTTCGGCGCTGCGCCCGGTGTAAGTGGGAGGATGGGCGAACAAGGTGGCCTGCGGACGGGCTGGCTCGCCGCTTTCTCTACAGAAGGATATGATGGGGAACCACCGTTACTGGAAGAGCTAGGGATCAACTTTGATCATATCTGGATGAAGGTGAGCTTCCGAACGGCTTGCATCCCCTTAATTCGGCAGTAATATTGGCGGTAACATTAACCCCTTTCAGACTTTAGCAGTTCTCAACCCTTTCGGACGTATAGATCAACACATCATGGACGATTCCGACCTCGGCGGTCCCATCCTCTTCTTCTTCCTATTCGGCACATTCCTACTCTTTAGCGGCAAGGTACACTTCGGGTACATCTACGGGTTAGCGCTCATGGGATCGGTTGCGCTACACACAATCCTATCGCTCATGTCTCACGACGATACCAGTCCCACGACACCAGCTCAAGCCGCATATCCTTCTACCCCTGGCTACCCCGGCGATCCCAACGTGGGCGGTAGAGACGATTCTAAGGGCCACATCAGCAGTACTCTAACATTTGCAAGGAGCGCAAGCGTGCTTGGGTACTGTTTGCTACCGCTGGTCATGACTAGTCTAATAGGCATTGTCATACCAATGGACGGGCCGCTTGGCTACATCTTAACCAGTGCGGCAATCGTTTGGTGCACAACAAGTGCGAGTGGCATGTTTTGCGCAGTTGGACGGATGATGCAAATGAGGGCCTTAGTAGCATACCCGTTAATGTTGTTTTACGTTGGCTTTGGTATTATGAGCATCTTCAGCAGTCGAGGATCCGGTAGCTTGGGCAAGGCGGCAGGCGTGTCGTGAAATGGCATTCAGCTCGTTAAAGAAACTAAAAATACTAGACGTCTATCGAGGGTCGAGAATAGCAAAGAGAAGATTCAGTCCGCGTTGGACCACGGTAGATTATCGTATTCTACCAACAGGCAATGTATTCGGTTGCTGGTAGCCGATAGCGGCAGTCCTGGGGAAGGGATATGTAAGACAATAGGTGAAATAAGTTGATGTTAATGGGAGTAATGTGCCCACCATCTACCCATGTTTACAGTGTTAAACAAGTAATATGACAAAACATATACAATTACTTTGATTTTAACTGGGAATTACTTGCCCCTATTCACGATAAGAAATCTTGAGAAACTTCAAGTCCCTTGAGATTTAACAGCAAAAATACAAGAGAAATACCTACCTATATACAACTTACCTATGAAAAGGTCTCAAGGCGTACAACGAAAATGTACCCCATTACAAGCGGACTTTCACGTGTCTAGACTTTTCCCCCTTAGTAAATGATCATCGTATCACCAAAATCCTGGAATTGGGGCACCTTTTGTTACGCTTGGCTGTCTGATTTAGAATACTAGATTAGCACATATTGGAATACGTATTGATCAATGTCTTTTATCGAACAGTTTCATCAATAATTATCTCGGCATACCATAATCTTTAATGCATAAACATTTACTATGGATCTATCGAATACAGCTGCCATGCAAATACCACTTTATATAGCACCGCCAAACCTAATAAGCCACTCGAGGAGCGGTGCTAAATATCGTGCCTACTCAGAAGACGACATGGCAAGAGCAGAACAAGCCATTGCAGAAGAAGGCCTATCACTCCGCCAAGCCTCCATCAGGTTCAACGTCCCTAAGACTACATTGGCGGAGCGGCTAGGTGATAAACGGCCCAGACCGCCTCCTCGTAAGTCGGACGAGGAGAACAAGCAGCGGACCAGGTACCAATGGGCAGAGACCGACATGGCAAGTGCCATCGAGGCAGTCCAAAACGGAGACAAGATCGGCGAGGCAGCCAGACGGTTCGGCGTCCCGCCTAGCCATCTCAACGCACGGACACGGGGTAGAGCACCCAAGAACCTCCGCAGCGAGCTATCTCGGCTAACGCTCAGGCAAGAAGGTCTTCTCGCCGACTGGGCGACCGCTCAGTCGGCGTTGGGATGTCCGCCGACTAAGAACGAATTGTTCGGTCTGGCGGAACGGGTGCTGGAGAAGCAGGGCTCGGATAAGAAGCTGGGAAAACAGTGGATTGTGCATTGGATGAGGAGGTATCCCCAGATCGAAATTCTGGAGTGGGAAGCTAAGGAACTTAAGCCGAAAAGAGGCCAAAGGACAGATTCTGCTGTAGCGTTTTCTGTAGATCCGTTTGAGCCGGTTATTGATCTGGATGAGCTTTGTTACGGTGCCCCGGGAAATACCTAGTCGTGGTTAGTTGTTAGCTTCAGATAGTAATGGTATTTTATAAATATGGTGCGATATAATATATTTAGGAGCTTGGTACTTGTATGTTATGCCAATTATATCAAACGCTCGTAGGCAGTCACCTTATCTGAGAACAATGGTATCACAGTTGCTGAAATTTCAGAAATTAAGTGAACAATCAGAAGAGCGTTGACGTCAATCAACGAAACACTACCTTGTCTTGACATAAGCCCGCGCGTATACTTTCGGTCCAAATGTAAAGCATCAAGTTCATCGCGTAATGCTCAACTAAGCAATTGCTAAAGGGGGCATCTACGTGTACCCGTCGAGTTACGGAAAGCTTCCGAATCTCCCAGGTCAATGCCGGCGTTTCGCTTCGGAACGGTGATCAAACTAGGTAATATAACTGCACATCCCCGAGGATTCATGTGGTACAGCTCCGAGGCAGTACGACCAGATGGGCGGTTCGGTTATCCGGTCTGTCGGTTGGAGAGGCCTAGACGTACATAGCTTACATGCTTCAAACCCCATACCCCGGTTGATCCGGGCTGTCAAATACGCATGTAGTTAAATAGTATGATGTAGAGGCGGTAGTTGACAGTCAATATCAAACTATTATATCCAACTAAACAATATCCTACTTTTAATAACCTGTTAACGTAGGTATCAAGCTATTAATTCTGGAAGCCTATGAAGAAGCCATCGCCAAGCACGACTAGAATGTGGGGTATTTAGCTTCGCGTAGATCAGATCAACTAATCAAAACCCCTGGAATCCCGAAGCTTGGCATGCGCGGGCCGCTGCAGGCTAATAAATTCAAACTGTTGTACACGATCAAATTCTCGTAGGGCTTGACGCCGTGTTACGTTCCTCGATTGCTTTGAAGGGCGTTTGTCATCGTTTAAGATAGATACCAGGTTAAGTACCTTGGTTGAGTTACAATAACTATAGGATTTTGTATAGTTAACATTATAATTCTGATAGGTGTATAGTCTTAAGTCCGATACGCGTAATATCCGACGCGTATAGGACGTATACAGCTTCCGGGGGGGTGCGAGGCCAACTTCAAACTAAACCCTATAACGTCAACAAAGAATCTGATTAATACCTGTTTGATCAATGAGAGCCTTTCACTATGTACAAGTGAATGTATAGATCTTTTGTTTCTATTATGATTGGTTAGAACTACGTATTATATTATAGCCTACCTACATACATACCTATCTACATAGGTACGTCTTTGCATCTCGGAATACTTTGACAAGGTTGGGGTTAACATTCACACCTACACCCACACACACACCCCATTCTTGACTCCATAATGTACTAATGCCGAATGTAACGGTTACCCTGGTAATTCTGATATGTCACCTTGCTACTGCTTCTCAATGATTTGACAACTCTCCGACAATCAAGTCCAAGCTCTCAAGACCAGTTTTCCCCGTGTTTCTCCTCTACCTAGGTCCATCCTAGGTTGGGGTACGTAAGTACGTATGCCAGAAGACATTTAGGTACGTGTTTGTCAATGTCATATCACGGCATCAGTATAGTCCTAGGGAACCCAACACAAACGTAATTCGTACCCTATCAAACCTCGCATATCCCATACTTAGGTCGGTATGGTTGTTGACCAAGATGCGTACCTAGAAATCTTTCTTATTAATGCTGCGTCACCGAGGTTCCCCTATCAGAAGGATCAACTCTTTGACACCCTCCCCTACCAGGATGCCCATACCCTGCTGCATAGCAACCTACCTACCTACCTACACACATACATACGAGGTAAAGCTGCTATCTGCGCAGAGATAAAATAAATTATGTACTCCGATAAATAATCCTGCAACTGCCCATAAGCTTAATCTCAACGTCTTTTTTTTTCTTTTCGATCCCGCCCCCATCCCACTAATACATATATCATTTCCCTCTCCTCTTCCTACTCGACATACCTAGCCAGACTAAAAAAAAAGAGAAGGCAGGGAAATCACGGCAACAGCCATGGCGACGTCCGACGGCAACGTTTCCGGCAAGGAAGAGGGAAACCTCTCGCAAGAAGAACGTGTCGAGAAGGATCTGCATGTTGCGGCTGAAGAGGGCGTCGCGGCAACCGACAGGTAAGATGCTACGAGTATTACTAAACAAAACACACACAAAAAAGTACCTAAACTTACAAGCTTACCAAATTCTGATTTATAGTAACGGTGTGTCTATCGCCGAGTTTGACCGGGAAGCCGAAAGAAAACTCCGTACCAAGATAGATTGGATGATAGTCCCGACGGTGTCTATCTTGTATCTATTTTGCTTCATCGACCGATCTAACATAGGTGCGTACGCTTTTCACATTGTATCCTTACAGTTTAACTTATTTTTATTTTCATTCGTTATACTGACATCTCTCAGGCAATGCAAGACTCGCCGGTCTCGAGGAGGACTTGGGCATGAAGGGCAACGACTACAACATGCTTCTATCCGTCTTCTACATCAGCTACTGCCTTTTCGAGGTCCCGTCCAACCTGGCGTGCAAGTGGCTTGGTCCCGGCTGGGTCATTCCCATTCTATGTCTCGGCTTCGGCATTTCCTCTCTTGGCATGGCCTTCGTTCGTGATTTGCCCGCGGCTTGTGGCGTCCGCTTCCTCCTTGGCGTCTTTGAGGCCGGCATGATGCCCGGAATGTCCTACTATCTTTCCCGATGGTACCGCCGCTCCGAACTGGTTTTCCGGATCTCTTTGTTTGTCGTTATGGCACCATTGGCCGGCGCATTTGGAGGTCTGATCGCTTCGGGGTACGTATACTGATTAATCACTTGCTTTATTGAGGATTTATACTACCTATTATGCTTAAGACTCGCCGTTAACTCAGGTATAACAGTCTCCTAAGCCTATCCAACATCGGTAGTGTTACCGCTTGGCGTATGATCTTCTTAGTCGAAGGCATCATCACGATAGGTCTATCATTGATCTCGTTCGTCACGCTTACCGACCGTCCCGAAACGGCACGCTGGCTCACGGCGGAGGAAAAGACTCTAGCAGTCGCCCGTGTCAAGTCGGAACGTTTAGCCCAAACTGTTGTTCTCGATAAGACCGACCGCAAGAAACTCTGGCTAGGCTTCTGGAACCCCGTTGTCCTATCGACCAGTTTCATCTTCCTACTTAACAAGTATGTTTAACTATCCCGTTTCATTTAATGTTTCCGCGATCGCTGACTTGGAAACCATAGCATTACTGTCCAAGGCCTAGCCTTCTTCACGCCTACTATCGTAGCCACCATCTATCCGAATTACACGACGGTCCAGAAGCAGCTATACACCGTTCCACCATACGTTGTCGGGGCCGCATTTGAAGTCGTTATTCCGCTCCTGAGCTGGCGTATGGATAGACGACAGGTCTTCTTAATACTCACCGCGCCCTTGACAATGGTGGGTTACATCATGTTCCTAGCAAGCACCGACCCCAAGGTGAGATACGCGGCAACCTTCTTCACAGCTATCAGTTGTTTTGCCGTTGGTGCATTGAGTAATGCGCAGGTAGCAGCACAGGTTGTCAGTGACACGGCACGCAGCGTAAGTCTCGCGACTAACATGACGTTTGGCGCCCTTGGTGGCCTCATTGCTACCTGGTCGTATCTATCCTGGGACGGACCCGATTACCCTATTGGCAACGGATTGAATCTTGCTGCCTCCAGCTTGTTACTCGTTATAACTACGGTAACCTTATTCTGGATGAAGGCGGACAACAAGAAACGCGAGAAGCTGGACGTCAGAAAGGAGTTGGAGGGGCTATCACAGGCGCAAATTGAGAGTCTCGAGTGGAAACATCCCGGCTGGAGATGGAAACCCTGAGCTTTTTATTCAAGGCTTGATACACATGCTTGGTTGTGGGTTCATTGCGGAGATTTAATTTGATAGTCAGCCCCAACCTAGTATCTAATGTTGCTTTATGGACAGCCACGTCCCTAGTAAAGAAACGTCTAGCCTTCGATATACATAGGGTACGTAGTTACCTAATGGACGAGGCTATACGATGTCTCATTTACATAAGACTTTCCATATTCAGTGTGCCGTAGGTTTTCGAACGCAAAGTAAATCACATATTAGGTACTCGAGACAGCTGAAAGCGATTTCGTTGTCGTTTCTTAAATCTATTTTGGGAATAAAAACTAACAAGGCGGCGCCGCTAAACGTAACAATGAATTGTAGCAATTTCTTTACACGGTTGTCTTAACCCTCTTGAATAGCACCTCCTTCGTCGGGTCGGGAAGAACGTCAGTGCCCATATTGATGTTGGCATAACGCTCGGTAAGGCCCTCGGGCATCTTAAGGTCGTACTCGAGAAGGATGCGCGCGAGGATCAGCTTAATCTCGTTGGCGGCGAAGAAACGGCCAGGGCATGAATGGCGGCCGTATCCGAAATGCATAAAGTCCTTCGTCACTGTTACGAACTGGTATTGCTCCTTATTCTTGTATCCTAGAGTGTCCTCGGTCGTGCCATTTCGTAGGTTCAAGAATCGATGAGCGTCAAATTCCTAAGACGATGTTAGTTCTTTACTTTTTAATGTTCGTACGGATGAGAACACGTCGTTCTCCAGGCTAATATTACCTCCGGATTGTGGTATAACTCGGGATCCATTACAGCTAACGCGTGCGGCGCCTCGATCAAGTAACCGGCGGGTAGGTGAGTGCCGTCGCTAAGAGTAACGGGTTTTTGGACATATCGCGTAAATCGGACCAGGTTAGCAGGGTTCATTCGCTGCGACTCCTTCATGACACTGTCAAGCAGCTTCATCTCGAAAAGAGCGTGGCTTGTTGTGACACCGTCGTGGCGAGCAAGAACAGTCTTAATCTCCTCTCGTAGCTCATCGATTATATGAGGTCTAACTACAAGGTCGTAAAGGCTGTAGGGAAAGGTTAATGCAATGCTCTTTTCGGAAAGATACTAGGACATAGGGATATCAATCTTACATCATTGTAACCGTGAGGGACGTAGTGTGGATGGCGGCCATGCTGAGGTTTAGCTGCGCTTCGGCGATTACTTCGTCGGTAAAGCCCATCTCATCGGCCTTCTTCATCATCCATTGCAAAGCATCGTCGGAAACTTCCTCGCCTGCATTCATAGCCGCACGGCGTTTTTCGAGAACGGGCTGTAGGAAAGCGTGCGCCTTCTTGCGATCTTCAAACAGCTTAGTGACTTCGGGAGTGAAGTATCGGCCAACCCATCGCAACCACTGGTTCCACTTCTTGAGCCCCTGGATGCCATTGACATAGTCTAACGTGTATCCGATACTAGCCTGCAAGTATTCATCCGAACGACATAACTCAGGTCCAATGAATAGAGCACCAGAGATGGTAGCAACCATGCGCAAAACTGTCTGATAAACCACCACGGATGTCCAGTCCTCACATGGCGGTAGTTCCTCGCGAATAGTACGTTCCGTCTCCGCGGAAAGTCGGGGGTTGATACGTACTTCAAAATCGGTTAAATTGGCCACTCCAAAATAGTTTCAATGTATAAACTTACCTAGACTACGGGTAAGGTCACCTCGAACAACGTTCATGACTAGACTTGATACTTGTGGTCTACCAATACCGAGGCGGTGGTGTTCGTTCGTCTACAATTAGTTAGTACCCGGGATTATAGCTCAAGATTGCTGATATATCATACAACATCGAAAGCTTTGTCGAGGCTTATAACATCATCCGGTAGATGCCTCACTTCCTCCATGAGCCGTCGAGGTAGGACAATACGGTCGCCTATCTAGCAAGATTAGCATTCTCCCATCTCTTAAGAAACGAGTCCTCTTCGTACCATCGAGAGTAGTCACCCTAAATGCCGTAGTAGATTTGAATAAGTCGTAACCCTTTTTGTAGAATTCCAAGCCCCGCGTCACGAACGCCTGTCTTCGCTTTGATGCACTTCCATACTCCAATCCCACCAGCGGTAATTTACTGTTACCACCTCCAAGAAGCACCGTAGCGAGGAATACTGAGGTAACGATAACAGCAACGGATGCAAGGACAGGTCCCCGCTCCTCGAGGAAACTTGCAGCCACATCCATTGTTTTTTCTTAGTGAACTCTGTCCGTGTAACTAGATTGTACTTAAAGAGGTCGACTAACAAAGCCGCCAACTTTGAAAGGGAAAGACTATTAAGTAGCAGCAGATGGGTCCTTTTTATTCTGAATCTGCAACTCTTCGTGATCTGCGCAGGGCCAAAGAAACAAATATAATTGGATGACGGGATAATACACTAGATACGCGGAAAGGGTTTCATTACAACTCGGGACTGAGCATGCCCGTTCCACTAAATTGCAAGGGAGACAGGGAGAGGGTGTATAAGTGGTACCGTCGATGGGGTATGAACCAATGATCTCCATCGCATTTAAACTCTTAGTCTGGGAACGAATACGACTTCAAAACTGACGTCTAATAGTTGCAGGGTACGTTACCATATCACTGTTTGCTATTGGCTCTCATTAAAATCGTACATATGTACGTATGTATGTAGTCCTAAAGTCACTAAAGTCACTAAAGATGAGAGAGTTAGAGAGAGTGTGAGATGAATAAATCCCTTGCATATTCCGTGCTACGTATACACAACAGATTGCCAAACAGCAAGATTTATCACATGGCTCAAATCGCCAACAACCGAGAGACTATTATGTACTACTTATACGTACTACCTACCTATGTAATCAAACTAGAGTAGTATTCTCCCTCGACTAACTCACGGAACTGTTTTACTTCCGAATACCCTAGCTACTATAGTACCGAACTGGTAGGGTATCCTTCGATGTTGCGTCCAAAACCCATTTGTCAAGACCAATCTAGTGCTTATCGAATACCGAAGTAGGGTATTGCTTACCCAGATGCCAACGCGCCATTGAATCGGCTAGGCAGACTAGGATGGTTGGACATCTAGAATCATTGATTATGGAAGCGAGGTAGCATTTCACAAAGTCAACGTCACTGATCATCGCCGCAGGATCTACTACATACGGCAAGTGCACAAAGACTGGCGAAATCTAATTGTTAGTGTTCTTGGATTATGATCCTATTCCTATTCCTATTAACTAGCAATTCAGCTGAAGAAATAGGCCCGTGAATGTCTTGATTTTAGGTCATAATTAAAGGCCCATAATTATCAAGTCTAACATTGCACGAGCCCATCGGGTCAGCGGAGTAGCCGAGTTAGCCTTTGATTTAAGATGTCCTAAAAATATCGTACCAAGCGAACGGTAGTTAAATCCAAGCGGAGATGGTGAAGGGAGGTCGCGAGCAATTTCAAATATCAGAATATTTGGATAATACTTAAAAACCAAATCAGAAGAAAGGCAGGATTTGCCGGTTCAAATTCCATGTTGGAAGCTATGATTCGGTATTTTCCAAATTTGTACATTATAATGCCGCGTGGAGTTGCCCCAATTTGGTCATTTTTCGCCTTATACGTCCCCATTCAGACACCTCCGAACATGTCTCGGCCCAGCTACCTTTAAGCTTATTTCCACATCCGTAGGGCTTAGATAACGCGTAATGTAACCTCCAAGGATTCTCCTTCTAGAAGCATTTTTAATCGAAGATTTCCTCCCTCTCTAGACTGTGTGTTGAACTGTATGTTGACACATGGAGATGCATTTGACATGGAGATCACAATCATGAAAGGTCTCTAGGGATAAAAAATCCAATAAAATGAAAGATATCAAGAGAGGCAACAATGATCCTTGAAAGCCAAAAAATGAGATTTCGAAGTGGTTTAACTACGCCTTATTGAATCGGGTTGTCTTGTATTTGAGTGAGAAATCCGAATACGACCGTTTCGAACCTCAACGCGCAATCCTGTAGCCAATCCACAACTATACGAACCAACATCTACAAAGTCACTTTTGAGAGATTAAAATTTCTATTACAGGCAACAGCGAGCAATGAGTTGTTTGTCAAGAGGCTAACCCCTAAGTTATCTTAGCAACGTCAAACTTCTGAAAGGAGAATTCCCTCTACTTTCTGCGGGAACTCCATTCTTTACGCGTCCTCCATTGCGGACCTTCCTCGTTTAGCGTATATTCTCAGGGCGCGAAGCAGATCATCACAGCCTGTCTATACTTGTCAATCAATCAATTCGTATTCGTTATCGTCATGGAGGAACCGGATACGTTTAAGCCAAGCAGTAACTTGCCTACGCGGCTCCTGTCACGAGGTGGAACCAAACAGCATGGAAACAACTTCGTTGTTCCTCAAGGAACTAACTACCTATGAGGTTCTAAGTCTGTACATACTAGTCCTGTTCTTTGTTCTAGATAAAACATCTAGAATTCTGACAGCTCCAACTATATACTAGGGGTCGAGATTCTACGGATATGATCAGAATAGGCGTTAGTATAGCTGTTATTCTTTGCTACGTGTCGACGGGTCCTAGCTTACCGCCCTTCATGATACACCCTGAAATAAGACTAAGAGTTGTTTGATTTAATATACTTACCTCTTAGGTGACCATAACATAGGTACCTTGTTCAATGCAATTGCTAACACACAATCCTTAAGCCCTCTATTTTAAATTTACCATAACAATCTTTAGCTAGCCAAGTCAATATTCTCTCATCCGTCACTACTACAGTACGCTAAACTCACAGTTGTTTCGAGCTTACAGTATATTGGGTGTTCCCTCCAAAGGACTGCGACTGTCCCTTCGAATTTCTATATTCCCGTGTTGTCCAAATTTATTTCACGGCAATTACATTGTCCCGATAAGACCATACTCCTTATTAAAAGTTCAACCATAGCTCAGGTAAATTCAAAGGAAATTCTTCCTCGTGAGGCAGCAGAGTTGTTTCCCGAGTCCCAGCCCACGTTATCACACCCTCTATACACTTCCGACAGTCATACAAAATCGATAGATCGGAGGCCCTGGGTAATCAATGCTTACCTGCAGCAGGCCTGAGTCATACCTCTGCTTTAGGGTGATATAAGTGGCTACTGAATAAGCAAGGCCAATAATTGCACCGTCATCTAGTACCTAATTCGAGTACAGGTACCTACATAGGGTCGAGTAATTTTAACCATTCGTTAAACTAGCGTGCTCACATATTTGTACTTCATAGCTTACCTTACACGTATGTTCCTGGATAACGGGAATCGATAATGTGTCTGATAAGAGTCTTTTATATCCGTTACTATGGTCAACAGCCGTAACGAATATGCCTATACGGCCACTAACCCAATACAGATGCCGACTCCTTTTCCGGATATCGGCAACGTCAGGTCGAAAACGGATGTATCAGAAAAATACCCAATGTCGAGGATCCCGGCAACATTTTGCCGAATATAACATTTAAGAAATATTTAAGATCTACTTTTTTCCTCCTCTCTGGTAGTTTTCTATTCTAAGTGTACTAGGTAATCTTCTAGATTGATTCGTAGCACGGGTAGGGCAGACAAGAAGCGACTTCGGGGTTAATAGAATCTATCATCTACACCCCAGATATGACATAGAGTTTAAGCGCATAATATGAAGTATATTGATGGGTGTTTCAAAACTTAATGCATTACCCGGTGGGGGCGTGAAAGGCGGAGAGAATCTTAAAAGTTAAGAGTCACGAATATGCTATGATATGGGATGCCGAACAACGTCCTTTCTTGAATGAGCCAACATAATGTCTCAAGCTCTATAAATATCTTGATTTATTAGTAAGCTTTCAGACCACACAAGCTACGCAAGGTAGAAACCATCCACGGTTAGTAGCCCAAGTAAAAAGGATAAACGTGGTCTAGACGAAATAATACATCTATCACAATTGTCACACAGCTCGCCAGTACTTCTTCACACCTAACGGCCAGTCCTCATCCTTAAGTGCATTCTCTGCCCCCTATCTTGCCTTTTCCTTTACTACTTTCTCCACGTATATGACAAGGCGACGAAGACCAGCATAGAAAAAGAGAATAGAGGAGCAATAGCATAGTCATGCCCAGGAAGATACATCTCGAAAGACGACATAGTCATAGCTCATAGCACCAATACGAAGAATATATTTAGGGGTGCCTTGAAACCTATCATTCCAAATCGAATCGGCCCTTTCTGCATCATGTGAATATAGGGGTAAGAGTTATGTGGCTGTAATAGATTCGGTCTTACGAGTATTTACCACACGCACCGCTCAGCTAAAGCATGGCAGCCCAGCCAGCCCAGCACCCCCAACCCCATTACCGCACCAATACCGTTTTCCTGGGGCGCAAGACGTCGTCATATCTCATCTTCATCTCAGCCATACGCGCTCGACAGACTCGCTTGGCGTCCGGAACGTAGGGCTGTCGTCCCGTACGCTCTCCATGCGCCCCGGATTCCCCATGCAGATGCAATAGAATTTCCCCGTACCCATTTCCCAACCCGTTACTACTTTTACCAGGATTCGCCGTACGGAACTTTCCTAATTCGACATTGATCGACTCGCAGCCAATCAGTCGGGGCCTAGATATGAACTCTGGCTCTACCGGCTATATTACCCCAGGCCCACCGGGTGTACCACAATCTCGTCCAATATCTGGACAGAGTTGGACCTCGATCTAATCTGCGCCGAAGAATTTCTGGATAGCGGCTTGTTGGCCTTGATTGAAGGCTTAGGCGACCCTCTGCGTTACGGAGATAGAGTTGAGGGGGGTTCGCTAGTATCGGCATCGCTTGTCCCTACTTTATTCCGTTCGGCATATAGTCGCATCAACCTTGCATGGATTATATACTCATCTATATATATGCGCGATGAAACTCTGGGGCAAAAGAAGGCGAACTCGCTACCTCAAGCCTGGTCGTTCTCACGTATCCTATCCTATAACTACCTGTCAACGACAAGATGAAGTTCTCTTTGTTCGCGGCTGCAGCATTTGCCCTGTCGGCTGAGGCTCACTGCATCTTCCAAGTAAGCCCAGCACGAATCCAGCATATAAATGTCAATAACTTACGAATCGTGATGTTCTTAGGAAGTCTCAGTCAACGGCCAGAAGCAGGGCTCTCTGGTTGGTCTTCGAGCCCCGAGCGACAACAACCCCGTCTACGATGTGACTTCACAAGGTAAGACTACCTGAGAGCTGCAAAAAAAGAAGAGTCAAGAACTTTGCAGAACAGCTGAGGAGTTCCTATGAAAAATAGGAAATAATAATACGAAAAGATGACTAACTCTTCACCCTAGACATCATCTGCCAGAAGCAAGGCCACACTTCCGACAAGGTCATCAGCGTCGCTCCGGGGGATAAGCTGGGAGCCTACTTCGGCCACGTCATCGGCGGTGCACAATTCGCCAACGACCCCGATAACCCAGTAAGGAAAACCTATCTACCTTGCCTAGCTTCTAAGAAGTAAAGACGAAATGATGACAGTTCTAACCCATGTATGATAGATTGCCAAGTCGCACAAGGGACCTATCACAGCATGGCTTGCTAAGGTAGACAACGCGGCTACTGCGAGTAAGACTGGGCTCAAGTGGTTCAAGATCTGGGAGGACACTTTCGACACCTCGAGCAAGCAGTGGGGTGTCGACCACATGATTTCCAACCAAGGCTGGGTTAACTTCCAGCTGCCGCAGTGCATTGCTCCCGGCGACTACCTCATGCGTGTCGAGACCCTAGCTCTGCACTCTGCGAAGTCGCCGAACGGTGCCCAGTTCTACATATCGTGCGCTCAGATCAAGGTCAGCGGCAGCGGCAGCTTCTCGCCTAGCCAGACCGTCAGCTTCCCCGGTGCCTACCAGAAGAACGACCCGAGCATCGTTGTTAACATCTACGGCGCCCTTGGCCAGCCTGACAACGGTGGCAAGCCGTACAGTGCGCCCGGCAACGTCCCCGTCATCCAATGTTAATTACCTAAAGCAACTCGGAATAGCGCGATAATCGCCTGTGAGGGGATGGTGTTGATTGGCCGCCTGGTGTATAGGGAGCATATAGTCCTGCAAATCTATATTTATATATCTGACACCCACCAAGAAACACATTCCGACCGTCAATAAGCGGGTTGATTTGTATAAGTCTAGTAGGAAATTCTAAACGAAGTTGACATATCATAATATTAAGGGTTCACTTTAAAAATCGCATGCTACCAAGTCCTATCTCTGTGACCACTAAGGGGTATTTGTTGAAAAATATGGTGGGATTGACCTTTCGAATCATGTTATAGAAGTAAGAACTTACTGGTTCTGGGAATGCCGCCATTCTGAGTCACACTACACATATGCGCTTCGGACGTAAGCTAGGTAGTTCGATTTGGTGTTCACCGAAGAAACTGGTGGTATTAATGTCGCCAATTGTGGCATGAGTTGAAGTTGAATATAGTATCGCTACGAATGAGGGAAATGGACTTACGTTATCCACCGCTACGCAGGTGCCGTTTTCCGACTTGAGGGATGGGAATCGTTTCATCAGCCGCTCTCTGACCCTAGATGTTTCTATATCTGAAGGATTTGTCTGACAAACAAATCCTTCCGTGCGGGGAGGCAAGGGGAAGTTGAAGCAAAGTGATGAGACGATCCATCCCACCAACCGTGTTGAATCTTCCTTATGCAGTTGTTATGGTCTTCTACCTTATGCTGCTCAGGCTGACTGGGCAGTTAGGCACTTCGATCGACCCATAGAAGTGGTGCCGTGGGGCAAAATACCCCGTTGGGACAAGGGGCTGTGCATAAGCGACGCTGCCCTACCAATCATCACCCTTCTCTTCCTTGCTCTATCTAACTGGGATTTCCCGGCGTATTAACTGATTTGAAAGTAGTCTAGTTCAGCTGAACTGACTGTGCATATCGCGGCAGCTAGGGCTATGTGGACCCCTGTGAAGAGCCGCTTGGGGTCCAAATACTTTTAGGGTGTCGAGTGTCCCGCTGCTGCTCGAGATAAAGTTAAGAATAATAGAGTAGAATAATATATTATGACATGAAACCTATTATTTTCGAGAGATATTAGTCTTTAAGATAAGTGTATATCGGCAATACACGGCATAGCATATGCCATAATGGCACCCCCGACATTGCAAACCTCAGTTAGTGCGTTGAGCATAAGCTCCCCTATTGAGAAAGCGGCAGATATATCCGAACAAAAAGAAATCGATGCAATCTGGAAAGAAGTCTACAACAAGGTCGTCGAGCTCGCCGGTGGGGATCCGAGGCGAGTTCAAGGGACCCTCGACATCAACGCTGTTCTTAAGTACGTTGACGACGTACAAGCCTCTAGCAAGAAGAAATCCGAGAAATTCGGCACGTTCAAGAACATAGTCAATAGAACGTTACAATGCATAAATACTGTCGGAGGAATAGTTGCCGACGGTGCCTCAACCGTAAGTATACTCATATTAGCAAGCCTATGATCTTGCCCATCGACTTTGATGCCGATAACAAGACTCGCTAACAAAGGTTCATAGGTATTTGCCCCAGCGGGGATGTGCTACAACGCACTCACCTTCGTCATACAAGCTTGGCAGGGCTATGAAGGTATCTTTGATAACCTCGCCGAGTTGCTTGAGAAATGTACAGAATTCCTCGAGCGCCTTGAGTCCTATCAGGGAAAGATGGATAAGAGGCTTACACGTGTTGCGGTTCAAAACCTTCGACTGTTCGTTGAAATATGTGATCGCACAATCAAGCTGCGCAAAAAGCACAATAAGCTATTTGCCTTCACGAAGCAGTTATTCTTGAATGACAACGGCATTCAGGATCTGCTTGGCTTCATGGATCGACTCAATAATAAAGAGGCCCTTCTGGTTAATGCGCAAACTTACAAGATCGTGAGTGATAGCGCTGGGGACATCAAGTTAATACTTGATAGCCAGAAGGAGCAGAAGAAGGAACAAGAGTCAAAGAAGTGGAGGGCGGCCATTGCAAAGGCGCTAGGATTCCCTCCTACGTCGTTGGACAAGGACGGGGAGCCGATTCCATCTTGGCAAAAGACTTTTGATGCTCGTAAGAACATGCTGGTCGATGACACTGGCAAGTGGATCTTAGAAGATGAGGTATTCCTTGAATGGACGGACTCGAAATCTTTTAAGAAGCCCGTGATGGTTTTGGGAGGCAGGAATGGTTCTGGAAAAACGTCGGCGATGGCTAACACTATGAAATATCTGAGGAAGATAAGTCAAGTTGGACCGGCCTCTCGAATTGTCACGCCTTACTTCTTTGTAGATGTCGACAAGAAGAAATCTGACGATGAAGATACCAGCACTGTTCTAGAGTTAGTTTCGCGGGCGCTACTCTGGCAGATTTCGATCGCCTACGAAGCGATGACTAAATCCGTATACCAAATCCTTGAGCGAACTCCTGAATTTGATGGCTCGCTCGACCTCTGGCAACAGCTATTTATTAACAATAAAGAGCGCATGAACCCAGATACATCATTCTTCTTATTCATCGACAACTTTGACGAGACGCTCGTCCCACTACTCGAGAAACTGACCTCCGGAGGCATGGGCAAGAAGACTCGGGTCTTCTTGACCACCCGGCCGCAAATGGTCTCGGAGTGGTTCGAAAAAGAAAAGTGGATCGAGTTCAATATGATTCCAATTTCCGAGCATAATAAAGATGATATTGACAAGTATATCATTTCTCGAATGGATAGTATGCCTATCCTCAAAGATGCTAGTCGCCCAGGTATTTCTGAGTGGCGAGATAAGATCCTGAGGACATTACGATTCAAGTGTGCCGGCGATTACTTCAAGCTAAACTCGAGTCTTGATGCCCTTGCAAAGGTCGACTTGATTGATGACATCAACGAAGTGCTTGCGGATGCTGATAGGACTCGCGTCGATCAGATAGATGCTGAACTTCGGCGGCTCAACACCTCTCGCACCATCAAAGAAATTCAAGAAATAAACGAGATCATCCTATGGATCGAGACTGGCCGACGTTGGTTGACCATCAACATGATGGAAGACCTATTGTCTGTGAAATACCGGAATAGCTCAGCCGCGCAACCTCCTAACCCCATTATCCCGCTTACGCGACGAAAGACAGACTCGCCAAACATTGAGAGCATCGCCCAGGAGGCTACCCCTAAGACTCTCACCATATCACTACTTCCTTTTGCCCAGAAGCTAGCAGAGAAGTACCCAATATTCGCCGTAAAGGATTCAGGATACATTGATTGGCGCTCCCCAGAGGTCAAAGACAGAATCCCATCTAAAGGTTCTGATCCAGGTGCCGTGATGGATGTTGCCGCATCGGGTCCGCAAATAATTCAAGAGTCCGAAATTGTTATCGTACAGCATTTTCTCAACAACGTATGTCCACCCGAGCTCTACGAGAGGTTCGAATTCGAACATTTTTTCCGTACGAAGCTCGGCGCGAGACATAAGGAGTACATCTGCCTCGATCCTGACAACGCTGACATTAAGGCCGCCATAGCTTGCTTAACCATTCTCACGGAGGAAGAATTGAGGAACAATCGAGGTCTTCGTCAGTATGCAATTAATTGGCTGCTAGACCATTTAAAAGAGGTTGATCTCTCAGCAGCTGATCGAGATTTGAAGGCGCAAGTTGGTCCGCTCCTCGTGAAGCTATTTACAGAGGAATGTGGAATTGACTCCTTGTTCTGGCCTTTTGAGTTGGGCGTGAGCAAGCAAACTTGGGAAGATGACGAGAACGTCGATCTTCGCTACACCCGGATTGAATGGGTCTATTCTACGGCTGGAGTCCAGGAGGTCTCTCGCTGGCTGCGTGACTCTTCGGTAACGAAGCGCATCACTAGTGACCACCCAGGCGCCTCATTTGTTGCAGAAGTAAAAAGCTCCGCCAACCTACACAAGACAGTGCTCTCATATGCTGCTAAGCACTTAGCAGACCATCTATTCCGCCGTGTAGAGTTCCTTAACCGTCATTTCCGTTGTGCGTGTTGTTTTATTCGCGGGTATTTATCACGAGTGAGTCCTCGAGCCTCTTGTTTGTAGCACGCGAAACGTTTTAGCTGATAACCTCTATCTAGCTTGATCCAGAAAGGGCATCCCAGATGCCAAATGATTCACCCGTATATAGTGAGGAGGGTAACGCGCACATCCTCGACAAATTTGAAAGCGCACTATTCACTATTGAGCAAGTGAACGAGATCGAGACATTTGCAACGGAAGTGCTTCAAAAGTCGAATGATACGCCAGAAGAAGAGTCGAGTTGGGAGACTCATGGTGCATTAATTATATTTCAATTATGTGCCGAAGCCAGCGCCATTGAGATTTATCAATCTCGAGCACGGAAGGCGGTCGATCTCAACCCTCGGAATTGGCACGCGGTTCATTTCATCGCAAAGCAACCAAACATCGGCGACGAAGAAGCAGTGCGGCTATTATCCGGGGCCAAACAAGAAATTGACAATATTCGTGCTCGGGATCCAGAATGGATTATGGACCATAACAACTCAGCATTGCTAGCACGTATTACATTGGATCTGGGAGACCGCCTGTGGGACTTGTCTCAAGACTATCAACTTGCTGCACGCACCCACAGGGAGAGTCTTGAGTACGACTACGTCCGTTTCACGGACTATACCGAGGTCCTTACTCGATACCAGAAACAAGGGGCATTTTCCGAGTTTATTGCTTTCATCGAGACGTTGAATAAGACCAGCGAAACTTGGGCCGAGTATTTTGACGAGTTGGTTTACGCGTTCGTATATCAGCTTACAGCCGATTCGGACTCTAACAAGCTATCCCAAGCTGCGGATGAAACCAACCGCTGGGATGTCATCGAAGCTTTCTTCACTCTGGCGTTAGATATGGGTGTTAAACGAGAAAACCACGATCTCCTCTTTCTTCTCCGACACGGTTTTGCAAAGACGCTTGCAAACGCCGCCGGCGGATTACAGGAAGACAAAGTCGTCGCCATCCAAGAGAAGGCCCTTGAAGATGTTAAGCTTCACCCCAGTGATGATTTATCTCGATATGAAATAGACGAGATGACTAACTCTCTTGCCGAAAGCTACTTGCGTAAAGCGTTCCAACCTGATTTAGTTGTTGACAAGATTGACTTTTACGGGTCTCGCATTGCCGACTTGCTACCAGATGTCACAAACGAGAGACTAAACATTTGGGGAAGCAACGTTAATATATGCTGTCTAATACGATACCACCATAAGCGTAAGAGCGGCTCGAAGCTTGCCAAGGAGTGGACGCAGAGGATAGTACGCACAAGCATTGAACTTCTTTCTGATGAAGACGAGGAGAACGATGGAATGGCACACTGGCTGCTAGATCGCCTATTAACTACTATCGACGATACGAGAGGTGTCCGAATTTCGTGGCAACTGCGTAATCTATCGCAGCATGAGGCTCTGGTCAAATGGCAAGATTGGGCGGCCAATCATGCTACTACACCAAATGGTACAGCTGTAAACAGCAACTTTAGCCCTGTGGCCATCGACGGCGTGATAAAAGGAAGCGAGGATCCTAGTAACGTAGTGCTCGAGCCGCCTACGCCATCAAAAGCTACCGACGACAACGCCGCCGCAGCTCCTGAGAAACCGTCTTGGTATGTGATCTGTGACGGCTGTGACAAGCAGTGGACAGTGGTTGATGCGCCTCTATACACCTGTGCAGACTGCTTAGGCCAGATCCAACTTGATGGCGAATGCTATGAGCTGCACAAGAAGGGCGAGTTAAAGAAGAAAGGATTGAAGTGTACGAAGGAGCATGCCTTCATCGAAGTACCCGCTTTCGACGCAAGTTTATATAAAGACATTCCAAAGGCTTCAGTACCTCTTCCCGATGCTAAGCCCGGTGAGAAGAGGTGGATGTCTCTTGACGAGTGGAAAGATGAGTTGAGGAAGCTATATTTGAATGACGATGCTGTGGAAGTTAGCGTGCAAACGCCGGAGGTTATAACGTAGGTGCAAGGCTGTTTGTAGACTGTTTTAAGAGGCGTTCGTGGAAGGGTCAAGGGATGAGAGAATCACGTCGCAGCATTGAATCAATTACACGATGATGACGAGGATGATGATGAGTTATGAGAGAAGAAGGGTCAAAGTTAGATTGTGTAAAGATTAGGAGACTTCAATAAAATGCTGTAGGTTTGAAGCCTGTGAGGTTCCAGTGGTAACAGGTCCCTAAAACTTAGGTGCTTTAGGTGCATGTAGTGCGGTCGGTGTCCGTCGCACTTACTTTAGTTGTCTTTAGTTGTTAGGTACCTAGGTACCTTATAAACTCCCGTATAACCACGAAGACAGACAACTTATAGAAATCTTATAATCCACTATCCCAATTCATCATTTTATAAATTAATTCATAATAATCGTAAATTTCTGAATATCCTAGACATATAGACCCATCATCGTCTCAAGTCACCCACCTCAGCAGCAATAGGCGGTACACTCACCACAACCGTCTCATTCATCTTGCCCCCACGATACGCATACGTAAAAGTCCAGCCGGACCCAGCACCACCATGATCGCCTTTACTATTCACAACCACAATACCGCTCTGCACATCCGGATACTTCCGCAGCATGCGCCGAACAGCGTCTTCGGCCGCTTGCTGTGGACTCATGCCCTGCCGCAGATTCTCAACAGCTTGGTAACAGGGCAGAAACCGCATCATGATATCCCCGTCACCCGTGGCGCCGCACCCGCCAACATCTCCGTCGACGTAGGAGCCGCTGCCCGTGATGGGCCCGTCGCCGACGCGGCCGGGTACTTTGCGGCCGGCACCGTTGGTAGAGGTTCCTGCTGCCATGGTGCCCGAGGAGTGCAGCGCGATCATCGAGATCGTGTCGTGTCCCTCGGGCTTGTTTCGCGGCTCTAGTGATGATGTATATGCGGCTGAGTTTGAATCGAGGGCAAGTGGTGTGTAAGGACCACAAGAAATAGACGGGTCGGGTGATACATTGATGCGATAGTTTGGTTGGCAATTCTCGGCCTTCCATTGCTCGCACGAGGCGGCAGAATTCTCCGTCGTCAGATTTTGCACAGTAAACCCATTTGCAACTGCAAAGTCAGTCGCAAAGTCACCAGCAAGTAGCGTATGTGTTGTATGTTCCAGCACCGCTCTCGCGACTGAGATTGCTTCCTTGACGCGCCGAAGAGCTGCGACAGCTCCTGATTTCATGCTCGTGCCATCCATTATCATTGCGTCGAGGGTTGTCTATTCATATCAGTTTGACTAGTACAGCGGGCATTTGACGAACCAAGTGTAGCTATTCCCTATCTTACCTCACAATTTTCATCAGGAGAGCCGCCATAGCCTACACTCCCATCACACTGGTTAGCCTCGCAGGCAGAACACCCAAGTTCAACAGCATCGAGAGCCGATGTCTCCGGCTTCAAAAGAGACAAGTATGCCGCATCTGTAGCTACAGTAAAAGGGCCGCCCCAAGTGTTAATTATCATCGGCAAGCCAGGCGAATTGTCAGTGTCCTGCCCACGTGTGGTGACAATTGACGTTGTCAACCAGACGATCAAAGACGTTAACCCAACTCCACGGAGGTGAGCCATCATGGCGATTAAGCATAGGGCCAGCGGGATGTACCAAAATTTAATGAGCGATACTGCCCCCTTAAACAAAGAAACAATCAACATTAATACCACATATTCAACCAACGTTGGTAGAAATCTAATATCTAAGTTGATAACAATGTTCCAGCAGCCAAGCTTTCTCCAATTCCTTATCATTTGGTGATGGGGCAGCCATATCATCAAGCTAACCCGCCAAAGCAACTGAAAAGATACACTTGGAATGCCCCCGCAATTGACCTACAGGCGATATCGATCAATCATAGTCGTTATATTACATTCCTATTTTATTTTTTGCTCATTCATCGTCTCAGGCCAACTATTCGCTTCAAGGATTTATCTTCTAGATTAATATATTCTATATAAGCTATGTTCCTTCACAGCATTAATTTGTTAGAGCTGTTCTGAATAATATACCAAGCTTGATTGAATGGCACTTCCGTGCTTCGCTGCAAAGTATGACATGCTCTATGTGTAGGTGTTTTGAGCAGTAAAGAAAATGGTGCATTGGACGTAAACAAAATACGCTATGGGTATAACTTAACGTGATTTGCTGGCCTAGACCTTCTTAATCCAATTCGACGCTAGCAATCGCTTCTTTTACGAATATATCGTCACCTAATGTAGGTTTTCGTTCAGCTTGGGCATTCGCGGAACCAGGCGTGCCTGGAATCGACTCCCGAGACTCAATGCTTGCCCAGTCGGTTTCCTCGTCAGCCTCACTCCTACTAGCCTCGCTATCTGTCTCGAGGACGGCATCAGCCCCGCGGTGTCTCATATTGCGTTTAAGTATGCACATCTCAATGGCGATTCCCGGGCCAAAGGCACACCCCACCACATAATCCCGGACCCGGCCACCAGGGGCCATTGCGTCCATATCTTTACTTCGTAGGCGGTCCATCACGCTGAAAATAGTAGCCGAGCTCGAGTTTCCGTGATTCATGTATCGGTCATAACTTGCGCGCATGTGCTCTGGCGAAATACCCATTACTTTTTCAGCACCCGTTAAGATGGTCAGGCCACCTGGATGCAACGCCCAATCAAAGTCGGATGCCTCTTTGCATTCAGCAGGGAGACCAGGAACATTTTCCAGTAGATCGACGAAACTTGGGCGCAGTATTTCGGTTGCTAGTTTTGGCACTCGAGGTGAGAGTATGACCTTCCAGCCAACCGGGTCTACGTCAAAGCCAAGATCGGTCTCTGTCTCGGGGATGATCTTGTGTTCCCACCCAAGTAATTCGTAGATTGGTTCGGCTGTTGGCCGTCCGATTCCGTTACTGAGAACTAAGGCGGACGCACAATCGGAAAATAAGCAAGCCCCAATGCGCGTTTCTTGGAACTCGTCAATGCTGTCCAGCTCGCTGCGAACCATCGTTGTGCTCACTTCAAGAGCAACACATAGAATCCTAGCAGCTTTCCGTCTCATTGCGTGACCCAAAGCTAAATTAGCAGCAGTGCGTAGTACTGCCAATCCACCTGCACAACCGACTCCGTGCAACAAAACCTTCTCTACTTGGTGGGTGACACCCAACCCCTTCGCAACGAAATGATCAAATCCGGGGTTAGCACTGTCAGTACACGTTGTTGAAACTATATGAGTAATCTCAGATAGATCGATCCCAGCTTCTAGAATTGCTTTCCTAGAAGCCTCAATGGCGAGCGGAACACCATCTGACATGAAAATTCTGTGGAGTTCTGCTATTGATGGTGCTTCACGTAGGTTTACTGACGGATGATCTGAGGTACCAATAGATGAGCGCGTGTCGATACCCGTGTATCTATTTATTGAGAGCACCTTCTGCATACTTAAGCAACCGTCTATTAGTACATAAAATGATTCATTTCCGGGGGCAACCTACGCAGGAGAGTCAGGATAGTATTTTCTTGCGATTTTGTCCACCTCAACTGATTTGAGGGAGTAAGGAGGGTATTGAGCTCCTAAGCCGATAATAGAGAGACCCAGCTCCCCGAACGTATTTGACGATGCCATTACTCTTAGTCGTACGTCAACTTCTCTTGTTCGATTAGGTATTGAAATCTATCGTGATGTAAAAACAACCGGATGGTAGTGGAAGAATGTAGGTTAAGATTCTAGCCTCGGTAACGTTTGTTCAACGCGGTAACGCTAAGCGCCGACGGTTTAGAAGAATATAACACGAAGTTCTTTTGTAAGTTATCCCCTGCCTAGACTAATAAGCTAATAAGCTAATAGAAGAAAAAGAGAGTATGATACGCCAAGAGATTTAACCACAAATATCACAAGTAGGTATATACCATAAACGATTTACACATAATAGGTTAAAATAAAAGAGGAAGAAAGTTGAGAGAGCCGATCATTTGGTAAGTACTGATAATAGAACTTTAAAGCGTCTGGTGTTTCGTCCGACAGGTGCTACTGATACACTAGGTACCCAGGTAATATGTCTAGCGTAACCCGAGGCACGATTAAAGGATTAAAGGGTATAGTGGTTGATCAGGGTCACTATCAGGGCTATTAGGGTATGACGTCCCAGTTTGAAACGATTATGACACAGACGATAGCGGGTGGTAGCAGCGAGGTAACAAGGCAAGCAGTTGCCAAGTACTTACCTTAGGTACTTACCTAGCTTATTTATATATCTGGGATCTACCTGCAAAGTACGTACATATGTTGAGAGCTAGTGGTTATTAGTGTGGTCCAGCTCGTAAACCCGGACAAGATGAGAAAGTATTTTTCATAATTGATATTGAATGTACATACTATATAAGGCAATAAGACTGCGGGTTTGAAGATCTTGAACGGGATAGAAGATTATCTAAGATGTCTATTTTGACCCGCATCGTGCGAATTGCGCTCCTCCGCCCGTACATATGCTTATACTCCATCATTATGTACCATAGCGGAGGAAGGGGGTTTGAGGGAATCATTCCGTAAACCTAAAACTATTGCACTTAGTAAAATCATTCCACCTGACGAAAACAGGGGAATCAGCTTGGTGCATTCCAACGTCATGGAATGATTCTATTACTAGAATGATTCCGTAAAATAGAACGATTTGCCTTTTCACGTGACTTTCACGTGATATTCACGTGAAAAAGTGGGGTCAAAAAGGAAAAAAGTCAAAAAATTAGAAGGACTGGTCCTCGAACCCACCACTCTTGCGTTCGTGTAACCATAAACCCCACCTTTTATTATTAAGGTTAAAGTTTAAAGTGTAAACGTTTGAGCTAATGGGACGAGGTGGCCAATCTCATCGAATTATTTCATTGTGGAATTTTTCCTGTTTTTAGGCCTTATAACCTTTACATCGGAAAAAGTAATATTTTGACTTAGAAAAAAAAAATTTTTTCATTTTATTTTTTTATTATTTTTTTTATTATTAAAATTTTGTATTCTTAGTAAAATTGTTCCAAAAGTTGGAACGATTTTACTGGATGGAATGGTTTTACGGTTATAGAACGCTTTCTTTAAAATAAAATATTAAAAGTGGGTACCTAGACCCACTATACCCGGATTCTGACCAATCAGAGCCCTTAAAACCCAAAAACGTTCTACCGCACGGAATCATTCCAGTTTTAGAATGATTCCGCCAAACCCCCCTCCTCCGCTATGGTATCCATGTAACCTCCGGTCTAGAACGGGGCAGTTACATAGTGTTTCCGTTTGCCTCGTCGATACCAAGACATATATATAGGTAAAGATGGAAATAGAGCCTTAGGTAATTCGTACAACGCTCATACCTTATCTTACTTTGAGACGGCATAACAGGTACCAATACTATTGTTTACATTTTTAAGAAAGAACTCTGGGGTAACATCGTAATAAGCACTATTAATGTTGAGCACTTCGTATCCTAGATACCAGGGTGGATTATACCTAATGCACATACAGAGTACATACAGATTCCCAACCGAATGTATATAATATTAGCTTACTGTAGCCCACGCCAATTCCAATATTCAAAAAATCATGAATCATCATTGCCGCTCAAGATATCTCGGTATCGAAATTACCATACTAGCGAAATATTGGCAAAAATACACCGCAACATTTGCACAGGTTCAAAATTACAAAGTACAAGACGTCGCTTAGAATCTAGACACCTCGCGCATGGCATGTAAGACAAGGCTTATGCAGGGGATATGCTTGTACGTGCCTAGTGCAATTCGTAGAACCTTTTCACATGCAACGTTCGAATGCACGTGCGTCAATACCCCTTCCGAAGCATGGGCTCAGGAACAATCGGCTTTAAGATTTGTATCTAGACGGTGTTTGTAACAAAATAATAACATCTCACTACCTACTATCCCACGCTTAATCACATACAACCTAAAATCTACCCGTAACAATGATTCTAGTCAAGTTACCCTTCGCCATACATGCCCTCGTCGAGACAGCGGCGGCTCTATCATTCATATTCAATCCAGAAAAACAACTCCCAGGATGTAACACGGCCGCAAAGCTCATCCTGCGCCAGTACGGCGGCTTACTGCTATCAACTAATCTTATCTGCCTTGTTATTCTCATCGAGCCCAGCTTCACTGACACGACTCGCCTACTCGCGGCTGCGTTGGGAACATATCACATCTGGCCATGCTATCGAGCTTATGTTCGAATTAGTCAAAATATAGAGGGAACAAACAAGGAAAAGCCAGTTCTAGGCGGACCTCTATTACATTTAATAGTTCACTTGACCTGTTTTGGGATGTTTATATGGACTTGTGTCTCCTGAAAGACGCTCCGTCACAATCTGCTCATCATGATGCAGTCTCATAATTACTGGCATAGCATTCTAAGATATCAATCTAAGCAAGGCGGAACTTTCGCTACATGTGTGTTCGTGTTGAACCACTCATGATCAGTGCAAACACCATTTGAGTCTACAGACCAGGTTCCTTCTTCAACTAGTGATGCCCAATGACGAAGGACCTCGGCAAGTTTAGGATCTCGAGGCGGACCCCAAGCAAACCTATGTCGAAATTCGCAAGCATTAGGCAATCCTGAACTTGCGATGAGACGTACGACATCGGAGTATTTCGTGTCGGCTATCACATACAATCCACTCTGGCGATTAACTGTGAACTTCCCGAAACCCCAGTCGCGATCGAAGGAGTTAATGTACATATTCGGATTATCGCTAACATCAAGAGGAACTGTGTCTATGCCGGGGAATAGGAGAGTAGGCCAATCCTCATCTCCGGAGTCCCCCAGCCAGCGCGTCTGGCGCGTCGATCCGGGTGCCTCCGCTGTATATGTAACGACAAATAATTCCGGCGTAAAAGTGTTGATCCCCGGTGCATTAAATGAGAATCCGGGCCGTTGCGCTCTAGTGAGGAATTCGGCAGCGAAAGTACTAATATTAAATGGAGCCAGCGACTCAGAACTCAAAGGTTCAAGTCGGTGAGGGGCATTCCCAGTCCCAGAGGATATGCGTAGCTCAATACTAGAAAGGAGTCGGTTCCAAGCCACGAGAGCCTCCTCAACATCGTTCTGCGTCCAGGATCTAATAGCCATAGAAGCCTGTCCAACGTCCCAATAAAACTTGCCCGTCTCCCACGCATCAAGTGACCTTTGGAGTAACACTTCCAACGGCAACCATTGATCAGCGGGTGGGAAAGTAAGAAAATCCCTTTCATGCCATACGGCCTTGTATGACACTATATCAAGAAAAACGCCGCCGTCCATAGGTGCATCACCGCTGTTTTGTGCATAGAGCAGGATGAAGGACGGTTCGTCCTCGAAAGGTTCGCTCCAGAAAATCGTCGGATCCGGTTGATACATATACGGCGTCAACATATCCACGACCCGTCCGGGGAAGATAGGCGTTGTGTCGAGTAGTGCGAGAAACCGGTAAAGGGGCAGCTCAGGAAGAGACGGAATCTCGGCAAATTCCGGGGCGGCGTCTAAGAATCGCGCTACGAGATTCCTCTCAGTCCGTCGCGCGGGGAGATGCTCGATGGACTTTGCCAGCAACCGATTATGCAGGTCCGCGCAACGTTCTGGAGAGAATGATAGACTCGGTAGATCCATTTTAGTGGAAGTGGACGGGTTTGAAGATTGAATATGAAAGATATCGAGATACAGAATATTTAAGAAAGTTCCCCGTTGTGCTCTTGGGGAATCCACAAAACCGCCGTCAAACCTCCAGCGACTTTCAACACGATAGCCTCTTCATATATTTACTTAGGCATAGCATTCTCCATCCCAATTAACAAATTCGTCAAATTCATTCTCACCGATATCATCCTCTATATCATCAAGCGTTCGTAACTCTCCATCGTCCTCTAGATTCGGCCAATCGTGGATTAAATCAGCAGTCGGGAAATGGCCCTCCTCGCGTGCCATTTTCATTGCTTTATCGAGCTGCGAGCGATCTTTGCCGTGGGATGCCGCGCCCGCCTTCAGGAGTATATGTACCGTATCCGTCCGCCCATTGAAAGCAGCACCTTCGAGAGCTGTCATCCCCCTAACCATTGCCGCCGGAGCATCGACTTTGGCTTTGTGGTTGAGCAAATAGCAGACTATGCGATTATAGCCACCGATTGCAGCTAGTTGGAGGGCAGTCGCGCCACTACTAACAGCCGGCAGTGCGTTGATATCGGCGCCGAAGTTATGTAGTAACTCTACCATTTCAAAACTTCCAATCTCGGCCGCCCGCTGCAATGGTGTACGTCTTATGCACCCGGTAATAGTTGGATTAATAATGGCACCATTCTGTATGAATAAATCCACCATCTGAATGTTTCTTGTGCCAACAGCTGCAAGGAAAGCTGTGATTTTTTGGGTAACCTTAGTAATATCCTTGCGCCTCTGGATAGATGATAACTCTGCCACTATACCGTTAGGATCGCAACCAGCTTTCAAGAACAGCTCTACCAAAGACAAGCTCCCAGTTTGGCTTAGACCAATCGCTTGTCCAAACGGGCTCATCATCTCGTAGACGTAAGAGTACTCTTTAGAACATCGTCCATGGTCAAGCAGTTTATTTGGATCAACTCCGTGATCCAATAAGTATTTTACCTCAAGCTCGTCATGACTCTGAATAACACTGCAAAAAGCACACGACATCGATCGTCGTCCTTTTCCGTAGCGTACATTGTCATTTGCTTTTAAGAGTAGTTCGAACATCGGTCTGTATTCCGATTGAACCTTTTGAATGGTCTTACATGATATGTGGGGATCTGCGCCGTAGGAAATGAGCAGCTTAGCCATATCGAGGTTCCGATGTCTAATAGATTCCTCAAGGTTATGTTCGTTGAATATAAAACCCTTATAGTCACCTTCGTGAGGTGTGTCTGGATATTCCTCTAGTAACAATGATGCTAGCCAGACATTATTTGCCTTGACGGCCCATGAGAGCTCGCAATGCTGTCCCGACGCTAGCAAAATCCGAACTATCGCCTCCTTACCTAGCGAAGCTGCCAGCATCACTGCATATTGAGGGGTAATATCAGATAATGGCAGGGATATATCTCTATCCTCTGTAGGATAGAGAGATATTGGGTCGGTAGGGGCTTCGAGCATATAGTGAGTAGCTGCTACCCTGTGGTAATCATGTACCCCAGAGTAATCGGTATGGTCAAATCCAAGAATTAAGTGCACAAGACTCTCATTACCTCCTCGAATAGCCTCAGAGAGCGCAGGTTCAAATAGCCTGTCACCTATTGGTAGGTCAAGTTGCGTAATGTAGTTAAGTAGCATGCTCGCAACCTCGTAATCTCCAGTCCTTGACACTTCCATAAGAGCGTGGTAGAGAAATTTGAAGGTCGTGATGGGGATATTCAAATTCCTCAATTCCTCGGTCAGCTCTATAATAAGACTTGTATCAACCTTGTCGACTGCTGCCACCCATCGGGCGCACAACACATCAAGGTTCCTTGGTGACTCTTGGTATGCCAAGACACTCCTGCTTGAACACAGTTTATTTTGAACTGCTGTCTCTACAGAAGTGCCAAGACCCTGTATGCATTCTTCAGGGGGGAATCCAAATTCAGCTTCCATAAGTTTGGACGAACCTCGACCCCCATGAATAAGATAATATAGACTGGCCTTATCAGGAACCGTACCATAGTCTAATAATATCTTAGCTAATTCCCAACTGGTCTCCAGATTGTCCATCGAGACAACCGCCGTGAATATATCCTGGTGCGTGAGATCTACTCCATTGTGATGTAAAATATGTAAAAGACGCACTAGAACATCTTTATGATTTTTCTTGAATTTCTCGATGGCACTCCTTAGTTGGTAAACTAGTCCACTGTCGGTTAACAACAAATTCTTGGAGGCTATTTGACAAGCAATGTCATCTTCTCCCAGTTTGAGGAGTGTGCTAACCGTATCCAAATCGACAATACTTCCAGCATCTAGTAGTATCCGGATAATCTCGGCACGGTTAGATTTGGACGCCATGCCTCTACCAATTTCATATCCCAAAAACGCACGTTTCAATGCACCATGCGACCCAATGCGACATCTTCGTGGGTAATTATGCTCACAACAAGAGCCTTGGTATGTTTTGTTTACATCTGCGCCATTACTCAGTAGAACCTTAATAAGGCTCTTGTGCCCCATTTCTGAGGCTCTTTCAATGAGTGTGTATTGGTTCCAACTATCGAAGTAAAATTGTTGGTTGACATCAATTCCCAAATACTTGTTCGAAAGTATGTATTTCGCAGTTGCTGAATCTCCTATTTCGATAGCCCCTTTAAGAAGATTCTGTGCAATAGAACGAGCAGAATAGCGGCTAGAATTTCTCGATGGGGATAAAATCAGTGGATAGAGGTCTGTATTGGTAGTTTCATTGAGGATCTGCAATATTTTTCCACCAGGAAAGGAGCTAAACCCGGAGAAGTTATTACAGGCAGAGTGTAGAATTTGGCGGTATAATGGTGGGCCCAGGATAGTTGTCTGGTGAATTATACAAGGGATGATAGAACTCAAGGCATTTGGATCCGCGGTGGTGAAAGTAATTGAGCCCCTCGAACTATAATATTGGGACATATCCTCGATGCTCTTCTGTCGTGGTATCAGGGCGTTTGCGGGGGTTGTTTGCTGGTCTGTGAGAAGTCGGGCGTTGACCATCACGTTGGGAGCAAGATCAGAAGCCAATTTTCTATCGCAAATAGACCTTTCAAACTGGAAAAATGGAAGATCATGAGTAAGCGAGAAGGTCAGATCCTCCGCTGGCGTTCGGATAACGAACTGTGCTGGAAGTTTTTGGTTTCCTATGCACGTCTAATAAGTATAAAAATTTATCTACTCGACGAGTTCATTTAACTCACCGATAAGTTCCAACCGTCGGAGAGTGCTGGGAGTACTCCTCGCGACTCTCTTCCTTAATTCCTCCTCTCCCAATAGCCTTCCCCATTCGAAGACATTGCTTTCTTTGCCATCACTCTTTCTCTGCTCTATAAAAATTGAAAGCATCTCCGTATCCTCGACCTTGCTGTTCTTGATCCATTTCGGACCCCATTTCTTGAACTGAGTGCGATACTGGCTTTCCCTTTTCATGGTTAACTTTGTGCTTCTAGTTCGAGACTTATTATCACTTACGTAGCTTCGAAGTCCCTCCGGATCATCTCCGTCCTTACATCCTTTAATGATTTATTAAGGGTAAGATAGAGGTACTTGATATCTGGCTTTGCGGCGGCCCATTCGGCCTCTGTGATCTTAGAGGGCATCGTAGTTCAGCGAGGGAGACTGAATAAGACAAGGCAGAATAGAGTATAGAATATAGAGAATAGAGAATAGAGAAACCAGAAATGATGGGACATGCTAACAGATATTACTTCGTATATATAGATACTCAAGCTATGATGAAATGGCGGTTATAACATACCACCGCTCCAGCCTGCAGTGGTATCGGCTCTTAGTTGGCTAATAACATTTTGCTGCCAAGGAGTCACGGCTATGTAGCATTTTGTGATGGGAAAATGACAACCACTTATATCAGGTATGCCTAAGGCAGTGCTGCGCCCAATTCAAGCGATTACAGTTTATGCAGGAGATTCTCTACGCGGATCAATCGGCGTTAAACATGTCAGTACAAGACTCCGCTATTAAATGCGCATTTTACAAAGATGATTGCATAGAGTAGCGTTTGTGTAACACCATATATCAGAAGATACTGCTCAGCCTCATAGATGAATGTAGTAAAAATAATTCATTGGCTAACGCCTAAATGTCAGTCTGACTTGGTGGTACTTAGCATTTTGACCGGAACCCTGAAACACCGTAAGTCGAGAAGTACGTATTTACATTCTGAGTGCTTACGTTGTCAAGATATTAAGTCTAGATGCTGTAGAGGATAACTATGATGACAGAGCTCATTTTTACTACATCCGTCTTGCCATTCAACCGAGTAGCCGTGTAATTGGATAGGTAAACTTTGATGGCGACCTACCTCCCTGTGTATCAGGCTCTCTCCCATTTGCATCTTGCTGATGAACTTTATATAGAAGACTCTTATTAAAGGGGCTGTTAATCATAAATAATGAAAATTAGCTATTCCTTACCCCTATGATTCACTTAAACAGAGATAATTCAACAGCAAAACTGTTTATTGCCACGAGTCCCTACTATTCTATTACACTCGCGTCGTGCGGCTAGCCTCATGGCTCTTCCTATTGCAACAATTGTGGGCATTGTTAGTATGACATTGTCATTCCTAATCACGGCTATGGCTGCTTGGGAATGTTATCGCCGTCAAGTTCAGAAGTATCGTAAATCAAGTGAGTCTATGATTCAATAATAGACCCACCTCTATATAAGATCTAGCAGCGTGTGATAACACCAGAAACCCTCAGATCATTCCGTCGAAGGTGGAATTGAGATGCGAGGCGGCAATCCTAGTGGTACAAGCGATGAAGACCACCATTAGTTGCTCGTATCAAGGTAAGTTTTCAGTTCAAATTCAAGATATATAAATACTAATGTGTGAAGACAGTCTAGTAGTGTACTACAGCAGCAAGACCTTATTATAGGTGGCGATAAGCGGCCCTACTTAACACCTGGACCATGATTACCTCTTATATGATGGATATGTCTTCAGATATGGTTATATGTTTTTGGGTTGTATTAGTATTTGTAGCACAAACATAGCACTTGACTAAGAGTTTAGAATTTAAGAGCAGACTTTGAGGGAATAGTAATAGTAGCAACTACATCATCATGATATATTCAAATATTTAAATATTATGCTACTATTAATTAGCTCCGTTAGAGCGAGTCTCCCTTTCCTTCAACGCTTCGCGTACCTTAGGTAGCACGTAGCGTCCGTAGTCAATGGCATCGTTTAGATTATCATAACCACGGATAGAAATAAGCTCAGCCCCCAAGTCGACATAGTCAAGGAGCGAGTCGACTATCGTCTGTACCGAACCCACAAGCGCTGTCGATGCGCCGCGCGCGTTAGTAGCCGTCACAGTCGGATACCACAGCGCACGGTCCTGTACTTCGCCGCGCTTCGCAATGTCGAGGAGCCGCTGCGAACCAACATTCTGCGGCGGAGGAGCACCGGCCGGTACTCGGCTTTTGCCGTCGGCCCGGTTGGCGTTTAGCGCGTCGAGTATGCGATGCGCCTTGGCCCACGCTAGCTCTTCCGTCTCGGCAACGATGGGTCGGAACGTAACCCAAATGCGCGGCCGGTCTGTGCGTCCCGCCTTCTCGGCCTCGGCATAGATGCGGTCGATCTGCTCCTTGGTTTCCTTAAGAGGTTCTCCCCAGAGACCGAAAATATCGGCTAGGCTTCCGCCGATGCGGTACGCCTCATCTGACGACCCACCGACGGAAATGGGGATACTGGTTCCGTTCACAGGGCGCACTTTGTTGCTGAACCCCTTAAACTGATAATACTTGCCGTCCCAGTCAAAGGGATCGGTGGACTGCCATGCGCGCTTCAGGATCTTGATGTACTCTTCAAGCCGAGCATAGCGCTCATCCTTGTTCAGGAAGTCGCCCTCTCTTGCCTGTTCGACATCACTGCCACCGGCGATGAAATGTACTACGGCTCGGCCCCGGCTGAGCTGATCCAGAGTGGCTAGCGACTTAGCCGCTACCGTGGGGTATACTGTGTTTGGGCGGAGTGCAATAATGACTTTTAGATTCTTAGTCGCGGCGGCAATAGTAGCGCCGGTGGTGAAAGGGTCAAAGTACGACGAGTCGTACGGCACAAGAGTATAGTTGAATTCATAATCATCCAGGTTCCGGGCATACCGTTTCAGGAAGTCCGGGTCGATAGCCGGGTTCGGGAGCGGGTTGAGCTCCGTGGATGGGTTCGGGAACGTCAAACTGATGAATTCTGTAGGCATCTTGATTATCACGTCCGGAGATTCCAATATTCCAAAGATCAGATAAGATCTAAAAAATACTTACAGGTATGGTGTTTTATACGGATATACCGGTAGCATCCCCGATGGCGACAACTGCTCTAGAATCACGCAATACCCCTTGGGCCGGTGCCGGCCGGGTATACTCCTCATCTCAACCCCGACTTTATATATAGCGGGCATAAAGAAGTTAGCATCGGCTGGTTTTTGATTTATAATCGTATGGCCAGACTGAATGGATTTAGTTAGGGGCATATGTTTGGGAGTAGGCTAGCCACATTATGTTAATGTCACATTCTATAATATTGATATCGTTTAGTTATTACTAGAGAAAAATTACACACTTCCAATCAGTTATCTGTGTAACACGCGGTCGATAGTTTTATATACTACTCCAGTTAATATATCAAAACTCCTTGTAGGGGGGTTAGAGAAATAAGCTCAAGCAAAAAGATTTTCATAATAACCTAGGATATAAATATAGAAGAGGTAAAGAGAGAACATGCTATTATGGAATCCGGATTTAACTAGTATAAGGTTGTATTTTTGGCAGCCAGATCATAAAAGGGTAACAACTAAACGGTTATATCGAGTATAATACACCTAGACGCACTGATAGTTAACGAGAACCTACACTAGCACAATCAATCCTTACGTAGGTCCTGCAACTGCGGTATCGGGAGAGGGAAATAGTGAAAATTGCGTACCACTCGAAGGATCTGCGGGATGAATCAAGAAACGAGCACGGCGCGAGGAAGCCGGAAGCATAGCTTGGTAGGGATGAGATATGGATACCTCCTCGACCTAGATAGACGATGAATGCAAAACAGGGGCTTCGTAGGGCTGTGACCCTCGTCGAAAAGTATGATGATAATTGTCAAGAATATATTCAGGGAATCTCTATATCGAGTGTAATAGCTTACCAACATCCCTTACCTCGTCTATACCCTACCTCAGCTCAAACCCTCGCTCCTCTAGCACCTCACGGAAGATATCCCTTCCGTGCAGCGACTCTACCGTCGCTATGCGATGCGCCGACCGATAAGTCCACGCCGGCGCATCGCCGCGCCCCTGTTTCGCATTAAAGTCAGCCAGCGCCTCGTCGTACGCCGCCAGGTTCGCTGCCTTTCCCTCTTGCTGCCGCGGCCCATCACCGCCGGGCTGTCCCCACGTCTCCCGATGCACCACCTCATCCTGCGCCAGCCGCGGCTTGACCGTCGCCGGCGGCGCTCCCGGGTCCGGCCGCCCGACCGCCAACCCGAATAGCGCGACTACGCGCGGCGGCAAGGAAAGCAGGGAAGCCAGCTCCCTCGGCCGGTTGCGCGCCGCGCCTACGTAGCACGCACCCAGGCCAAGTGACTCAGCGGCTACGCACGCGTTCTGCGCGGCAAGGGATGCGTCGATCGTGGCCATGGTGTACATCTCGAGGAACTCGAGGCCGGTCCCGGGAGTGCCGTGCTGTGCGCACGTGGTGGTTAGGCGCGCGAGGTCTGCGCAGAAGACGATAAACAGCGGCGCGGCGCGGATAAACGCTTGGTCGCCGCATAGTGTGGCGGCTTGAGATTTGAGGGAGGGAGTGGTGATGGCGACGGCGCTCCAGGGTTGAAGATTGGACGATGTGGCGGCGCTTTGGGCCGCGGCCGTAAGAAGCTCGAGGGTGCCCGGGGCTAGGGGTTCCGGGAGGAAATTGCGGACAGATTTGTGCTGCAGGAGAGTTTCGATGGTTGAGTTCGCGGCGGTGGGGGCCGCGGGAGGAGCAGCGCTACCGTTACTGGTGGTGCCGTACCGAGCTTCGAGCAGGGAGGAAAGGTTCGCCATTTTATGATTTGTTATTTCTATATGCTCGTTTCAGTCCCTAGGTTAGGTACATAATCTAGATTTATAACCTCCAACAGCCCCTTTTCTCTTTTCATCGTAGCCAAATATAAGAGACAATCAGTATAGACGTAGGTGGGAGATAGGCGTTATCCGGCGGCCGTATGGCATGATAGCGAATCGGGACTTTGAAATACGCCGTTTATCGGCTCGGCTTTAGACATCGCCAATCCCCAAGTCAACTTACAGTTCCCTTACCGCTTTACTTACTACCCCTCCGGCGCCGCGGAGACGGCAGTTCATATTATCAATGTGTTATCAATGGTTGTAACTAGAACATCTTAGTTTAGAACCCAGTAAATATCTTAGCAAGGAATATGGGATAAACGTGAATGAGCATATTATAACAGCACTTTATAGACGAACCCCTATTAATATAAAGCCTTGGTTGACGAAGCATAAAATACTAACAGATAGTTACTTACGAGCTTAACCGCTAGTTACACTATAAACCTTTCAACTGGAAGCCACCTCTTAATTTGGATACACTTGATTACTTAGAATATATCATATTGATTTAAAATAGAACTGAATTCGTTTAAATATTAAAGAACAGGTATATAATATTTTCTTAACAACAACCAAACAATTGAAGTAAATAAACCCCACGAGAACTGGAGATCAGGGGTTGATGCACTAGGCTCTAAAAGCTATTCCATAATGGATTATATATAATATTATATCGTAGATGAATTAGTTTATGATACCTTTCTATCATTACACCGTTTTAGCAACAGGACTATGACGTGTGCCTTCAGCCAAAGCATTAGCTGAAGCACTTTTATTTCCTCCCCTATTCCCAAGAAGGAAAATTTTCATTATCTGTAGTGGTGAGCGAGTCATGAGGCTCTACCTACGCAACCTCCGCACATACCTGAATCTATTCGGTGCCGGATAGGTCCAATTAACCGTAGAGAGAACGGAGTATAGCGTATAGACGGACTTGAATGACGCAAACACGTGGGGGCCGGCAAAAACTACCCCCAGTGGATTAAGATGAGTATTTCTTCATTACCTCTAGAATTATATAGGATTGCATGGAATTGAAGAGGTGGTAGGGATAATCTTAGAGAGTTAAGTTAAATTTTAGATTCCCGCATCCGCACATAGTTTGTTACCTAGGTATGTAGTAATGAGAATGCGTTAGGGTCGATCCGAATCCTCGCGGATATGACAATCGGATCCGACGAATTTTGAGTAAAGATATGCGAATACAAAGTTGTATTGTATAGGATATCTTGCAGGAAACATACTGAAGGCATATTATTCTTCCTTTCAAGGACGGCGTTTACAAGAGTTTTATTACAGATATCTCGATGCTTATTTTTACTTTTCCTATTCATAGAACATATTATCTTGGAACATACGAAGTACGTACGCCTGAATAAAATTAATTATTATTTGTATAGAGTAAAGTCCCCTGAATATGTGCCGTTATACACGAATTTTACCTCAAGTCTATAAAAAAACGAAATATACAAGGTCCATACTTGCCAGACCCTCAATCTATCCATAGGGCATCTCGGATCCCCTTTCTGATATACGATCAGCGCAAACCCAAACCCAGCACGGATCATTGGATAAGTCTCGATCTTCTTACCGCATCCAGGCACCCGAAGTTAATCAATTCGCCCCTTAAAGCTATCCTAAGCGGCAATTCCTACCAAAAGTTCACCCACTCGACCAGATGGGCAACTATTTTAGAGCCCGCAGTCTAAAACAGCCCAACTACCTTTCTTCAACTAGGACCGCGTTAGACTGGCAATTTGGCGTCCTTCTTTTCACTTCAAGGTTTAACGAACGACTTTCTTAGGTAATGAGAAAATACTCCGGCGCCTGAATTCTTAGTCCCCCCTTTTTTTATCATCCTCTTAGTGCTGTTGCTGAGAAGCCCCTGACGTATGATGAGCCGCAAAATTATAATAGCGGAAGAAATATGCAATCGCCAAGCATAATCCGCCTGCCACTTACAAGAGTAACCTTTCTAGTATCACTCTACTGGAGAAGTTTCAAGCACGTGTAAGTGCAGAGTTAAGTGATATTGCTGCTCCTAACCGCAGAACTAAATTGCTACGTAGTAAAAGGCCCTGGGGCCGGCCCGGTACGGCAGGTTGTAATACTCTGTAACCGGCATCATTTTGCTTGACGTATCGTTATCCAGCCCTATGCCAATGGCCGCAGCAAGTATCGCAACCAGGTGTCTGGGATGTGAGACACAACAGCCTATCTAAGCCATGAGAGACAAGGGTAGGGAGAGATGCTTCCGAAGGGAAGAGCCGACAAGGGATTCAACCTTCACGCGTGAGTAAGTAAATCTTTATGTAGCTTTTGACATGAGAAAATAGATATAGTACACGTGTATATCCCTGCATGACGCTCGTCATTACCAATATTTTCTCCATGCCGTAAGAAACAGCCCACAAGGGGGGTGGTGAACCAGGGATATCCCATAATAAGTAGGAATCAAACCTCCTACCTCGCAGATGTTGAAGAATCTAAAAATCGCCGCTACGCCCATTTTACGAGCTATCTCTAGCGCGCCGGTAATAGCCATGATATTCTTGACCGGTGGCCACAACGACTGACTCGCATCCCCAGTCTCTGCACCAAAAGCACATATGTCATCAACTAGAGCGAAGAGAAGTTTCTGAAGCCGTAGAACGTAGCTACTGGTGTCGTAGTTAGGTAGGTCAAATCGGCCTAGCGTGTCGTCCGCTTCGAAACGTCTCGATCTAGTTCTCAGAGCAGTGTCATAGGTCGAATAGACGTCACTAATATAGCCGTCGTGGGCTAGGGAGCATATTGTATATAAGAGTCTCAAAATGGCCGTTCTAGGGATATGCCGATAATTTCGAGCATTCCTCTCAACATCCCTAACCTAGGCATCTCATTGCCCATTAATTAGTTAATTCCACACGTATTTCTCCTCGAGGCACAACACGAGAATCCCAAAGAACCATGATTGCCTCTCAGACTCCCCTCTGGGCAGTCGTCCTGACGATACTATCGACCCTAACCCCTCAAGCAGCCGCCGCCGCAACCCCCAACTGCCACTGCTACCTCACCAACGGGTCGGCGCCCAAGTACTTCGCGAACCAAAAGTTCTTCGACTTCCGCAACATAGCGAACCCGCGAGTCCCGCCGGCCATCAACAACCGGGACGGCTCCACCAACGCCCCCGTGACCCACGCCTACTTCAACACCACCAACTTCACCAACACGTGGTCCATACAGAACTGGGTCGACTCGGGCGCCGTCTACAACACCTACTCCAAGAACGACGTTTACATCGAGAGCAACACCGACGCCAACCCGTCCTCCCGCACCTACCTCACGCTGCGCACGTACCGCCACCCCGCCGGCAACTTCCAGTCCTCGGCCGAGATCCAGTCCATCTCGCCCAACTACAAGTACCTCTCTATGCGGATGTACTCGCGGACGCGCGGGGCCGCCGGCGGCGTGACAGCCATGTTCACGTACCGGGACGCGGCGAACGAGGCGGACGTGCAGGAAGCCGACGTGGAGATGCTGACGTCGGATGCGACCAACCAGGTGCACTACACGAACCAGCCAGGGACGGTCGACGGCGTCGCGCGGCCCAACGCCACGCACCAGGTCGCGATCCCCGGCGCCTGGACGTCGTGGCGCACGCACCGGTACGACTGGACCCCCGGCACCAGCACCTGGTACGTCGACGGCAAGCTCGTCAACACGAACCAGTTCCAAGCCCCCGTCGACCCCGCCACCATCCTCTTCAACGCCTGGTCCGACGGCAGCAGCTGGAGCGGCACCATGGCTTCCGGACAGAGCGCCCAGTTGCAAATCCAGTGGATCGAAATCATATATAACAACACGGCCGAGCCCTCGCGGTACGCCCATTGCGCCAACGTGTGCAGCTTCGATCGCGGCACGCAGCCGGGTGTGCCGTTAGTCATCAGCTCTGGTCCGTAGAGCCTGATTTATTGAAAAAAAACCTATCTCTTTCTCCATATTTTCTTCGGTTCAAATCTAGAGGCGTATATCAGCGAATTCATGTGAGATAATGTAAGACAATAAGCGTATATTTAGATGGCATAATTATTAGAACCCCTTTTTGTATATAGTTTAGCAGCAGATGTTTTGAGTAAACCCGCGTCAGGTATATATACTTCGATGTTATAAACATATTACAACAAGCTTGATATAATTATGTTGTTTGTGACTTAGGTAAACCAGAATGTCAGCATAAACAATCCCGAAAGGGGCTATAAGGGGCTACAGAAAACTTCAAATAACATTTTAATAATGCATCGCTTGTATATCACTGGGAGACCTATGCTGCATGATCACATATTTACCCGAAGATCTCTTTATGCGATCGAAAATGCATATATCTAATCTGTCGTCAGCAAAGCTCAAGAGAAGCGAAAGTTGAGTAAGCTTACCACAGGAAGCACACAGTATCTCAACCAGTACCAGTACGGATATGAAATCAACAAGTTCAATTGATTGCTCACTGCTACATGACAGTCTTCCCAAAACCATTCGTCCGTGATCCATTCATTCATTCATCCATCCAACCTCGCAAATGCATTTTGCTTTTCCGTCGAGGACAGCACCCCGACCCAGCCAGCGAACCCGATTCGTGATGCAGGGTATCCAGTAACGACAATATCGAACGGCCCCCAGCAAATGCATAGCAGATGATCTCTAGATAGGGTATCAGAGACGACAAGATATGAAACAGGAATCAAAGGAAATAAGGAGATAGTATGCTAAAAAAAAAACCTCTCCAAGATATTGCCCGTACCCAAGGGATATATATAATGGAGTATCCACGGATCCGGTTAGTCGTCAGATTTCGTGCCTATGGCGTGACCTTGCCTCATCCCAGTCTTTTCTATTCCTACTTCATTCGCAAACCCCCGTTCTACCATGATACCTAAAAAGCTAGAAAATAGAAAAAGAGTATAAGAAATGCTCGCGTGACATCCTCAGTCACCCATGCCAGCCAGCCCAGCCATTGGGGCAAACGTATCATAATCCTCGTCGCTGCTATCGATTTGACTTTCGGGACTCTGGATGCTGCTGATGTCTGCGCTGACCATGCTGCTATATTGCTCTCCCAGAGTGATGCCCATGCCCATAGAGAATATGCTCTGACGCCTGCCGGCTTCGAATTCGATAGCGCTTCCGCTACGGCTCAGTTCCGGCTTCTCAGGGAGTTGCTTCAGCAGTCCGGTCGATATATCAAGCATGCCCATCGCAAATTCAGTGAGACCTTTGGATTCACCGGGCTTGCTGCTAACGCTTAGTGTCCAGCGATACTCTCCAAGTCTGCGTCGGTACCAGTCCGCCTCTTCGCGACCTGGAGAGGTAGCCCAGAGAAGTGACCCAAAGGTGCCAATTAAAGCAAAATTAGTCTTTGAAGCGAAGTACCAGAAAGATCTAAGATGTTGAGGCGTCAGCCGATTAACAAAGTCCATAGCGGATATCAGACGGGCTTTCGCAGCGCTACGGCAAATATGTTGGACGTAAGGGTCAACAGCCTGCGAATCCGTCTCTAAAGATCGGATAATCCGGCGATGGAGGGTGATCTCCGTTGCGAAGTAAGCCAAGTGCAGATATCCAATGCTCGACAGCCGCGTGGATGCGACGGCGGGGGCAACGGTACCAGACTGAAAAGAAGAATCCATACGGATTACGCCTGGGAGCGCAGCATACCACTCTTTGAGCTTAAGCTGTATGGGTTTCGCCAGGCCCAAAACAAGGTGAGTGCCTTGCGGTCCTGCATCGGTAACGTTCTGCATAGCCTCAAGCGTGTAAAAAGTCTCGAGGATCTCGGCTAGCACCTGAGTAAGATAGATCATTTGAACAAACAACGTTCGACCTCGTTCTATATCCATCTTTTCCTCTGGATTCTGTTCGTCTAATTCTGTCTCTGGAAAGTCATTTGATGCTAGAGGCAGCACTACCCAGTTAGAACTGAAGATATGTGACGGCCGTCCATGGACAAGAGCTCCCCATTTATCTTGCATATACAAAGCCCAAGCAAGTCTTTTCCTAAGTCCCTTCTCCCAAGGCGGTATCTTCCAGTGCGTACAATCTAGGTGGAGGCCGAGTTCTTGAGCGATCGCCACGATCTGAGCGGTCGGGGCCCATTGGTCACCCTCGGGTCGTTGCGAGAGTAAAAGTCCGGCTTGCACGGTAGAGAGCTTCGGACGCCACATAGCATCAGCCAAAGAAGACCGTATTATCCTCTCAATTTCTCGCACGTTTGGTCGCTGGGATTTGGATAGCTCCTCCGAGTAATCCCACCAGTTAATAGCAAGGATGTAAACAGCAGCGAGCAGCGGCGGCGAGAACTCCCGGTAGTTTCGATCGTATTTCTCGTAGAAGACGTTCTTCTGAATGATGGGAAATGCGGGATGTACAACTTCGAAATAAAGATCAATCAGCTTGCGGCCATAGGGAGTCACAAGTCGCTGGAGTTCGTCGATATCGTCGTATTGGCGCTCGTGACCAGGAGTCGCAGTATCAGGCAACATCAAAAAGATGTCATTGTCGCTAACTTTCCTAAGAGTCCCTCGAGCGAGAAGGCTCTCATCTTGAGGGTCAAATGGAGAGAGGTTAATCAAGGACGGCTCAAAGTCAGTGGTCGGTCCTATGTACTGGCTATACCGGTCTTCCTGGAGACCAAGCGTGCGCTTGAGTAATGTTGGACCACCAAAATTAGCCATCTCCTCGATTAAAGAAGTGCTTGCAGTTGTACTTGACAGACTAGCTTGACGTTGCCGCAGTCTTCTGTTATCAGACCTGACAGGCGAGCTATATTGGCCAATCGTATGTCAGCGATTTTTTCTCTCCTTTGCGTCGGTTGACAGTGCTGCAAGGTGATAACGTAAGGTTGGGGGTTCAGCGAATGAAAGTATCGGTGAGTACTCACCCTCTCTTCCCGTTGCTCTCTTCGGTCGAGTCACGCGCTAGCTTTCTTTTACGAGGCTGAGGGCTCTGATTTAAAGAACATGCGATCCCCCGGACTTGGCAAGATACGCAGCTGTCGTCGTCATCTCCAACAACGCACTTGAATCGCCTTCTTAGACAAGATTCACAAGGCGTTGAGTTTGCACTTACAGCAGAATCTGAATCAGTTGAATCATTACTGTTCATACTATTCAGAGATGCGTCGTTGATAGGATGGCGACTAGAAAATAGCTGAGAGGGTTTAGGCGCAATGGCAATGGGAGCCGTCCTAGGAACAGTACTAAGGTTGGACATGACTGAAAATATTAGGCGGGTTACACACAACGCCGCTATCTGCTCCTTTGAGGTCGGCTTCGCCGTATCACTATCGGGGCCCGCCTAGATGCCCAATGACGGTGAGTGAGAGAGGGGAGGGGGATGCTAGGGTAGCCGAGTACCTAGACAATCCGTGGTAGCTTCTAAAGAGACAGGGTCTGCTGCCACAGTACGACCTCTAATCGTAATAAGTAACGCTGATCTCTGCAGATAGCTCTCCACTGCCTTCAGGAAAGCCTCTTAAGGTATGTGTGATAAGGGATAAGGGAGGGTGTTTAGGGAGATAAGGCTGTTAGTGGCACGGGAGGCGTCAAGGCGATGCAGATTAAACCCACGCGAGTTCCCGCGTGCTTCAGCAATCCAGTCCAGTCTGGTGGGATCTGCTTTATCGAAATGAGAGACCGGGGAAATCAGAGATACCTTGAGGCTGGGACCTATCGGTTTCTAGTAAATATCCGTCGGATACAGGTCGCATGCAGACCCAAATGGCGCATGCAACTCGTGATTCTTCCGATTAAGGGACGGGGGCCTAGAATCTGGGAAAGCCGCCGTGCGATAGGCCAGATTAAATGATATGATGATATAATTGCTCCGGTTGCCGACGCTGTGTGATAGGTACTAGGTAATGATAGACGCAAGTATCAAATAAGCTTGGCTTACTTTCGTCATTGAAGAACCCTTTAAGGTGAGTTGATATTGAAGGGGGGAAAGGTTATCTACAAGAGGTTGTATGAAGTAATAGAGACAGATACCATGGACCATGGATCATAGACCGTGGACCATGTAAATGCCGGCCGGGTAAGATGCAGCGAAGTTCAGACTAGGTAGGTGGACTTTGAAGGCGGGTCAGACAACGTTAGTTAATGATGAAAGCCTTGTAAAGTTGCAACTAGCCTTGTCATTGAGAATTGGATATTTTCTTCTTTCTTGATCTTAATCCTTTATTCCGAAGAATAGAAGACAGATCGAAGTCGCGTACCTTTTTTTGACGTTTACGCCAAACTTGGCACTCCCAATCGTACAGTACAGAAATAATACCCCCAATGGAAGTTGTACAGAATCATCCGTAGTCCGCAGTAATCAGTGATGCTATTCCATTTATTAGACTTGTGGACTTATGGACTTATGGTTTGGATTATGGTTCAAGAAAAGCAAATGACTTGTCATTAAGCTTGGGAACAAAAACAAACGGGCGAATTATAATGGAGTAATTGATAACCCAGAGATAATCTTATCTTTGATCGAATGACAGAAAATAAATTGTAATAATGAGAGTTTCGGGAAACGCTTCCATGAAGTTAGATCAGAGGCATGCACCCTACCCGTGCTAGCTTGCGTAAGGTAAACGGTACTTTGAAAGCACATAAATGCAAGAGGGACAGCCTCAACTAAGATGAGGTGGTGGCTTACCTAGGTGATAGGGCAACTATAAAAATACTAAGGAAGTAAGGAGCTGCGGTATGACAAAGCCGCACATGGGATACATGGGATCGGAGCTCTGAGTACCTTCTCTGTATAGGGTACTTATGCACACTGATCTAATCTATGGCTTTAGGGTTTAAAAAAGAAAAGGTAAATTAGGGGAATTTCAGGGACAAGGCCAAAGCCTGTTAGAATTCACTACCATTACCAAATAGAAAAGACGTCTTTGGTGGAATACGGGCTAGCTGCCTGAATATATTTAACGTAATCGTTCGACTTATCCCGAGTCATTACAGGGTTCTTTGGGTGAGAAGGACAACAAGACAAGTGGGACAATATGGGAATTTGGGAATTGTTAATTGTCAATGGATAACTTTTTCTAAAATTTCGGCCATAACCAGAGTGCCATGTACGCAATCTACGTGCCAACAGATTAAAACTCCGTCCCGATCGGAGACTGCGTCCGCGTATTTATATTTTATTACAAATCGCAGTCGCCGACATTATAGAGTTATATAAAAAAGTATATCGCTTATCTATTACGCTTATATTTAAGTGTGGTTGTACATATAAGAGATCTGGTGGCGGGGTAAAAGTCTATTATCGTTAAAGATTTAGGTATCGTGAAGAAACAAATAGTTACATGATTTTCTGCAAACAACCTTGGACAATACAAGCAAATAACTTTAATATTTCTCTTGACGTTATAATTTTAGTAAATAATATATAACAAACATATGTTAGGTAGCGCTACAGTTGCAACACAACATCGAATAATACCTAATAAATATCTTAACGCCTACACGCAGCCAAGACTTACATGCGTATCTCATCGTTTTTTTCTTTCTTTTTCCACTCATCACGAGCTTCTATCGGCTGCAAGTCAGCAAGCATTCGCTTCCGGAGGATTCGGCTGCATTATCGGAAGAGCCAATGAACCTAGTGTTAGCGTCTTACAGGCATGAAGGAATTATGTCACCGTCTCGGGCCTAATAAGGCATGGCGTTTTCTTGGGACGTCACCGCATCGTCGGTAAAAAAAAAAGAGAGGTAGAAAGTGAGGGAGAATTAAGTAGAAGAAAACATAATGATAATCCCTAGCGTCCTTTAAACAAACTGATCTACCTTCACAGCCCCTGGACTTATCCCCCACGATCCACTATCAATCACCATCTTTATTTATCTCCCGCCTATGATCTTTCTCCCCGCGTATCAATCAAATCTAACCTAGTTCTAACCCAGTTTCAACCCGGTCTGACCAGCATGCGATCCCGCTTGTGGCTTGCGAAAGCCGGTGCAGATTTACTTTTTAACCTATCCCCTGCCGCGGGGCTCATATCATATCATATCATATCATACCTTAGGTACCTTGGGTATATATCTGATTAATGAACAATGAGCAGTGACCATACATATATGTGAGTGCACACTTACGTACATACATACCTATACTAGTACATAGTAGCATATCATATAACAAAAAAGGTAAGACAAGGTTGACTCGACATGCAACGTTTATACCTAAAAGAGTCGTCTACTCCATACGCCCTGCATCGCCGCCGACGTACTGGACGGCTCTGTGCTGTCTCGTGATGCGCTGTTACTACATATGTACGACGTACGACGTACGTCGTGGTAAATATGTAGAGAGGTAGAGAGGTAGAGAGATTTTATCCTCGACCCATGCCCGCACCCGCAGAGCCTCTTGGCGCTCAGGTACTGATGTCGGTGGGGAATCGGAAAAGCCTCAAGCCCACCTAACCTATTTATTTTGATTTGGTATGCGGGTATCATGGTATGATGGTACGTCGAATTAAGACGAGTTAATAAAGAGGCTCACATGTACGACAATGCCACAACTACCACGACCAAGAGTCATGAGCCAATGCCAGTCAATGCAAGATATAATGGTTTCCAATGTTTCTAATAACAGAAATCCATGGGAATATCTACCGGTCCGTCATTTCCGCATTGGCAACGGCGACCTTCTACATCGGTAAAGTCCATAGAATGACTGATCATCTTATGGTTTAGGTATGTTCGTGGGGTGCATATCAGCGTTGGTAACGTTGGTTACCGTCAACCTATAAGGATCTAATAAGCACCCGTCTCCAAATCATCAGACGCGATCACTTTTTACCACGCGCGCCACCGCTGCCGAAATCTATACGCAGAGACGGTCGGGCCATCTCTTGGGTTTCTTGGCCTGCTCGGCAATCAGATATTGATATGAGATGTCGACTTCTAGCTCCATGCACGTTTACGAAAATCAAACGAGAGACGAACCACACGGAACGCCTTCCAGCCAGTTATAAAAGCGAAAATTTTTCAACGAACGAGGGAATGACCTAACGACCTTTCTCAATTGTCATAATTAGTTGTAATTTTTACCAATTGGTACATCGACGACTACGCGAGCAAATTAGCCCTATTGAGATTGGCATCAGAAGAGAATTATCCAAGACACGTTCTCATATATCATAAGAATAATGAAGTGTGCATACTAGTATGTATCGAACTCACGGTAAAACTATCATCTCTTTTTATTCCATATCAGATGTCATTGACAGAGATGAAATGAGCGAGTGGCAGTGAAAGGGGTAGTTCAGCTTAGGAGAACCCTTCTTGTCGTCATGTCTCCCTATTTATTTCCAATTTCTCCATTCGAGATTCTTTGGTTTATCCTCCATAGCACAGATAAAATAACCTTTAAGTCTGACTGGCTAAAATCACATGTGTTATTCCCCAAGTATGCATATCTCAAACCTTTGTTGAGTCTTAATTTGATAAAATACGCCGGAAACTTCACGGCAACTTCCTCAGCACGTAATACCTCAAATAATTTCAATTGCCTTTATACTTCAAATTCCAATAGCTCAAGTTAGTATGTATAAATATAAGATCTTCGAGAATATGATGTCTTATAGTAGCTGCCATATCTCATAAAGTGTCGGGGTATAAGTGGGTTAGGGGTAAATTCAGGGGTAGATTTTAAGATCTTTTAAAACAACTTAATATTTACCAGTTAAGCTTTCTCTCTACAAATATAGCACTCCAATAGTGAATTAAACCATGCCAAACTCAACCGCTTAACATACTCATAATTTTTCTTTATATTAACGGCCTTATGAATGTGAAGTAAGCGTTACATCTCAACCCGAAACTCCAACCCCTATTTCTCCATCCAATGATAGTATGAATGAAATCTTGTGTCTATATTAAATATTCCCCATTATGATAGGCTTTCCATCTTCAGAAAATTATCACCTAGCTATACCCAATGTTACATATAGCATATTTGTCGTGCTAGTATAGTGTTAGGTCTCTAAGGAACCCCGTAGGCCAAGGTACTCCCAACTATACCAGTAGTGTAGTAATAGCTGGTTTAATAGTTCCTCGTATCTTAACAGTGATACGTATATTCCCTTTTTGCTAGAACACTCACATTAAGTATAGAATTTAGCTATCGACTCATTTTACCTCTAGTGTTGCTATTATCCTGTCTTTGAGAGGCATCCTAATTTCCTAGTAGTATACATATCCAGCATTGGAGTTTCCTCCTACGGATATTAATATTGACAGCTAGCCGAAACTTTACGAGGAAACACCCCTACTATAGAGAGCATGACCGACAAAGCCAGTACGTCTCGAAACTCGCAGTTACCCGAGCAACTACTTCAGCAGCTATACAAATACATCTCATCACCAAACCATATCGACCAAAGTTCTTCCTGCTATACAAGTACATACTATCAAAACTCTTACACCCACTCGATCAACATATATCTCAAATACGGAATAACAGAACGACCACACATATCCATCGCCATCCCGCCAGTATTTTCACCAAGAGCTTACCAAGGAAAAAAACATAGGTAGCCATCTCAGTACCAGTCTGTCCTCTCACCCGCACCCACAATGTAGGTACCTAACAAATAACCAAAAATGACAGACCACCACCCCCTATCCGTCCACGACTTCCATAAAGCGATCGAAACCATTTCCCTCGCCATCGTACACATATTCCAGGTAGCCAGCGTCCTATTCCCCGCCGCCGCATACGCCTCGGACTTTCAAAGCGGTGATATCGTCGCGATGTCTTCGTCCATACTTCTACTGGCCATGATAGAGTTCTCCAGCTACATACTACACTTCACCGACAACGATGACGCCGAGCAAGCAGTGCCGATGCTGTTCGCCGCGTGGGTGGGCTTCCTGGCTGCGACCTCGTTGTGGATATACACGCTTGCAACCGCTTACTGGTTCGGTGCCGCTCCAAGCACGAGTGCGAGAAAATTCGTGAGAAGGCTTGCATGGGCAGTTGTGTGGTATTAGGCTGGCTACGTGCTCGAGTGCAGGCTTTCCTACGGTTATCATTTTGTTAAATTTGTAGCCTCCTATCTCGGTATTTGAAGCTCTAAGTATAGACGGGCGACCGAGGTATTACTAGGCTATCCTGTTTATGAGCGATATCGAATAGCGGATATCTGAAAAAGCTATATCCCAAGACGTAGCTAGTCTCTTTCTTGAGAGCGACCAGTATGAATAGCCCCTAGCTAGTTGGAGTGCCATGCGTATTTAATATCTTTACTACAATCGAACTTAGAATAATACACGGATAAGTTGCAACGTAGAATTTCCATATTCAATGATATACGAGTAAACCGAATAGTAAGCCTTGAGCCGCACCCGGTTGGAACTATACCTCAAATGTAGAAGCCCACGTCTTGTACATGACATGAAAAGTGAGAAACTCAAATGATCAATAGAGTATCATGACCCATCCCATCTTGTACGGGCAAGAGACGTTGGGGAAAATAGCATTACCAATTATAATCCACTTTGGATGAATTGTCTCGTAATTTAAGGTAAATAGTCTCATCGTGTTCCCAGCCGGCTCGAGGTTATGCCCGAAATCAAACGCCTCCCTAATAGAATCAAATCAGTCCTGACTCGCGCTAAGATCCATGCTCTTGTCCCAGAGATTCCGCAGGATGCCTGCGACGCCGTCATCTTCCCCATCTGCGTAACTAGACTCGCTTATCCGCTCGTGGATTCTTTCCTCATCACCCTCAAACCCAGAATTCGCCCCGTTCAATCGTATCGATGTTCCTTGTGACGGCGTCGTAGGTCTCGATTTCGCCCGATCCGTAAGACTCTGACTTAAGCCAAGACGGCTTGCGCCACCTAGGCCTGATGTTCTTTTCCCGTTTGCTGTTCCGTTGCTTCCGTTCTGATTAGGTATATGCTGATTCTTTTTTGCGCTGGGTAGATGCGATAACCTCGCTATTGAACGCGCGATCGGATTCTGATATCGCCTAACCACAAGGTACTCCATACCCGTCCGCTCAAGTAGCTTGCCCATGCGCGGATCCCGGTTGTCGTAGCTATAACCGCTAGCTAAGGGGCCTACGCCTACGCCCACAACCCCAACGCCGCCGACCGGTTGCGATGGTTCGATAGATGAGCTCGCTCTTTGGAGGTTCAGTTTTTGCTGCGTCCGCGATTTTTCCGCTGGCGCAGGTTTATACACAGTCTTTCTTGTCCGAGGAGCTAAAGCACTGTCGGTCTCATCGTCGCTTATCGAGATTCGATAGTTTTGGTTTAGGTTACCAAGTGACTGAGGCCGCCGTACACCCTCAGGACGGTGGCTCGGATTTCGCGTTGGCGGATAGAAACCCCCATTCTCAACATTTGGCCCAGAGCCGGGACCGGAACCGTTAACAAAGCGAGAAATTAGTTCTTCCTGCCCACTGCCTACCACGGCGGTATTCTTGGGCGTCCCGTACAGGCTCGTTTGGCCGTGGCTAAGTTGGGACTCGGGCGAGCCCGATTGATGGCGCACGGATACGGTCTCAGTGGACATCTGGGGCGGAGCACCAGAAGAGGGTGTACGTTGTAATAGTCGCGAAGTTAAATATTGGTTGTGCTGGGCAGTTTCGCGACGCGGCGAAGATTCCCTTTTTTGAATTGATATATCTTCGTGGGGAGTTTGAGGTCGTGAATTATCGCGGCTGTGCGGCGCTTTTCCTTCGCTACTAACAGCCGAGCCGCGTCTTGACAAATATGGCGATGCGGATGTGCTTGCATCAACCCACTCGTCTTCTTGTTCGCTACCGAGATCGAAATGGACTTGGTTCTTTGCGCCTTTTAGCTTATTAACGTCCTTGTGGGACGAAGATCGCTTAATGCTTGTTGTGGATTTGGGTCGCTTTCCTATTTCGACATGCGAACGGTTACGCTTCAAACTCGACTGCGAGGGATTCTTGTTGAGATTAGAGGATGACGGGTCTTGCTGCAGTTTAACATCTGAATTGGAGTTACGGTGTGATTGGGCGGCTACAGGCGCGCGCTCGGGAGAGGGAGAAGAAGGCCGTCGTATCAGTTTAGAAGTGGATTTGTGTAATGTTTTAGACGATGGTACGCGAGGGTGAAAGCGTCCAGTGGCTCCTACAACGTGTTTTTGGGGTTTAGATCGGTGGTGTTGGTGGGATGCATGGTCGCTGACTTGAGAATCGCTGTCATGGCGGTTGACGGGCGGCCTTTTTGATTGGGGGGGATTTGCGGCGGAATTGTCATTATCCTTAGCCATAGTACATGCAATTTGCTAATTCGCGCCTATGACAAGATTCCGTCTGTCAGCCAGTGCTCAGCTGCCCAAGTGGGCGTGGGTGTGTTCCGTCGGTGTACAGCCAGACGGCCGGGGGAGGGGTGTCCGGGGATAAGGTCTCGGAGGTCTGAAATTTTTGGAGAAAAGATGGGTAAGAGTAGTAGAAGGACTGGATATTATGGCTTGGGGTATTGTCGTACACAAGTAGAATACAACGCAAGATGCGCAGGTTGTATGATGTACTGAAGTACTGTCGTTTGGTACCGTTCCTTGGGTCGTTATATCGTTTATGTACAGTCGTACTAATTGTACTGTAAACCTGGTTTGACAAGAAATGTGTCGGCGGGGGAATGGACGATGTGGCTTAACAGACAAGTCTTAGATGTTTCTTTTTGACTGGGCTGTTCGATAATCCCAACTCGGTTGGATACTGAATAACTGGATGAGGATAGCTATTACGAAATGGTAGTATTAATATGTGGGATGGAAGATCAAGTAACGTGCAGTGTATGCAATGCAAGCTCTATTAAGATGGCAAGCTATGTCCGCTACCACGGTAGCTGCCAAACAATTACTGCGTAGAAGGGATAGATGAAGACGAATATTAAGGGTATGGGGATGTGAAGTAATGGATTTGATGATTTGATGATTTGATGATTTGATAATTTGACGATCGGGAAAAAAAAAGAAAAATGAATTATCTAAGATTGATGTCTACCAGAAATAATTACGACGCACTGTTCACATCAATGACTTTAAGTTAGATTAGAAGTTAGACCCAGTTAAGGTTCAAGCGGTTCCTAAACTAGAGATATCCACCTACGATATAGAATTCGCTTTGAGTCTAGGTAGGTCCATTACCTATCCGGACCGATCATCGGATCCGGAATTGGCTTTGAGCTAAGATATGAGATGTATCTCATCTATCCAATTGTATTCCGTACCTCTTCTTACATCATGCAGGTTACCTCATGTATATGTAAGTAATTCCACTACGCCTCGTACGTCAGTAACACAGGGCGTTAAACTTATGCAGTATCGCCTCGAAAAGCAAACGAACATCGGTATCTCAAATCACTTAGCTAAAATGGCTGAATGCTAAATGGGAGCAATCAAATATATCACCAGGAATATCACTATTTTCGATGAGTGGCGGTGAATCCCCTTTTCCTCGGTAGACGGGCAGACGGGATTAACTTTGTTTCTTAAATTACCACGTGTAGTAGGTAAGTGGGAGACCGGCTCACTCCGAAGGTGGCTAACTGGAACGCGACGCGGGGTTTTTCTCGGATTATGAAAAGGTACAAACATGAAGACGGGACGTTGCGCACATTTTATACTTATAAGTACCTCAAATACATAATACATACAGGGGTACCTAATGTAGTGTAAGTGTTGTACTACATGCACTAACACCCGTGGGGTTCGCCCGAGAGCTTTCCCCGTATTTCCTCTTTCGGCTTTCCAGAATCGATTTTGTGTTTCCTCGTCAGTGTTTCCTTTCCTCTAGCAATTCACTACAAACTCGCTATACACACATAACCGGTTGAATAGAGCCTCATTTCGTATGCGATCTACATCTCATCCTTCCTTAGATGTTTTGTTTAATAAGATCACGGGTATACTAAGCAAACATACCCGTCAACATGGAACAGATTTCCAAGTTTCTCGAACGTGTCTCGTCGCAGCACCGTTACGCTCGACCCTCACCTCCGGGTAATTTCAAACGACAAGTGTCAATTTCGTAGATGTTTATATATGCTATTTCTTAAAATAAAAGAGCAGCCATAGTATCATTTTTAACATCATATCTCACATCTTAATATGTTAAATTAGCGTCAAGTTATAATCAATTTGTTGACGGAATCTTGACAAATTGTATATCTAGACATAATACCGTCAACATGGGCTATTACGAGACTAGCTTCTACGGTTTACTTACCCTCTGTGCAGGTTTGCTTGCCTCTCAGCCCACCCGACGGAATGAGTTGAATAAGCGTGCCGAATCGCGAAAGCAGTTATCGCGATATGATGTACATCCTGAATCAAACTGGTACAAGGCCTACGCTCTCGTTATGGGCGCTGACTGGCTTCAAGTATGTTATAAAGGAACGAGATGCTCGTACTGCCATTCCCATTAGCTAATTTGGTACCTTCATAGGGACCGTATTTGTATTCCCTGTACCGCGATGAGCATGGCGTGTCTGAACGCTTAGTATCTACTCTCTTCGCTACAGGTTTCTTATCTAGCGCCATCAGTGCATACTTCATTGGGGCTTTAGCAGACAGACACGGCCGTAAGGCAGTCTGTATGATCTTCTGCCTCCTTTACGCCATGTCGTGCTTTTTTACCGTCATTCCGTCCATAGGATTCCTTTTTCTAGGACGTATCCTCGGTGGCATCAGCACAAGCATCCTCTTCAGCGTCTTCGATAGCTGGATGGTAACTAACTTCCGGGAACGTAAACTGGTCGAAAATGGATGCGACCTGTCTAGGACTTATGCTACCACTAGTATCGTCAACAGCCTTTCGGCAATTGTGAGCGGAGTTGTCAGTGAATGGCTTGTGAGGGTGACTGGTACCAGAAAGGCACCATTTCTACTCAGTTCTGTTTTACTTTGGCTGGCCCTCCAGCTCATCTGGGCTCATTGGGTACGTAATATGTCTCTATTAACTTGAGCCTTGAGACTAATGTGCAAGAAGGTCGAAAACTTTGGTTCAAAAGCTTCCAAGTCTTCAGACGAACCCAAGACGTCCAAGCTCTGGTCTACATTGAAACAGCCGTCAATCTTAGCTCTCGGCTTTGCTTCGACTATGTTCGAGGGATCTATGTACCTTTTTGTGTTCTTCTGGACACCGACTATCAAGTCCGTACAGAAATCTACAGGGGAGCTTCCTTATGGCTACATCTTTTCCAGCTTCATGGCGTCATCAATGGCAGCAGCATTAATATTCAACATTGTCATGCAGAAACGGCCCTTTAAATATTCCCGCCTTCTTATCGGAATCCTCCTGGCGGCCAATTTCTGCTTTGTTAAATTAGCCGGTCCCAAGACCGAGGATGCTACTTTCTGGCTCTTCTGCCTTTTCGAAGCTTGCGTTGGTATGTATTGGCCCTGTACCGGCTATTTGAAAGGACGTCTAGTGGACGACGATGTTCGTGCCGAGGTTTACAGTATCCTACGAATACCGTTGAATATCTTCGTCGTCGTGGCACTATCCGTTGCTGGTGACAGCCAGCATTTCGGTAAAGTGTTTTCAACATGCTCGATGTTGCTAACGGCATCCTTTGGGGCAATTTGGGCAGCAAGCCTAAAAGAGGACATACCTTAAGACAGGGTGCGGTGGGAAGCATTCCAAGGTCGTTCGATTTTGGAGGTTTGTTCAAGTCAATTGGACTTTAGGGGCAAGTTTTTGGAGTTTGTATATATGTGCGCCTTAGACCTAAAAGTTATATTGCAATTTTTTAATAAAATCCATTATCATTAACCTAATATCGCAAGACTTGTCTAAATCACTGTTTAAGGCGAGTTTACCAAGTTCGATTTAGCATAAAAATAGCGTAGCTTCACGAAATTCAAGGTCATGTCTGCTTTCCAGCGAGACGTAATTTACATCTATCCATATAACATTATACTCATCCATACTTTAGACACCACTCGGGACTGGCTTTTTCGAATATATCAGGTACTAGAAGGTTTCAGGACGTAGTAATTACTTCAGCTACTATGCTATGGTGCAGAGGAATATAATTAATATTCAGGGGTAAACTTGAGTAAAGGTCAACCGTGAGAATGAAAATAAGGGGGCAGTTCATATCTAGGTAAAAGTCATACTTATTTCTCTATTATCTTCTTATGATATATACCTGGCCTATCCCGATCATGAGCGCTTCGTAGGTGAACGGAGTCTTTATTTTAACAATCATTTACATATATCAATAAAGGGTACCTATAGTTATAGAAACTCTGTAGACTTTCTAGACTCGCGCATATGTCGAGCAAGGAGACCAGAGGGAAATATAACCATGAATGTCGAGCTAAAGAAAGCATACAGATCCTAAGATATCAAATTGAATCTCTCTTCGATCATCTTCAGGGGGTGTATTGGAATGTATCTATGACGGTCATTATTCGACCCCTTTCTCAGTTGAACCAGCCAAGGTATTAGGACTCAGTCATAGTCAGATAGTTAGCACAGAAAAAAACTATGTTCTTAAATAATTAGATGCACCTCTAACGAGTATATAGTGCGCTATATCATCTTCCACTCTGTACACCATATATGGCATGAGACGTAAGAACTGTATCATTGGATATCTTATCCACCAACCTCCTTCTTTTTAGCTAGTTGATACATAACACTCCTTCCAGTATCACTTGAACACGTTTGCGTTAGAACGAAGCATGCACTTCTTCATCTAGTGGCTCTACTTGAATACTTAGGAGGAATCCCAAGAGCTCATCAATAAGGCAATTAACTCGGACTTATATTCCTGTAGTATAGCTTAACACTCACCGCGATGGATGAGTCTATACGTAGGCTACTACATATCAATAGCACAGGATAAATATCAATGACCCTACCAAAAACAACAAGGCTCAATAATGTCAACACCAACTACACCAACTACATTATAAGCCGAAGTCAGTCAATATATCCAAGAAAAAAAAAACATCTTAGTTACCAACCTTCCACACCGCCCCCCAAAAGTCGCAGTCCCAAGTAAACAACACGAGAACGCAATACCCGCTCACCTCTGCGCCAATCCCTCCCAACCCATTCCACTCGCCCTAGCTTACCGAACATCCCATAGGACAAATCAGCCAAGTATTCCAAGAGAAAACAAGAACTTGGCGGAACCAAGTAAACCCGAATCAAATATCTAGGCCGTACCTATTCTCGTATTATAATCTACCTAACTATTAGCCAATGATCGCCGTTTCCCCAGATCAATTACATGCCCAGACACCTTAGGTAAAGTAGTCAAGTCGTAGCGAGGCGATTTTCGCGCCAGGACGCCGGAGCTAACCAGCCTCGGGTGACCAAGCAGGCAGGCAAACACCCCCTATCCAAGACTTCAATTTAATGAGCTTGATAAAGTCCAAGCGCGAACTAACTTGGCTGAGCGAGCTAAGGAAGGATTCATTGGTATCCTGGTTAAGATGTTATTAAGTTTAGTATGGATTTCTAATACCGCCTTGTATTAACGTTCGGAACGGCTCCGTGAAAAATTCAACGTCGAAACAAGAGCTGTAATCTATCCGACAACTGATAAATCAAGTTTCAATGATATCACGATTGCGGAGTATAAAGAATGACTGCAAAATGAACATTTATATTGTCTGTACGTCTTGGTATCATGCGTTGGATGGCAGCACAGCCATTAAGCTTGCAAGATTCCGCCCAATCCTATATATATAACTCGTCCCCAAATAACCTCCGCTTAGGTATCGTCTCTTCAACTCCATATACATGCAATTAATCGTTCCGATGACTGACCCATCCCGTTCGCCGGAGCGCCGCGGCGACCGGTAGTCTGCTGGACGTCAAGCCCGGGTAATCCACGTGAACCGTAATTATAAGCAATAATTTGGATGTAAAGAGGCAGATTGTTTTTCCCGTTACCTTCTACAAGGCGCGCGGGAGGGCAATCGAGCTCTAGCTATGTGTAAAAGGATCGTTCAGAAGAAGTAAAGACGGCCGGTTCGTAGTAGTGGAAACCACAGATCACCAATTCACCAATGCCTAAAAGGGCGCTATTCGCAAAATCTAACATAAGATGCATTTATAGCACGAAAGCGGCCATCAGGCAGGCACCGATAGCACCAGCGCTGAAGCCAACCTTCATACCAGCGCCAGTAGTAGGCACGCTAGCAGGAGGAGCAGTGGCAGAGGTGCTGCTGCTGCTGGAAGGAGCGGCCGAGGTATCGCTGCCACTGGAAGATGCGGACTCAGAGGCAGAAGCGGAAGCGGAGGCGGAGGCGGTAGCAGAGGCGCTGGCAGTAGAGGTGACGGTGGCTAGGGTGCTCTTAGCAGAAGTCTTGGTGGAAGTGGCCTCGGAAGAAGTCTTGGTAGACTTGGCAGTGCTGGAAGCAGAGCTGCTGGTGGTAGTCTCATCATCGCTGCCGTCACCAGTGATAACCTTGATGCTCTGGTAAGAACCGTCGGAGCCGTCAGCCCATGAGTACTTCTCAGCGTTCTTAACACCGTTGCTGTAATCTTGGATGGTAAGGGACTTGTAGTGAGCGACGAAGGGAGCCTGGCTGAAGTCGGTCTTGCCACCAGCCCACTGGACGGTACCCTCAGGAGCATCAGAACGACCAGCAACCCAAGTACCAAGCTTGATCTGCATGGGAGTCTGGGGGAATCGAGTGCCGCCCTTAGCATCGGCATACTTCAACTCGCGAACCTGCTTGTCGTTGATGAACCAGCGGACGTAGTCCTTAGTCCAGTCGATAGAGTACTTGTAAGTAGTGTCCTGGGGATTGGCGACATCGTGGTAGGCACCACGGTCGTAGGTGGTAGTATCACCCTTGCCGAAGTAGTTGGTCTGGACCTGAGCCTTGTCACCACCAAGCCATTCCCAGTCGATCTCGTCGAGGTCGTCAGACTGTAGCACGAAGCTAGTAACTACACCGGTGCCGGGGGCAGCCTGGAGCTCAACATCGATCTTGCCGAAAAAGATGTATTTGCTGCTGGTGATGGTAGGAGCATCAGTCTCCTTGTTGATGGTGAAGACAGCACCCTTAGTGTCGTAGGTAAGCTTCGTACCATCGGCAACCTTGAAAAAGTCGTTCTCGCCCTTGGTGAAGTCAACGGTGATAGTAGAGCCTAGAGCAGGGTCATCGGGGCACTCTGATATTAGGTTAGCAATTAATACTCCTAGGTATGGTTTTGAAGCTGAACTCACTCTTCTTGGTGGGATCGCAGTCAGTATGGGTCTGAGCTGAAACGAGCTGGGTGGCTGCCAGGACCACCGCAGCGGTAGACAAAAGCTTGGAGAACATTTTGGTCGGTGCTGAAGCGAGTGGGTATCTACGATTGCTCAAGTCTGTGTGATCGTGAAAAGATGAGCAGAAGAGCACAGGGTTAAGGGAGGCAGGAGTAGATTTATTAAAAAGTTGAGTATTAGCTGAAGGGGTCTGTTTTAACGAGAGACAGAAATTGTTTTTTAATAAAACGAAGTGGACGGACCACGCTGCACAGTAAGACAGACAGCTGTAGAGAGGAATGTGTTGTTTGGTAAACGAAGGTGTGGGAATAATAGAAGAAAGGGGGACATTTTACAGGGAAGTGGGCGCGGCTATGATTTTATTTACGAGCCAACGACCGAGTAACCAGCTCTTTCCATTGAATATCCTTTCTCGTTCTTACTCTGTACCCGAGTCACTGCCTGTCATGGACCATTCTAGGACGCCGAGCCTGCTTGTTTGGGTAGGTAAGGCCTCTTCTTTCCCCTGTCTAGGATGGGTCTAGGAAGTCCAGACTCGGTAAGTCTACTAGTCCACAGAGAGTTAGAGCCGAGACTGCCCAGCAGGGAGTGCTCCAGATTTGTGGCTCTGCTGAACAGTCTAAACCAATCAAATATTTAGAATATTGATGGTCCTAGAAAATGACAGGGGAGACCCCTGGCTGCGCCCCATCATCTCGCATCGTAATAGTCCCCTGTTCGTATCCCAGGGGCTATCATGGGTCACAGTACATAAGAGAAAAAAAAATTAATAATAAACGAGCAGATCGTATCACCCCATCGCCATCCCAAGAAAGTGACGTTGCAACTTCTATAGCATCGCGGTTAAACAATGATCGTGACCTTTGTGCGCACATTGCTCAGATGACCAAATAAGCATAAGTGGACTTTATTATTGATAAAAAAATTGATAAAGATGAGCAAGGAAAAACACGTCAAAGAGTAAAACGATAGATGACATATCCTACCATCTCGCCATCTCATTAATCATCAATGCGTGTTGCGCATGTTAGTGTGTCCGTTCAACCGGGGATGAAGTGGATATAGTATGTTGTTGTCGCTTCGGCGAAGTCCAATGCTGACCTGACACTGAACAGGCCTAATAATATTTCGGCTTTTGACAAAATCCGCTATTAACACTTATACGCAGTACTAAGTCAAAAGACTATGAAACGCCGACACTATGTACGGAACAGGCAATAAACTGTGCCGCAAGTTCTAGGGTTCCTTAAGTTTCTTGGGTAAGTTAGAATCTATTGAATTCTTGTCAGGAGTTAAATGGAAGGTTTCTATGAAAAGAGCCATCATCATCTTGGATTAATTGATCCGGACCCAGAAAAGAAGTTGCCAAATGATGCCCGAATCCATCTTCCTAAATTCCCAAATTCCCAAATTCCTAAACCCGAGGTAACAATAGCCATCTTCCAAGACGACAGGGTATTCAAGCCCCATATTCCCCATATTCAACCTTTTTGTTAAGTAACAATATAAGTAACAATACATCCTTCCTCCTAAAATCGACTTCAATAGCCGTCTTCATCTCACCTTAGCCCTTTATGTTATTTAAAGATGCATACCTTAAGTATGTATACGGTTCTTGGCTGCGGCGCGGCGCTTTCTGGAACCAACCGTTTTACGGTTATACGGCAGCTATTGGGACCAGCCTAGGTTCAGCTGCAGCAGCTAATTCAACGCCAAATCTCAGCCTGCATAAGGGGTCCCCCCTTCTAGCGACCACGCCCTAAAATGGTGTAATTTATGCCAGGTACAAATGAAATGCGCGCTATGCAGGGATCATAAAGGAATAGCCTATCGCAGAATTAGCTAGCAGTAGACGGTTTAGCTTGACAGCTTCACAATTTTTGACAGGCTGAATTGTAAGGCAATTATAATTGCTACCTCTTGAACAAAATTCTAACAAGGTTTCGTGGTGTAGTTGGTTATCACGTCAGTCTAACACACTGAAGGTCTCCAGTTCGAGCCTGGACGAAATCAAATATTTCTTTTTTTATTGTAGATTTTAACTTGTATCATCTTTTTTGCATTTTTGACATGTTTGTTTCGCATTCGCAATTTATAGCCCGAATATCAAATAGTACAATTTTGTTGATTTTCTGAAATAAGTACTTTTATAATTCGTAATTCCCACGTGAAATTTGTTACCTATATGTATGTGATACCTGGAATCAATATCAACCAATTGTTGTTTTTGGCATGTTTTTAACAAGAACCCCTCCAGACCGCCAAGAAACGCCACAAACAGACCGAGAACCGATCGGTCGTGCGTTAAAGATGGCGCATGCAGCCCTGTGACTGTGCGACTATGCTACTGTGTTGTACTACCTATGATATCGATCCGACACTCTGGTTGAAACAACCCTGATTGTGTCAATCAATCCACCGATTCCCTCTCCGTACTTCCGCCAGAACTGCGCGACAATTCCGAAACCTGACTTGCGCACAGCCCCTTATTATTCACTATTATATACAATGCTATCTTCAGATTTTTGAATTATAAAAGAAAAAAAAAAGAAAAATAGAAAATTTCACACTTGCAAAGTAGCTAAGACTAAGGTGCATAGATGTGCTGACTTGCATAGGCGGTCGCCGAATAATAAACAGACAAGAAGCCGCCCACGTCGCGAGATGGTAAGCAATTATTTGATGCCGCCGGGGTAAGCTTCGTATTCCGTGTCCATATGACCGAATATGGCTGAACACGGTCTCGGGGGTTCCGCCATCACGAGAGGCTTGGACGGAGGGGGGGAAGGGAAAAAGAAGCAAAAAATGAAAAGGGCTTAGGTTAGGCAGGTACCTTAAATTAGTCATTTGTATACTACGTAGCAGCGAGCGTATAGGCCGTAACTTCAAAATATAACCGCTTTAAGCAGACTTGCCAAGGAGACGGGAAAGCGGGTAGAGCCATGTATTAACTCTAAATTTAACTTTTTCGTCATCCTTCTTTCCTACCAGCCTCCACACATCTTTATACATTCCTTCACGGCCACGCAACTTCTGCGTATTCTCCGCCAAACAACAAAGACACTAGAATTCTAACCTGCGCAACAAGTTCAACACGTCATATTATATAGTTACTCTATCTTATAAAGTATTAACTATTGCGTACCTAACTAGACTTATTTCCAGTTGCAACTATATAGTATAGGTACTTAGCACTAATTTTTACACGACTTCGTTATTGAAGCCCAAATAACTCCGCCTCGATTATGGATCTCTTTAGTTTGATTTCCCCACGATATACTATAGGCTATGCTATGTCTATACGTTAGACGGTATCCGCAAATACTTCTCGAATATTCTTCTAGGGATACTCTCTTCGATAGTACAAGTAAAATAGCTTTTCGGATATGACCGCCTTTACACGTGGCGTGACTCGTGTCATTAGCAGTAATGATCTAACTAGTATATATTTTATCGCCTTCATACTATTATTACTAGGCGCGATATACGATACATGATACGATATGGATAGTATCGGATAATACTTACCTATTATAAGGTATAGTTATTAGATATCTCATTTCACTTCTAAAGTGAGATAGAATTAGTCTCCGATGACTATTAAGAGTCCCTCTCACACAACTATTGGCTGTCTAGAATCACGAATAAACATTACCTAAGGTATATTACGAGGAAGCTTTGGCGACGAAAAACGGAGCAAGAAATAATAAATGTCGATAGCATAAGTCAGACGTTATGCGGGTACGCTCCTTTACCCTAAGTGATAATATGATGGGAAACTAGCAACGGCTAAGAATATAAACCCATACTACCCGAGTCACGAATATAGCTCGGGCTTGGTAATGTCACCCATAAAGCCCCGTCTTAACAATCACATTTCATGATCTCTTGCGTTGCGCGAAGCCCCTCACAAGTTATGTCTCGATCTAGGTGGCTTGTCTGTCAGCTGTGCAGATCAGTGTAACTACCCAAGCATTAGGTACACTTCAATACACTACTCCGATGAAATGTCTATTACGGAGGAACAGTCCGAAGAGTTCGGCGCCATGCATTAATCATGAACTATTGACCCCTTTCCAACTTGCTCACTTTAAGTCTCATGATAGCAACCACCTGCCATGAGAGTAGGATGATAAGACTCCTTTGATGAGGATGTTCAGCTCCGGCGCCCGTTATCTCAGCCATTGTCTCAGATGATGCATGATGGCAACTGCCAATTCGAAGTGCTTGATTTTAGTTCAATAAAAATTCGAATATGTGTTAAACTTGCAGTCGTTCTAGAAAATACTTATAGAAAACTAACTAATTCTAGTTGTTTTTATTTATTCCGATCGCAATGTTTCAGTATAGTTCATAAGTATATCGACGCCCGCATAATTCTAAGGCGGCGCTGTAATAAATGCTAGAAGCGAGATGCGTGTAAATGATGTTATTGTAGGAATCATGCCTCTTCCTTCTGGTTTAGCTCTCATAGATTTGTCTTCTGGACTTAGTATTATTATCCGTAGTTCATGATCAACCCCCTTTAAGGAAGACCACCCTTTAATAAAGTCCAATATGCTATTCTTCGGGCTCTCGCTATTAAATACCCGGAACCCTATGGTCTTAATGGTAGTGCGTATGGTTCTATTGATCGTACCTAACCTTAAGACAATATGAAGCTAATAGCAACTCTCGGGTTATTCGGTGCGGCGATATTAGCTGTGGAAGCGAGGTCTGTCCATTTACCACCAGATGAACCATCTAAGATACAATCTAATGACAACAGTGCCGAGATAGATATAACCGTCCCTCGCCTTCCCAAGCAGAATAACTATCCACCAAGCGGGTCTCAGCTGACAGCTAACCCACCTGGAAACAAATCCTATGAATATATCATCGTAGGTTCTGGCGCCGGGGGCTCTCCCCTTGCAGCCCGGTTGGCACTCGCGGGCCACAGTGGTATGTGTACCGTCATCTATTTTCTCTCCTCTTCGTCTTGAGATAAGAGTGCCACTTCGAGATCTTTTCATGAGCCACTAGCCCCTGTTCTCTCGACATGTCTAAAACATAGCCAACCGCTAAATCATGCCATAGTTCTGCTGATCGACGCCGGTGGCGACCACGGTAGGTTACGCGAAGTCGAGATCCCAACTCTCTATATCGGGGCATCGGAAAGGACCGAGCTGAGCTGGGGTTTCTTTACTCGACACTATGAAGACGATGCGCAGACCAAGAGAGATAGAAAGTTGACGTACCTCACCCCAGATGGAGATTATTACAGTGGCGTGAACCCCCCGGAAGGCTCCGAGGTGCTCGGGAACTACTACCCTCGCGTCGGCGGGTTAGGGGGCTGTACTCAACATCTAGCTCTGGTGCCCCTTGCGCCAGCGAGAAACGACTGGGACTATATCAAGAACCTGACAGGTGATCAGAACTGGGGCGCGGAGAACATGAGAGGTTACTTCAGAAAACTAGAAAAGAATCAATATCTTTCTCCCAAGGATGATACCACCGAGGCCCATGGATTCAACGGGTGGTTCCCGACAACTATCGAGCCTCTGGCGCTATACACCAACGATTTGAATTTCGTCTCCATTATCCTCTCAGCCGCCTCTGCTATGGGAATTCAGACAGATAGTACCTTAAGCTACATTCGAAACTCCATTAGGGGTAATGGCATTGCCGGGAAAGTAAGTGCACAACATGCGCAGGAGGCTGTAGCAAACTAATATCCTTGATGTAGGTATTGCCACCGAGGATCGCGCAGAAAATCGCAGATCGTCTTGATAAAGTGAGCATCCCTTATTTTATTTGTCTGCACCCCAACTCACCCCCCCAAGCCACACTCTCACAGCATACGCGTACACATACGCATGCGCACACGCACTACGTCTGTCTTACGCAAGCTCCACAGTATTAACTAGATGATAGCTCCTAGAGTACGACATCAACAACAACTCTCCAGACCGCGACGGCATCTCGGTGTTCAGCCGTGTCCCCCTATCTATCAGTTCCCCCGAGTGGAAGCGCTCGACGCCACGGAACTGGATCTACGACATAGCCACGGCTAAGAACGCCGACGGCTCGAAGAAGTATCCCTTAGACATTGCGCTGCATACTCTCGTTACGAAAGTGAGCTTCGATACTACGGGCGATAAACCCAAGGCTACCGGTGTCGACTACCTATATGGCGAAGCTCTATACCGGGCCGATCCCCGGTCTAGACCCACCGGAAAATCCGGTACTCCCGGATCCGTCTCGGCGACTCGCGAGGTCATCGTCTCAGGGGGAGCTTTCAACACGCCACAGATCTTGAAACTCTCTGGCATCGGTCCCGCTACGGAGCTAGAAAAACTCGACATCCCAGTTATCAAGGACCTCCCCGGCGTCGGCGGCAACCTACAGGACCGATACGAAACCGGTGTAACGGTCGCATCGTCGAGTAACTTCACGCTCTTCCAAAACTGCACATTCCTCACAACAGCCGACGACCCATGCTACGAAACATGGGCGCAGCCAGCTTCCAACGCCCTAGCACACGGCTCGTACGCCACCGACGGCATCGCCATGGGCATGTTCCTGCGATCGTCGACTGCGGGCCCCGACCAGGACCTATGGGTAGGCGGCGTCCCGGGTCTATACCAGGGGTACTTCCCGGGCATGGGCAGCACGGTGGTCACGCCGGCCGAGAAGAACTACTTCACGTGGCTGGTGCTCAAGGCGCGCTCGCGCAACAACGCCGGCACCGTAAACCTGACTAGTGCCGATCCCCGCGACACGCCGCGTATCACGTTCCGCAACTTCGGCGAGGGTGACATTTCTCGCGCGGCGGACGCAGATAAGGACTTGCAGGCTGTGGTGGTATGTAGCGCCGCGTTTTCTCCCCCCTGACCCGCTTTCCCTTGCCTTTGTCGCATTACTCGGCCTGTCTCGGGAGCTGGTGCTTCAATCAGGCAGTCAATCAATATAACCAAGGAGCCACTGCCGAGACACGCATACCTAACCTCCCAGACCAATATCTCACCTGCCAAAAGAAGGAACTGCTAACTGCTGTTATTGTAGGACGGCATGCGTCTAGCGATCTCAATCTTCGACAACCTGGAGCCTCTCGAGACTGGCGAGTCATTCGAGCGCGTGTGGCCACCTGCTGAGATACGATCAGACGAGGACTTGAAGCAGTGGGCGCGCGACGAGGCGTGGGGTCATCACGCTTCGTGTACTTGCCCGATCGGTGCGGATGACGACCCCTTGGCTGTTTTAGATGGCCAATTCCGCGTTCGCGGGGTGGATGGGCTGAGAGTCGTGGATGCGTCGGTGTTCCCGAAGATCCCGTAAGTCTTTGTTTTTACGTATGTGCGTATGAGTGAGTGGAAAGCTAATATTAAATGAGTATAGGGGGTTGTTTCCTGTGGTGGGGATTTATATGTTGGCTGAAAAGGCGGCTGATGATATCCTCGCGGATGCAAGATAAAGAGTTGTATATTTAGGTGCTATACATTAGGTACCTTTGAACAAGATGGAGTGCGTACTTAAATGCTGGCTAGGTTAGATGTCATAAGGTCTAAGAGTACTCTATCATTGTTCCTATTTAGTTCGTGTATATACCTAGGTAGATATGTCCTAACTTACTAAGGACATACTCTCTTTGAGACAATAATAGTTACTCTTCTGTATTAGATTCACCTTTATACAGTTCCACAATCCTCTTGCCAACCGACTCCCCAGAGAGATACGCGCCAGCAACAGTACCAGATTCCTCGAAAGGGGCTGCGTGTTCGCCACAGAACCACAGTCCGCGGTCGACGCATCCTTGTCGGATCGCAAGGATATCCTGATCTGCCTCTTCAACGCCGACCTGAAAATTGCAGTAGCTCGCGTTACCGCACAGGTCGTCTTTAAACCATTCGGTAGCTAGGATTGCTTTTGGAACACAGGCCTCACTCGCAACGTCGTAGCCGGGAAGCCGTGAGTAGTATGGCTGGAAGAAGTCCCGTAGGAAAGCAAACTTCTCGGCGCTCGATAGGCCGTATACTGTGTTGACAATGTGTCTTGAGCAGTCGCCGTATAGGTAAAAGAGGATAGTAGGGTGATTGTTAGGCGCGGCGAGAGCGGCCAGGTTCCAGATCTCCTGGGGCCAGCCGTGTGGATTGGTATCCTGCGCATACGATGGTGTAAGCCAATTTGTATAGGCAGGGAATGGTTCAGCCGCTGTATCTGAGATCCAGAATGGGGAAGGGAACGTAATGAAGACTTTCTCAAGTTGTGAGAGCTTCAGATTGTGGAAAGCAGAACTCAACCTCGATGGCAAAGCGGGTTCGAATGTATCCATATTCTTTTGGAGCCATCCTAACGGTGTCGCCATCACAACCTGGTCAAATTTGTATTCATTCCCGCTCTCTACTCTCAGAATGACCTCTTTCTGTGATTCATCGTGATGCGAAGTATTAATTGATATGACTTTAGAATTAAGTATGACCTTGGCCTGTTCAGTTGCTGCCTTCGCAATTCTGTTTAAAATCGCAGAGTAGTTCGACTCGACGAATACCTCTTCTATCATCTTGTTAGACCCTGAGGATATGTGTTTTTCACGTAAACTTACCACCGCCACAGCATTCTTCCATCCAAGCGAATCTTAGACTTTGCTTCCAGACAGGCTCGCCAACGTAGGCACCCCACATCTCACTCATTTGAATGAGGACTTGTCGGTCTTCCTCATCTTTCAGCTCCTCTACTGCTCTCTTACTGATGAAATCATGTAGAGACTCTTCTCGTGGAATACTCTTCCCCTTATCCCTCTCCCGAGCTGCCTCACTAGTCTTGAACGCCTTTTCGATTATCTCCCACAAGAGAGTTGAAAGCCTCTCAGACTTCTCCTCTGGCACTTTATTGCCCGACGAGTCATAGATGAGTTGCTTTCCGTTCCAATGGTGAAGAGGCGTCTTGGTTTCGACTGCAAGTTTTAGGATTGGGTGTACGTCGCCGCTATCCCAGGTGTGAATCCAGTTTGGGCCACTATACTTAGAGAATGAGAAAATCGTTTCAGCGAATGCCTTTTTTAGGGACACCAATATGGATGGTTTAATCACATGTCAACAGTGTAGCCCAACTCATCTGATTGGCATATCTAAATAGACTTGGTTAGTTTTTGCTCTAGTAGCTGTAAGGGATTCACTCACCCTCCCACCGATCCTATTTCTGGCCTCGAGAATGGTTACCTTGAAGCCGTGAGATAAGAGAATATCTGCGCATCGAAGTCCGGAGACACCCGAACCTACGATACCTATATGCGGTTTATCGCCGTTTTGACTTTCCATGGCTGAGGGTGACTTGCTAACCTACTATCTGTCGACCTGAACTGAATTATAAATATTGAGAGCTACTGTTCTCTACGTAAGATATCCTCAATCGTGGATAGAAAAGGGGAATATTCAAAGAACAACTTCATGATAGAAGCAATTATCCCGCATAGGTCTGGACGTACTCGTTATTGATTATTGACGAAAGAGGTATTAAACATCAAGGCAGCTTGCAAGGCAGATTATGCCGAGTCTACGCGTGAATCGACCAACAGGACTAAAACGCTGGCGCTTATTTGAATTCTACGGTAGGTCATAAATGCCACCAATTCTTGGCTAAGATTCAGCTCCCCGTATTTTAGATTAGACGCTATAGCCCACTCGACTACTACAATAACGGAGAGATACGTTGATATAAACGATGAAACGCTTTTTTCATAAAACGCTGAACTATGCTAAGTATGATGCAAGATAATCTATAAAACAGGGAAGAGTAATATATATAATTATCACAAGCTTAGTGACCTTTCCCAGTAATATGTCCCCTTTATACCACGTGCTATCTATATATAATAATAAGTACCTGGTATATGATTAATCCCTCCCTTTCTACCTTTCTATACACGTAACCGGCTTCCTACAAGCAAACCAAGATACGCAAGGACGCGGTATATAGAACCAATAGCAACTAATAATCCTATATTACGCCAATTCCAGTCCAGATGGAAGCCCACCTGTTGCGCAGCCAACTCCACATTGTAGAGATACCGGAACGGGTTGACGAGCTGGCCAAAATACAGCTCAGCAAGCCACGTACCCGGCGACGCTCGCCATAACCACTCCATGTGCCAATCCTTCGCACTGGATAAAGGCGGCGCGGCGCCTGATAAGATACCGACGATCAGGCTGATCATAGTCGCTATTAGAGGCGCGTCTTCTCGTCGGACTATCATGCTGATGCAGCTGGCGAGGCCGTAGATGCAGTAGAAGTAGACGAGATTTGCGAGGAAGGCCGTGCCCCACGGGATAATAGGCACGGAGAGCAGAAGGATCACCGTCGAGAAGTGCATGCAGCCGAATACCATACGAGGTAAAACAGAGATATTCTTCGCGAGGTAATATGCGATGCGCGAGTGGCCTGCTTCGGATTCTCGGCGGTATAGCAGCATCTCTTCCGAAAAGACCTTGACACCGGGTGCAGCGGCCACGAGACCAATGGCAATGGCCATTAGAAGCGCGAGTTCGGGAACCGACTTGATATCCGTTGCTAGGGATAAGACATCATACGGCGCGTTATAGATTCCAGTGAATAGTACACCCTTTTTCGAGTTCTCGGCCAATCCAAGGAGTAGCCCTGCCACTGTAGCCAGTCCCATCTCGAAGCAGAATGCCGTCTTTGTTCGCCATTGCTGGAGCATAGCTCGCGACAGACATAACCAAAGCTGTTTCCAACGCGGCGCACCTCTCTTCCTCAACAACTCTCGACCCTTTGAGTTATTTTCCGCGATAGACGTCCTCGAGTACCTGACCGAAGCATGCTTTTCCTTAATCGACGCGTTTCTACTCGACTGTGCCCAATTTGCAATCAGTGCTTCCTTCGATATGTCGCCAGTCCGCTTATATATCCTGCCATTTCCAGTAATAATATCCGTAACGACGTCGCCGAAGTTACTGTGCGGGGGGAAGCTGAATCCGACAGTTTCGAAGAATTCCTGCACGCCGGCCTCCGGTCCCTCGTAGATGATCTGGCCGTTTGCTAGTAAGATGAGGTCGTCGAGCATTTCGAAGATCTCCATGCGCGGTTGATGGATGATCACAATAACAGATATACCCAGTCGCGCAATCGCTTTAAGTGTTCGCATAATAGAGGACGCAGCCGTGGCGTCAAGACCGCTCGTAGGTTCGTCGAGAAAGATGGCCATAGGCGCTGCGGCGAGTTCCATTCCGATACTAACTCGTTTCCTTTGACCACCACTAATAACAGGCTTTCCAACGCTGCCAACTAGCGAGTCATGGACATGAGACAGTTCCAAGCAGTCGATAACCGAGTTGACGTGAGCTTTTATATCAACATCCTTCCAAGTTTGAGGTAAACGTATCCTTGCCGAGTGGAGGATATTTTCGTAGACGGTTAGTTCAGGTAATACTATATCATCTTGCGGCACGTAACCAATGAGCTTCTTATATCTCTTGATCTTCCCAGGCACGTTGTTAATCATAACTGAACCGCCGGTATTAGTGGTTTTCCCCATAAGAACGTTTACGAAAGTACTCTTTCCGGCACCGGAACCACCCATGACAGCTGTTAAAGAGCCACGTTCGATAGACCCCGTAACGTTTTGTAGAATTGGCTTTGGGTTTCCCTTGGGGTGAAAACTGAGGTCAGAATAGGCAAACGATAGACCGAAACGAGCGCCGTCGGTTACTCTCCGCATAGACTCAACAAATGCTCGTAGCTGTGGTGAGAATCCGCTTTCGGTAATGTTTAATGTAGAACTCTGCGGTGTTGGGAATTCCAGCGCAGCTTCGAAACCAGTCCACGCATCTTGACCCGGCATGTATGTCGCCTGCATCGGCACCATCTCATGGTCATTGTCTACGTCGCCAGAGATCTCCTTGTAGCCTGTGACCTTTCCCACGAAGGTAGTCCTCCTTTTCAACTTGTTGCCGATGGATTGTTCGCGGGCCCTCCAGAAGCGCTTGCGGATGTAATATAAAACGAGTAGTATAGCTATGACGATGTCGACGAGGATTAAGACGAGGATCGGGATTAGGAATGTTTCGTATGACGACCCTTCGGGGCATCTGCTTCCAACGCTGCACGGTGTAGGCGAGGGAGCACCAGGTTGACAATACGAGCCGGCTGGACAGGTAATCATTTCGTTGCGCCCGGGCGGACAGTAATACCCCTGTTGGCAAACGACGGGCTCAAAAGGGCCCATCCCGAAGTTTTTACCATTGTAAGTACAAGTGAAACCTGCTAGTCTCGCTATCTGGCACTCTGTTATAGGAGGACAGAATTGTGGTAACGAGTTTACGGTGTTATTAGTACCTAGTTCGGTCATCAGCACGCCTTCTGTCTTAAAACTATTTGGACTTCCAACTTACATAGAAAACCCTCATTACACCCGACCGTCTCCCAGCTCGACGCGTTCTGAATCGTGATCGGAAGGGCTCCGGGTCGCCAACAAGGGGCGGCATCGACAGGCGGGTCATCTTTTTCGAGTTCTGCTGCAGCCCTATAGTAAGAAGTAGAGAAAGATGTGCGATTCTCGCCCGTGCACGCTCGATCCCAGACGCTAAGTTTACTGGGGTTGAGATCGATTAAGGCATGAGTAGAATTATCTACCATGAAAGCCTTGCTAGTATCGGGATGATTCGTCGCATCTGATATGAGGAGCTCCTCAGGTATCTTAGAAGGCCCTACACTGTTAAACCACTTCCCGGTCGTCACATTATAAACACCTTGCGTCTGGTTTCCTATACACTGCCATGCTATATTACTGTCTGAATTCGTCGTTCCCCGTAGAGCGCAGAGACATGCTTGCGTATCGAGGAAAAGCGGCCCTCTGGATGGCTCTTGAGGTAAGAAGGGGTCTTGCGGGAGGGCGAGAATCGACATTGTGACAATTTCGCGTTGCGTCTACCTTAGCGGGATCCGCCTCTATGAAATAGTCGGTGTAATATCTGTGTCGAATCAACTCGATGTGATAGACCTATTCATCGCTAGTCGGTAGTACACAACAAGTTAAACACGGTTTAGTCTAAGTCGGATTTAACAAATGCTATACTTGAGTAACAGTATATAAAAATAAAAAACTTGGACAATGTTGTTACTCGACAAGTGCAGTTTGCCTGAGACAACTCCTCAATAGACTGCCTGACATTTTGGTAACTAATCCTAGAGACCATAGAAGGTGGAATAGGCGGCCACGACATTCTACATAAAGGGCCGGTATGCTGATCCCGTATAGGATGATACGGGTCCTTGGACCTGCGGGAAGTCATCCTGATCGGGAAATGACCTATCGTGGCTGCGCATGGCGATGAAGTTGAAAGGATCGACAGCGGAAGGACTTTCTTCCAACGCCTTAGACTCCTACAGCTAGGTAAAATTACAAAAACCATAACTGTCAGCCTTATCGACTCCTTGCTTCTTTGCTTCTCCCTAACATCCCTAGCGGCTCTTGTGCGGCGATGCAACTTTATAATAGCTTGGCGGTGCTGAGCTCGTGGGTCCTATTAATGGAGGTGCTACGTCAGGCTTAGCATATCGGACAGTGTGCATATTAGGCTGCAGTTTATTTTTCTTGAAGAATAAGACCTAATGTAGTGACTGAGACATGGTTTTATTAATAGCATGATGCCAGCTCTTGGACTCTTGACAAATCATACCACCACGGTTGACCCTCCATTAAGACTGAAAAGTCGAGAATATGAGAAAGACAAAGGAATGCATAAATAAAATAAAGCAACAATAATATAAAGAATTGTCCTTTGAACAAACAAACTCAAGTCATAATGTCTCAACTATGTTCGAGTTTTAGCGGGTATGCGAATCATCCGAGCTACATCATGAAATAAATTCTTCACCGCGCTAATTGAGGTGTGGCTGACGCGGGTAGAAAGACTGCGGGTTCGCAAAGCCTACCAAAACCAAACCAAACCCTTGTTGTTTTGGTTCATTTTGCTGTTGGCTCAGCATCTAATTCCCGAGCCAGGCGATCTCTCTCGGCCTGTGCTTCATCAAACAGAATGACTACTTCCGAGTGACCGCGGGTTGTAGCTATCTGCATCGGTGTGTCACCGTCAACATCGACGTTGTACAGGTCAGCCCCGTGCTCAAGGAGGAGCCGAGCTATGGCGAGATGTCCTCCATACGCACACATACTGAGTGCCGACCAACTACATAGTACGTGTCAGTGTGTCTCAAAACTGCACCCTCGGGATTTACTGACCCCCATCGATCTTTTGCATTTACGTTACACCCGATGCTGAGCAACTTGGCAACTTTGTCAATGTCTCCATCACTGGCTGCTTGCACAAGTGCATCATCCTTCACAAAGAGCTTTCGGATAAGTCTAGTAGGGTCTGTGATTGACTTCTTCCTGACCGATGGAGCGGTGGATTCAACGGTAAGTGGTTTGAAAACCTCGTCTAGAGGCCTTTCGGCCTGCTTCTTTCGCATCTCCAACTCGAACTGTTCGTTCGCTATATTCATATCAGCAGACGAAGAGACGATACTACCACCATAGCCAGAGTCGGGGGAGACTGTCTTATTTAGTTCTGCAACGGGATCCTCATTAATGAGACCCTGTGCCAGAACTGACTTCATCCAGTTCGATATATATTCGTGATGTTCTTCCATGATGGCCGGCGAGATGCCAATATCCTCGAGTTCACGCCGCAGTTGGGCCCACACATCGGGAGATTCGATCGTCTCGACAACGTCCGGGGTGGTAACAACGGATCCTTCCCGATATCCGGCACGTACTTCGCAGATGAACTTGTTTAGCTTTTTTTCGATCCTCGTCGTCGATGAGCTTTTCACCAGTGTCAGTTGCTATTTAAACGTGTGCGCATTTTGGCATTACGGACCTGACCAGAGTGCTGTTAAAGGCTGTCAAGAGTGTTGCATTGCTCACCAAGCGAGATCTAATATCAGCCAGGTCTTCTAGGCCGAAACGCATCCGGTCCCAAGTCCTTTGGGATTGTGTTCCAAGTCGCTCATATGACTTAAGCAGCTTCTGCAGATCTTCTAACGTCGCGTTGCAACCATCGGTCAAAATGTTTAAACGATTCTTTCGAGAAGTGTCCAGCTTCGAGAATTCATTGATATAGTCCTCGGTCTCTTTGAGTACGACGTGTAGGGAGGCTACTTCGCTTGACAAACGTTTGAAATTTTCGCCCGAATCTTTACATGCTTTGTATACATTCCAGGCCAGTTTGGAAGCGAGCACTAAATCACCGAAGCCTACGCCAAAACTCATATTGGCTTTGACAACCTAAAAGCTGTCTTAAGGTAGAGACCGGTCTGAGAAGTAAATAATATGATAACATGCATTTTACGCAAATTTCTTAGATGTAGGTTATGCATATCCGCTAATATTTATCACACTGGCTGGCACGCGATAATACCATAAATCATTCAAAGTTATCAGCTTCTCACGCTTCGCGAGTAAAGCTAGCCTCAACTCGGAACCACTTGGCAATCCATGAGGGCAGGGCAAGGCACTCGAAGTTATCACACCTGAAGCTCTTGCATTTGATGGTGGCTAGCTTTGCCGCCGTGGCGCTCGACTTCAAGGAATATACATATTCCTACAGAGAATGCCAACACTTGTCGACCAATCAGCTAGTCTAGACTAACCAATAAATGATAAGGCATTCTCGTCCAGCATCGGCCACGAAGGTGAGGATAGATTATCCTAATATCGAGTATATTCCGAGATTAGTAAACTTGATGTACTAGAGTTGTTATTAGTTATGGGAGCTTTAATGATAGTAAACTCGTTACTTGAAAAAATAAATGTAATTCAACCAGACCGCTAAATTCTTAGCCATGGCCGATATTGCAGCTGTGAATATTGCGTGGATATTGATTGCACTGTGCTCCATGGTGACGACGATGAGCCTTGCACCGGAACCAAACGCTTGGGTCTTGGCAGCTTGAGTTTATCAAATTCCCGCTCGAACATCCTGTTACCCCAAACTAAACGGTATTTTCTCGGCCGTTGACTGGCTGCTAGGGTATTCAGCTGGGTGGGACCGTACAAGGGAATGATGAAGCCTGGGGGCTGAAGGATCACACCCTAGGCGCAGCACGTCAAAGGGAGATTAAATAAGTTGGTAGGACTTTTTGTCAAGATTTCCATTCAGACGTATTCAATACGGACGCTAGGTAGTTTTCTGACTGCAGTTTGCAGTTTAGGATTACACCCCTGTATGTGATTCCGTAGGTGGAGTTGGAAGAAAATAGGGGAGGGTTAGGTGAGGTTCATTTTAGGAGGTAAATAATAAATGGTTATCCGTTTAAAGTGTTAACAGGGATATGATATTATTAGGTTCGCGCTTGTTCGGATTCAAGAGCGAAATATTAGCGAAAGGTTAGCGAAAGGTTAAAATACATATCACATGATTAGCACGTGATAAAAGAGAAAATATTGCCCCGCGTTTAGACGCGACCTAATAATAGGCAATTGACATTGGCGAAATCGGTGCGGTGACTCAATATCAATTCGCAAAAAATTACCCCGCCATCAACTCACAAAAAATCTACGTGGGGCCAACTTACAATAATTCTGCCAACTAAACACAATATCGCAACCACATTCAGTCACCATGGCAGATCAAGCACCTACTGCAGAGGTTGCTAACCTGCATCTGGATGAAGTCACCGGAGAGAAGGTGTCTAAGTCAGAGTTGAAGAAGAGACAGAAGCAGCGCGAGCGAGATGCTAAGAAGCAAGAGAAGGCTGCAGCTGCTCCCCCTAAGCCTGCCTCTGCAAAGAAGACGAATGCTGAAGCTGATGAGAAGGAGTTGACTCCTAACGTTAGTCAATTGAAACTATCATAGTATTAATATTAATATTAACTAATTTGAATTAGCAATACTTCGAAATTCGATCTCGCGCCATCTCCAAGCTTATCGAATCCAAGGAGCCCTATCCCTACCCTCACAAGTTCCATCGCGACTATGACTTAAACGATCTAGTCAAGGAGTACGGTCACCTCAAGTCTGGAGAGCATGATAAGTCTAAGACCCTGCGCGTAGCTGGAAGAATATACAACAAGCGCGCTTCAGGTAGCAAGCTGCTCTTCTATGATATCCGCGGCAACAATGGCGTCAAAGTGCAGATCATGTGTCAGGCTCAAGAAATTAGCGAAGGAGCACCTGCTTTCGAGAAGCAACATGATCACATAAGACGTGGTGATATTATCGGTGTCGTTGGCTACGCTGGTAGAACTGCCCCCAAGACCAAGCTCGAAAAGGGTGAAGAGGGCGAGCTTTCCGTCTTTGCTACAGAGGTGATCCTTTTATCCCCCTGTCTGCACCAACTGCCCGACGAGTACTACGGTTTCAAGGATCAAGAGCAGCGTTACCGCAAGCGCTACCTCGATCTCATTATGAACCCTAAGACCGCTCAAACCTACCGCACCCGTACCAAGATTATCAAGTACATCCGCAATTACCTCGACAATGCTGGTTTCGAAGAGGTCGAAACCCCTATCCTAAATCAGATTGCCGGTGGTGCCACAGCCAAGCCCTTCCAGTCTCACCTTAACGATTATAACATGGATATCTTCCTGAGAATAGCACCCGAATTACCCCTCAAGATGCTGATTGTTGGAGAGTATGACAAGGTTTACGAGATTGGCCGCCTATTCAGAAATGAAGGTGCCGATCTGACCCACAACCCGGAGTTTACGACTTGCGAGTTTTACGAGGCCTATGCCGACTTCAACGATCTCATGAAGAGAACTGAAGAACTTGTTTCTGGTATGGTGAAGCATCTTACCGGAAGCTACACAACTTCATTTACCACACAGCATGGCGAAACCTACACAGTTAACTGGGAGGCGCCGTGGCGAAGAGTGGAGATGATCCCCGCCCTCGAAGAAGCAACCGGAGAGAAGTTCCCTCCTGGCGACCAACTACACACAGACGAGACAAGGGAGTGGCTCAAGGGAGTTTTGAAGAAGGTCAACGTTGTTTGCCCCGAACCCCAGACTACCTCTAGGATGCTCGATAGATTGACTGGCGAGTTCATCGAGGAGACCGCAGTCAACCCGACCTTCATCACAGAGCACCCCAAGATCATGTCACCATTAGCCAAGGACCACCGCACCAAGCCTGGCCTAACAGAGCGATTCGAGGCCTTCGTCTGCAAGAAGGAAATCGCCAATGCCTACACCGAGTTAAACCAGCCGTTCGAGCAGAGACTGCGCTTTGAAGAGCAGGCCAACCAAAAGGCCCAAGGAGACGACGAGGCCCAAATGATCGACGAGACCTTCCTGAACGCTCTAGAATACGGTCTACCCCCGACCGCCGGCTGGGGTATGGGTATTGATCGACTTACTATGTTCCTCACAAACAACTACACCATCAAGGAGGTGTTGCTGTTCCCCTTCATGAATCCCGAACAGAAGAAAGAGAAGCTCCCCGCCGATATCGAAGAGGCAGGTGCAGAGGAGCCCCATGTTAAGGTTGAAGGAATTCGTACGTTTTGCTCGTCCTAGTTCTCCACCTATTGATGTATCGTAACTAACCACAACCTCCAGCTCACAAATAATGAGAAACCTTTAATATTGTTGAAGGACAAACCCCGTTTATACGGGTGTTGGCTTGGAAAGTATACTGTCTACGGTGTTTGTACAGTACTTAGCTAGATATTCCAGGCAAGATCAACGCTATGATCGGTACACCATAAGGTGGAAATGAATATAAAAAAAAGTTGAGACTCTACGTATAATACATGGTATCTGTCTAGTGAACAAACAACGTCTTAAGCATCGTACATTCGTTAGCCTAGCATATAATATGGCCGGATTACCGCGGCTGAGTTGCCGACGTTAACCTCTTCTGAACCTGCGCGATTGTCGCTTTTGGTACTCGTAGACGATGACCAAGGACGAGAACTCCGGTTAATAACGCTAGACTTCCCGCTTGATGCGCGGCGGCAAGCGAAATAGGAACCATGTAGATAAGCGTGCTAATACCAAGAGCGACCTGTAAACATACGAGATGCACAATACCCGTCGTGCCATTCTTCACATTCTTAGGTAGGACGGTGGCAAGTCGGCCAGACCGCGAGTACGCAAATAGTGCGAGAACAGCACAGAAGGTAGTTGTGGCGAGGATCCGGTGGTCTAGCTGTACTAGACTAGGGTTCTCTAATATGTTGCGCCACCATAAATCGGAGTTGTCTTCCTTTCGCGAGTAGAACTTATCCCAGAGCTCAGACTTTGGCGGGGTTAGGCCTAGGCCCATCATGGGGAACTCGTTGTAGATAAGTCCAGCGTCAAGGCCAGCGACCAGGGCCCCCGAGAGCACGGTCGTAAAAACTAGTACAGTAAGGGCTGATACGTAGCGTCGGAAGGGGGCGATGCCAGGGTTCTTCAAGGCGGAGATGACTTTGCTAGCGGCGGCGGGGTCGGCAAGGAGACGGCGGGTGCGTAGGATGCTTAGGCCTGTGAGCAGCATCCAGGAGTAACAGACGAAAGCCGTAGCTAAATGCGTAGCAAGTCGGTACTGCGAAACACGGGGATGCGATCCCGGTGCGAACAAATCGTCTTTAAGCCCGGACTTCACCATCCACCACCCTATAAACCCCTGGAAACCGATAAGCGCAGAGATACCGACGAGGTGTGCGGCGACGCGGGCGGATACACGACGACGGGCAATCAGATACACGGTCGGCACCGCAAATGTTAAACCGATGACACGTCCCCATAGCCGATGCGTCCACTCCATGAAGTAGATTTTCTTGAACTCATTGAGGTCCATTTGCGAATTCAGCATGTGGAACTCGGGTGACGCTCGATACTTCTCGAATTCGGCCTCCCAATCGGCCTCGGTGATGGGCGGCCGTGACCCAGTTACGGGCTTCCATTCTGTTATGCTAAGCCTGTTTTTGCGCAATTAGACATTTTAGTCCTAGTACAACGCGAAGGAAAGGGTAATATATACCCAGACTCCGTTAACCGTGTAAGCCCACCAAACACCACGATACCAAAGACGCTTGCAGCACTCCCAATCAGCCAATACGCCACACCCTTAGAGCTCGTCTCAGGGAACACCCTCTTCGTAACTGGCGCCGCTTCAGTCGAGACAGCTGCAGACGTGAAATACCGAGCAAACCGAGCTTTCGACTCGCCACCAGCACCGGTACTGGCCTGTCGCACCTGTAGAGCCCGGAAGATCCGCGACGAAGCAGCTGCGCGAGGCTGCTGGCGGAGGCATTGGCGGCAGACGAACTGACTAGGCGTTAGCCTGGCCGTCGCCCTGCGTATCCCCGGGAGAAGAAGCGACATTTGGGGGGTGTTGTGAGGATTCTTCCCCTTCGAGAGATCAGAGTTGAGGACGCAAATGGGAAGGTTTTCATTTCCAATCATACGATAAGATACCGAGATACAAAGGTGCTGTATTATGTAAGGAGGTAGTTAACCTAGAGGTTTAGCTTCCCGCTAAGAGATTCAATTGTTGCTAGTGTAACTTTTGTACGACGTCAGTATAATCGCCTATCGTATCAATTAAACTTAATTTCTACATCTCAACTTCTTTTCCTCTTTTCATTTTGAGTGCGCGGTCGAGATGTTGCGCAATTAGAAAGTTTTATTATTTTCTTACTACATTTATGGTATATATGTGTATATGAATCGCTCATCGCTCGTCGCTCTATTATACAGAAACTAAAATCATCGCACTTATTATAGTCGTATACTGGTGTTCGCACTGTTTGAATAGCCTCACCACACCTTTGCTTAGTGGTGTAAAACCGCGGCTCTCTATTTTCTTTATCGTCCCTCATGGCCCTCTTACCCCCCTATACCCCCTTTCCGAGATTCAAAGCGTAAAAAGTTGACGGGGGTGTCTTATCCCGACATCTCCTGTCTCCTAAGTTCCTCTTCCCCTTCTTTCTTTCGGAAGAGCAAGATGTCTTTCAAAGTTCGACCCTGCTTCTTCTCTTCGTAGAGGGGCTTGTGCTCTTCGTGGATGTCGTGGTCGTCGTTGTAGTCAACATGGACAAACGCTCGTTCGACATCACCTAAGCCTAGAAAATTCTCAGCATATTGCGTATACTTGCCCGGCTCCGAATACATACCCTCAAGCTTTCTCTGCAAAGATTGGCTCACATCGTGTGAGATCTTCAGCGGGATATCTTGATCCATAACAATATCAACTTCGACATAATATTTCTGACCGGCATGGTATGCCCGGCACTGAAACTTTTATTAGTATTATCTCTACTAGGTTCAGGCTGGCATTGACTTACCGTGTCCACCTTCTGAACTAGGGGATCGTGGGTCATGCTTATGTAGATGAGCTTAGACACGAACTCATTTGGAGCCGACTTGCCCACGAGTAGCCATACTTGCTCGAAGGCGTTGGCAATCCAGGAAAAAAGAATCAGGAGCGCGATGCATATAGCACCAATAGGATCTAGATACCAGATAAACCGGTCACCGACTACTGACATGACCAGACCGAATATGTTGACAACGATATCATTGCGATGGTCGATCTGTACCTAATCAGTAACATCACCCCAATAGTCATCAAGGGGCTAAACATACGAAGAAGACATGGACTGATGGGTATCTGCGGTACGCAAGACAGTAAAGCATCAGGCTGCCTTTTGCAAAGACTAAATCCTTGTTAACCACAATATACAAGCACGTGGATAGATTCCCTTACTGGCAATACCCACGAATACGATGGGGATGATTTGGAGGTCTTTAGATTCGGATGGCCCTCCGCCGAGAGTACGTGCCGACTCGACCTATAGGCCAAGAATTAGAACCGCAAATCCCGACGGGCTGAAACGCCATGGGGGTGGTAAACTCACGAGAAGTTGGATTGCAACGGTAGTCATCAGCGCACAAAAGAGGATAATTCCGATAGTCTCAATCCTTGTGCGGCCCTACGTGGCTATGAGCTTTACAACCTTGATGGCCATTTTGTTGATAGGTACTCACTACTGGATATTTATAGATGCTGGCTCTGGCCGCCATACGTGAAGTTATGAGCATTACAAAAGACGAGACAAGGTCCATCTATCTCTATGGTCAACCGGCAGCACTTCATCAGCAATTTTAAGAGGATTACGAACAAAAGCATCAGCAGCAGTGGCGAAGAGCTATTCAGACGGTCAACTAAGTTCACATGAAAGGACAATTCGCACCCAGGGTCATTTACCGATAGCGACCCAGTTGAGACAGCAGCGTATAACTGAATTACGAAAAGGCAAAAGTTCACCGTAAAGGAGGCATTGACGGCGAACTTGATCTTTGGAGCCACTCGGGCGTCTTCCTCCACTTGCAACCGTTCCTCATCGTCGGCACCCAAGAATTGATCGATAAGCTCATTCTGTCGGGAATAGAACTTCTTAAGCTCTTTCTTGTTGCCATTGGGATGGTCGATTTTCATCTGGCGCCGGCTGACATTTTCACGTCGATGGCGACCGAAATTCAAGGGGTCAGTTGGGTTGACTTCGGCTGCGGAAGACGTTGCCGCCCCGCCCGCCTGCGTCGCTGACGACTCCTCGACTGATGTCGAAGGCGAGCCGTCGTCCTTTTTGGAGTCACTTGCCTCCTTGGGCACTGCAGCTGCAGGCGCAGGCGCAGGCACAACGGGACCGGCGCTTGCTGGAGTAATGTTGTCTTCACCTCGGAGTCAGTTGGTATGCTTGTCTCAAATCTTTGGTCGCATTCCTAATTGGGGATAAAAGGATTCAAAACGCTTGCGCGTCCGGATGTGGATGTTTCCATGGAGCCTCATAACAAAATCAGACGAGAATGACAGTAAGAAAACGACTGACCTGATGGCTGAGCGGTGTTTCCTGGTTCCTGATTCGCCATCTTGATATTCGTGCTCTGAAAAGCCTTTAGGGTGCAATACAGAAGATGTTTCTGAATGATAGTGGGAGAGGGCGATCGCTGCAAGACGGCTCATACATAATTATATCCAACCTGGCTCGAATACAAATGTGAGGGAGCCAACCGTGGTCATAGGTTGCATTGCACTCCATCATACTCCACTGACACCTTGACGAAATACAACACCATTTCGTCTGCCAAGAAAGCTTTGCTGGTTTCTCCTCAGAAAACCCCCGCGCAGAAAGCGAAAGAAAAAAGCTAAACAGGGATTCGATATGCCGGCCCCGGTTTGTCAACTGCTCCGCTTAGACCGCAATTTTTCTCCGTCTCAAACAACAACGCTCTTGGCAAGGGATTTCTCGCATCGGTAGAGAGCCGATCACTATCAAATGCGGAATGCCCCATTGGCCCAATTTTGTTTCGATTCAGGCGGACTTAACCTTTGCCGCGACTATCATGTCCTATCTGTCACAGCTTAGATGGCAAATGCTCCTCGCCCACCAAACAACATAGCCGGGAAACCAGCCATCCAGCCATCTTACCCCGGACTCTCGTCTGCCAAGCCGCATACTGTTTTGGGCAACGTTTAATCTTCCAGCTTCATATAATAACTACGCAGGCCGCATTAAAGTAAACCCACAATACTTGATACTGCCAAGAGCCTCCCCATACATCTACGACTCGAGGAGTCTTATTCCTAACAAGGCTGCAAGGTAGTGTCGACTATCAGACAGAAACCCCGACTCGCTGAAGTCATAACAGCCGCAGCTATTGACGCCTCTTCTGCATACTGTGGAGTTGATCAGGAAGGTCGACTCTCGTACATATGTATGTGGCTACGAAGCTTACTACGAGCATACTGATATATCAAAGTAAATCCCCTAGGGTAAGTAGTGGGCCTTGTTTCAATCCTACAACCTTTACTATTTTCACTATTTTCAGCGTCATCTTAGCCACAATCGTAAAGCTTAATTATTCCTTGTGTATTCAGACAAGGCTAACAGTAATGGAGCGACGTAGTAGCCATGAGAGCGTAGTAGTAATTTATTAAGTAATGAGATGGAGCTTCACTGAAGCTGTAGGTGGAACCTCCGGGGTGAGGCTCATGCCAAGCTCTCATAAGCACGGGCGTGATCTTCCACGTCTAAATGCCTACTACAGTAGAGATTGCACTATTATTGGGTTTCTGCACGATGCAGACAATTGCTGTGAAACAACCCTGACAGCATTGACCAAGACGATCTCTCATCCAATACAGATAATGAACTCGATTAAGACAAGGGATCAAGGAGTTGGCTGCTGCCATACGTTTGTACGAGCAGAAACGTCAAGAATAGTCGAGGATTTCTATTCTAAATCCATGACAGTGCAGATGCATGCAATTTCAACATCGCGTACCATGGATCTTCGTCTCGTCCCTAGCCGAGATCGCCCGGCGAAGTCTTGTCCATAGTAATGCATATTAAAGCAAAGGCCCAGCCGGATCTTCCAAGACTTTTGATCGATATTCATATTCTTCTGTGCTGTGTCTTGGTCGAGTGTTAGGGGTCTTCGTTCTCTTTCACATTCTCTTCTTTTTTTACTTACATTCTCTTCTCTTGGCGTGGGGATTGAAGCCTCTCGTCTGTTATTTCTATTTCTACACCCAGGAGTCGCCGGACGTCTTCATATTATCCCTTTTTTTCTACTTTCTCTTAAACGGGGTTTCCAGTCGCCGGATTTTCGACTTCAGCCTTTCGCTTTTTTGTGTGCTCTATTTGGTTAACTAAGTAACTTGGGTATTTGAACATCATGTCGCAAGATATGGGAAATGCAAAGCCCGCATGTGGCGGCGGCAAGGAGGCCGGAGAGTACGATCTTCCTCTACACACGGTTGGACTGTGTAAGTGTTGAAGCCGAGATAATCCGAATCGCAATCAGCTAATAGTCTTGTAGTCCTTGTCCTGGCCGCATCAATCTTCGGTATGCAATACTTTAGATGTTCATAATCTCCATAGCGCAATATTAACAAGTCATTTTAGGGGCTGGCTTTCCCGTGGCCGCGAAGAAGATCAGTTGGTTGAAGGTACCAGAAAAGGTGTTCTTCGCCTGCAAACATTTCGGAACAGGTGTCCTAATAGCAACGGCTTTCGTCCATGTATGTTATACCAGAGGATATCTCAATATTTCTATCTAACATATATCTCAGCTTCTCCCTACAGCCTGGTTCAGTCTTTCAGACCCATGCCTTCCGGATCTCTTTACCGAGCAGTACCCCCCGCTTCCTGGTGTCATTATGATGACTTCCCTCTTTATTCTGTTTGTTATTGAGATGTGGATGAACAACAAGATGGGCGGACATTCCCACGGCGGCGCCGCGGGCTTCGAGCATCACGCACCCGCCCCAGTTATGGTTTCTCAGCCTCAGTCTCAGTCTCAACACCGTGCACAACCATCTGATGCGACTATGGTGGGCTTTGAGGCCGAAGACATGGAATACGAGAAGAGGATGGCTAAGGAAGTGTACGAAAACCCATACTCGTACCATGAGAACGACCTAGACCTTCCCCGATCCGAAATGCCTCCATGGTTCGTCGTTTTCTACGAGCAATATGTCCGCCAACGTCTCGAGCTCGTCAACATGATCAAGGCATCTGGTGGCAACATGCCAGTACAATCGGATCCCAAGCAGGAAGTAGTGGTTAGCGAAAAGAGCATGTTTGACGAGGAGGGCCAGCCGGTTGACCCCATGGTCTACAAGAGGATGTCCATGAACATTACACTACTTGAAGGTGGTATCCTTTTCCACTCCGTCTTCGTCGGAATGACTGTTTCTATCACTATTGAAGGCTTTGTCGTTCTCCTGATCGCTATCCTTTTCCACCAAATGTTCGAAGGTCTTGGTCTTGGTTCTCGTATCGCCGCTGTTCCGTACCCTAAGGGCAGCATCCGACCCTGGCTATTAGTGTTCGCTTTCGGAACAACTGCACCTATTGGACAGGCCATCGGTTTGGCTGCGCGTAACAGCTACGACCCTAACAGTGCCTTCGGCCTGATTATCGTCGGTGTCTTCAACTCTATGTATGTGACCTTTTGTGCTAGCCTGCTAAGATTTAACACTAATATATTGCAGCTCTTCTGGTCTTTTGATCTACGCCGCTCTAGTTGACCTACTCGCCGAAGACTTCCTCTCTGAGGAATCCAACAAGGTGTTGACGATGAAGGACAAGAAGATTGCTTTCATGTTTGTCATCTTAGGAGGTAAGTTTTCATACAGTCCGCTCTAATTATTCTTACCTAACTTGAAATAGCTATTGGCATGTCTATCGTCGGCGCCTTCGCTTAAAGAGCAGCCATGAGAAGTGCGAGAAGATCCGGGGGAAACGAAAACATGAAGCCACGATATTAGAGTAGTAGTATTATCATACTACTTAAGCTGCGCTACTTGACCGGGATGGCATAAGTGAGCCATCAGGCAGGTAGAGAATAATAGGGCGACGGTCATGGCAGGAAACTAGGACATTGGAAGTTGCATGAAAAGTCTCGTCAAATTCTCACAAGTTGTTTCCGTACATGGAGAGTAATTTTACAACACAGTCCTTACCGCATGCACCAGTATTAGCATCATCTACGCAAGCATTCGGTTGGTTTGAGCATAGGAATAGAAGGGTCTGAGCTCTTTAAAGAGACGCCCTTAAATTAGGTAGAACGACTGACGTCCACAGGACTTCGAGTCGAGGAGAGGGGGAAATGCTGCCGAAAAGATTTCGGGCATACGAAAATACCGAACCTCTGCCAAAAATTTCCAGAGACGACGGCGACGACAGGGCCGAGTCGGAGGATTAATTATCAAGCTATGACAAGAGCGCGGAAACACATTAACGATTCTCATTAGAGCGAAAAAATGTATTACTAGAGCGAATTCAGAGGCTACTCTGTAATTATTAGTGCGCCATCTATATAGCCATGATAGCATATGAAGAATACCAAAATCAAGTCAAACTCAATCTCTATTCCCATTTACCCCCTCTTTTTTTTTCTTTCCTTTCCTCCTCCAAAGAAGAGGGGGAAAAAAAGACCAAGACGAACTGCCAAAATAGGAACCGCCAAGGTTGGATAAAGGGTCCTATTCTATCTCCGAAATCTGGCATTGCTGGTTCGGCTGCATGCACGTAGTCAGCCCGGAACCGGGATCCGCTGGTCTGCAGACTGCAGTTGAACGAACCCCGGACCTTTCCTGAAACGAAGGGTTTCGTGGAGCCGCGCATCGTGATACAATGCCCAGAACTTTACGTCGACTACCAACGTACGACGGGGCACGTGCCGCGTTGCCTAGTTTGGGGGGGGGAGGGGGGTATTACCTTATATTTACTACCTAATAACACTACGCTTGTCTGTATGTATGTATGTATGTATGTATGTATGTATGTATGTATATATGTGTGAATGTATGTATGTATGGTTGTAGGATGAGGTTTCATGGTTCCGGTGGTGGAAAATGTACGGGTGGAAACGGAACGGGTTCTGAAGTTACATGCCATGATGGTGCCAAGATCGATGCGAGGAAGGGATTTCCGAGGAGGCGGGGTGTTTTTGTTGTTTTTTTGGTGTAGATTGATAAGGAAGTATACTTTTACGAGATAGTTTCTATTTTTATGGGTGTTTACCTAAGGGCTTGGTGTAGATGATACGTTTCGAGTTGTTGAGGTTTGCGTAAGAGGTAGGTAGGTAGTTAGGAGGTACGTAGACAACTTGAAGCTCAATGCTGGTTGGTGGATTCGTTACGATATTGGTTATAAATTCGAGGCATTCGCTCTTCTGTTATTTCCTCTCGGTCTATGGCCAAGTTCTTAAGTTATACTGCTATCGTAGTCTTCAACTTAGCTTTCGAATAAAGTAAGTTAAGGTAGGTGTCAAGTATATCATCCAGTTATGACACCCAGGATCTTATCAGTGTCTACTCTACAACTATAGCGTGTTCAGGTTAAAGCCCTGCTATAGCATCATATTTTAGAGAGCGAAAGCTTACAACTCAGTTGGAATAGTATGATATTTCAATACTAATGCTCTAAGAGCTTCCCAGATACCTAATGAGTGACAGTTAAACTCGCCCCACGTCTCCTTTACCAAGAACATCTTCTTGTACCTACCGAGCGGTTTCCTGTATGATATAACAAAGTAGTGCCTCTCCAATTGCTAAAACGAACGACTTTGGTAAGTGGTTCCAACACGATCCTTAAAAGTAAGAGCTCTCGTTATACATATTCACCACCGTCCCTCTGTCCGCCTATTCCTTCTAATATTAGCTCCTTTTTAAATAGTATCTCTTGACTCATTACAAAACTGTCATTCATATACTGCTTTCCCAGCTTGACTATAAGCTTTTCGTCGTTGGTTACCTGTTATAATGAATTGCTTTTCTATAGTTTTATAACATTTAAAACGGTTTGTATAACTACCGTATATAAATATGTATACGGTTATAGTAACTTTTTATATAAACACCAAATGGTTTATATATCCAACTATCGCATAATGTAAGCAGTTTTTTTTTTTTACAAAATCTGGTTTAAAATCACCTGAGATAATCATATATTTAAAGCATACCCCGCAATTATCTAACCAGGTAAGTTAAGAGGTAAGTATCTTTCCTTCTCAAACGTTTCTATTTAACTATCATAATTTGTTTATAAGTTTTTTCTACATACCTTAGGTAGTTAACCCATATCAAATGCCACCTATCTCCACGATGAATAGTACAACGGGACAAATCAAGGATATATCTAATCCGGACCAAGGTCAGGCAATGTTTCAAACTAGCCTTGATATCGATGCTCTCTCTATCCTATTGCTACTTGGTGAATCTACCATCTGGTCAGCGATATGGTCGCGTCTACGTTTTCAAAGATGGCATTGGACCCATATGATATTCGCCACGTCGCTCGGTTGGGCGCCGCTGGCGGGTACTGTCTTTGCAGCAATGGAAGGGAGTAGAGGTCCTCCTAATCTTATATTTGACCGAATTCCCGAAGGCATGCGTGTTCCAGGCTTGCTACTTACGAATCTTAATTCTGGTGCTACTCATCCTGCCAATCATGTTATTCTTCAGAATATATGGCAGTGCTGGAATCGCGGTCCTCGAGCAGCCTACCAGCGTTCGAAGGGGGAGGCCTATGACCATTCCAGAGAATGTGGCATTGTTGATGTCAATGTCTCAGATATCAGATCGTCTTATCGTTGGCCTTTTTTTATTCATTTTGCTAGTCTCTGTCTCCAAGTAGCTACGGGAATTGCTTTAGGGCTTTGTGGTTACTCTTTTGAAGTTTTGGTATCAATATGCGTTACGTTGGCGGGACAGTGGATTCTCCTCTGGGCGGTGACCCCCCGCAAAGATTCATGGGATAGGCGAGATCTGACGGTTCATCGCCGGCCACCCATAATGCTACATAAAGGTCTAGAAAGTACTGCTGTCTTGTTCATCAGAACGTCAACGATCGATTTTACGTCTCCTAATACGTCTGGTAATACGTCTAGTCAGAGGACGCGGAAAGAATTCAGCCTTGAAGAATATACATTTGAGCCTCAAGCCGTACGCAACTACAAAGATACTATCAAAATGCTAGCTGCGGGCTTCGCTTTCTCTGTTTTGTTATTCCAGATCATTCTCGTTGGGTGGATGAAACCTGTTAGTAGAGTCGCTTATTGTGCGCTTGGAGGGCTTGGTCTGCTGGCTAATGCGCTCGAGGGGGCTTCTCAACCGAACTGGTTTTCCATGTATAATATGGCATTTTCTGGTGAACCTTTTTGTGAGCCTCACGCCAGCACTTTGATGGGCGCTGTAGGTTTGTTGCTTGCAGCGGATCCTCCCGCAGCAGCTTCTGCTGCAAAACTACTTTATCCTGATAACCGTCGATTTGGTAACTCTACCAGTGCAATACGCCAGGTATTGCAAGACAAGCTTTGTGCATCTTGTCGAGCACATTTTAAAAAACACAGCTCCGCTCAGTGTATCCGCGAAGGTGGGAAAAATTGTGCGACTATTCTCCGTGAAGCAGTCCCAGAACAGGAAAGCAAACAGATCAAAGATGCTATAGCGTCTTGCGCGCATTTCCTTGAATGGGCTGTCGGTGATGAGCACCAACTCAAACTAGATACGAGAGGAACCTTTCAGCAACATGTTTGGGATGCTGAACGGTCTGGTTAATTATTACAAATCTGCACCCCTATCGTTTATATGTGGTACCTAGCAAGAAGCCATTAGTCTGGAACTGAGAGTATGGAGATCTTCCCAATCACAGACTGTTTTCTTGAATTCTTTCTACATAAGGGACCAAGAGGAATTACCAAACAACAGAGTTCCTCTCACCACTTTCGGAGATAACATCTCTCCTAATAATCCAGATTTCATTAGCCGTATAGGGCATAGATAGTGTCCCCTACGTACAGAGCCTTTCTGTACTTCAATCTTTTGCCCTCGATATTCAACAAGTGCCCCACGGATGTGCTGTAGGCTCGAAAAGTTATCAGCATTTATACCGTCTTCGAAACAAATCAAGTGACGCGCGCCTTGTGTTTGTCTTGTTTGTTTCCTTGTCCACCTGACGAACTGATGACCGCACAGGTTGAAATTGTCGTTTTTGACCCGGATACCGATTCGTGCTGGGTTTAGCTGCAGTTGTCGTAAATCATCATGAAATGAGCTTTCCAGCCAAAAGACTGCCATGAATGTACACAAAAGCCCGTGTCTCGACTGAATAGCCGACGACGTTCTAGTGCCGTGGAAGTCATGCTGTTGCCATATAAGAGTGGGTGAATGGAGCCATGAGAGTGGCGCCCAAGAGTAGCTATCATCTGCTAGTCTGGGCACATCTAAGAAAAGAAAGGTTTTTGGGAAATGAGTGAAGAGGCTTAAAAAGGCTTTCATACGAGTATTAGGGCTTTTCCTCAATATAACGTTTACATCCTTCGTTGAAACCCCCAGAATATTAGCCATGCAAATAGTTTCGTCCGGTGACCAGCTAGTATGTCTCCATCGAAGCAACACCCAAAGACGCGTCATGCTTTCTGCTCCATGAGGTTCTGTCTTCAAGCGGGCAATATAAATTAGTAGCCAGCTCACTTGACGCAATATAATTTGATGATACGAGATTCGGTCTCCGGCTATACCATGCCTTCTCTTGATAGTTGACTGGGCATAGCTCACCAAAGAATCCATATCGCAGATACCATCTTTGAATTGAAAGAATAGGTTGCGAGAACGAACCGATTCGTGCAAAGTCCACAGGCGACGCATCCATCCTGCCAAATTGATGCTCATTAGCACTTCCAGAACTCCCCGTCCATGTA